TCTTGGTCATAAGAGGCAATAATATAAGCTATGCTCATTATATATTAAAAGGTTGGATCATGGATGCAAGGGCAAGATACTGAAAATTGTGAAAAATGTCAAAAGTGCAATGGTCTATGCTTACATGTAATAACACTGTCTGTAATATTCAATAATGCGAAAACAAGTAAATATGCACCAGTGTGGATAGATACGACTAGACAGGACATAGGAAGGATGAGTCCGATGCAAAAACATTGGGTCCAAAACTTTCAGGTCGGGGTTGGGCATCGGGATCAGGATCAGAATGTCAGGGATGCGTCAGACAAATACTGTTTAAGGTGAGTATCAAAAACATAGGTTTTGAGCCCAGTTCCGCGACTATAATTACACCAGGTACTGAGTATCAGAACCAAGTACTGAGTACTGATTTATAAGTACTGAGTACCGAGTAATGAAATAACCAATTGACAAGAAAAGACTACCAATACACTCACCTTGACTTGGACTACAACTTTCATTTTTCATTCTCGCCGATGTTTCAGATTTCTTTAGCTTATATCTTGGTCAAATAATAACCAATGGACAAGAAAAGACTACCAATACACTCACCTAGACTCGGACAACAGTTTTGGGCCTCGGACATCAGAGCTCAGGCCTCAGCACTCAGCACTTGGTGATTTGTGTACTGGGTGTCGAGTTTTGGGTTTTGGTACTTGACACTCCATGATTTGTGCAATGAGGGAAATATGGATATGTTGTATACATATTTTCGAGTTTCAGGCTTCGGGTTTCGGGCTTCGGATGTTGGGTTGCGGGCATCAGCATTCGGCACTCAGCACTTGGTGATTTGTGTACCGTATCTCGAGTTTTGGGTTTTGGCACTTGACACTCGGTGATTGGTGCAGTGAGGGAAATATGGATATGTTGGATACATGTTTTTGGGTTTCAGGCTTTGGGTTTCAGGCTTCGGACATCAGGCTTCAGGCCTCGGCACTCGGCACTCAGTGGTTTGTGTACCAGGTGTCAAGTTTTGGGTTTCGGTACTTGACACTCGGTGATTTGTGCAGTGAGGCAAATATGGATATGTTATATACATATTTTCAGGTGTCATGCTTTGGGTTTCGGGCTTCGGACATCGGGCCTTGGCACTCAGCACTCGGCACTTGGTGATTTGTGTACCAGGTCTCAAGTTTCGTGTTTTCGCACTCAATACTCGGTGATTTGTGCAATGAGTAAAATATTGATATGTTATATATTTTTGGGTTTCAGGCTTCGGGTTTTGGGGTTCGGACATTGGGCCTCGGGCCTCGGCACTTGGCACTTGGTGATTTGTGTACCAGGTGTTGAGTTTTGGGTTTTGGACTCGACAATTGGTGATTTGTGCAGTGAGGGAAATATGGATATGTTGTATACATAGTTTTGGGTTTCGGGCTTCGGGTTTCGGGCTTCAGACATCGGTGTTTGGGCCTTGGCACTCGGCACTTGGCACTTGGTGATTTCTGTACCATGCTTTGAGTTTCGGGTTTTGGCACTTGACACTTGTTGATTTGTGCAATGAGTGAAATATTGATATGTTGTATACATATTTTCGGGTTTTGAGCGTCAGGTTTTGGGCTTCGGGTTTTGGGCTTCGGACATTGGGCTTCGGGCCTCAGCACTCAGCACTCGGTGGTTTGTGTACTGGGTGTGGAGTTTTGGGTTTTGGTACTTGACACTTGGTGATTGGTGCAGTGAGGGAAATATTGATATGTTATATACATATTTTCGGGTTCCAGGCTTCGGGTTTTGGGCTTCAGACATTGGGGCTCGGGCCTCAGCACATGGCACTTGGTTATTTGTGTACCGGGTGTTGAGTTTCGGGTTTTGGCACTTGACACTTGGCAATTGGTGCAGTGAGGTAAATATGGATATGTTGTATACATATTTTCGGGTTTCAGGCTTCGGACATCGGGCTTTGGGCCTCGGCACTCGGCATTCCATGATTTGTTTAATGTAAATGAAAAATGGGCATGTTGCATACCTGGTTTCCAGTTTTGGGTTTTGGCACTCGACACTCGGTGATTTGTGCAATGACTGAAAAATGGATATGTTATATACATGTTTTCAGGTTTCAGACTTTGGGGTTTGGCCCTCAGCACTCAGTACTTGGTGATTTGTGTACTGGGTCTCGAGTTTTGGGTTTTGTCACTTGACACTCAGTGATTTGTGCAATGAATGAAAAATGGACATTTTGCATACATGTTTTTGTGTTCCTGGCTATGGATTTTGGGTCTCAGGCTTCAGGTCTATCAGCACTCGGCACTCGGTGATTTGATAAATGGACTTTCAAGCTTCAGGCTTTGGGTGTTCAGGTGTTCATGTGTTTGGTGTAAGGAAATAGAAATTTCACACATTTTCACAAGTTTCCAGTTTCCAGTCTTGAGCTTGGGGTGTTTGGTGTCTGGAATGGATGTTGCACAATGGGATTCGGTTTTTGGGCATCTGGGACTCGGTAATCTGTGAATGTCAGACAGATATCTCACTACCTCGGCCCACCGGTGTAGCAATGGTTGCGACGTTGGGCTCAAAACCACGTATTTCCATACTCACGTCAACACCCAAAACATAGCGCACATGTCTGACGCACTTTCGCACATGTCTGAGCCACTCCGTATCGGATCTGGCGCATCGGACCTTCGGACATTGCATCGGCCGATCGCACTTGGCGCGCACTTGTCCATCCCATGTTCTGTCCATCCGAACTAGCCTCACTAGGTGCATAGTCATTCCCGTGCATGTTTTCTGACATTTGTACCACATTATTACATGTCCGCAGCACCTCGTGTCTTATTACATAGGACATCGGACCCGAAATATATCGCTACTATCTTCGCCTGTAGTTTTCCAAATTTCTACGTACTAACTTAAATACTCTGTAGTGACCCGTAGCAATCATCACCCAGTAGTTAGGAGCCGTTTCCCGACTCTGCAGATCACCCAGAATATTCTCGTAGTTCTTAGTTGCATTGCGAAATATTACCATTCATTCACCGTCATACTCCGTCACTCGTTATACTCGTGCATACCGCTCGCAACCCAACACTCGTTATAAAGCTTCCGACTCATTATTGTGAAGTCCGAAAGTCCGAAATCTCGGACATCGCACTTTGGCTTCGGACATTGGATAAGTACCTTCGGACATCATCAGATTACCTTCGGACATTGTTTCGCACCATCGGACATTTTGTTATTTGCATTACTTACACATTTTTACTACTGATACCAATTAGCAATCCCTTTAGGATCGAATGCACTTGCTCTGCAAGTATAGCAGCATAGGTCGTGCTAAGATCTACCTAAATATTTGTTGTCTAGGTAGTACGATTTCTGCTGAGCCCAGCGGAAATCAGCTTTCTACACCGGTCTATATAACATCCCCCTCCATCGGCCCACCCATCTATATAATGAATATTCCACCACTCCCTCAGCCCATCCGTCTACAAAATAATTCCAGTATGTCGGCCCACCCGTCTATACAATCAACCCTTACATCAGCCCACCCGTCTATATAATACATATTCCACCGCCCCCTCGGCCCACCCATCTATACAATAAACCATTACATCAGCCCACCCAACATCTTCGAGGATATATATAATATCAGCATAGATGGGCCCACCCGTCTCCATCGGAAATAATATCCCTCCTGGCCCATCCATCAACATCGGGGATATACATAACATCGGCCCATAGTCCACTGGCCCGTCTTATACAGGATATTATGTAGGTTGGGTGACCCGTATAATATGGAAATATGTCACTGTAATATGTGTACAGGTATCTCTGTGGTACCATCAATGCTTGTTTAACCTATCAAGGAGAGCCAGACATGGACTTACACACTTTTGTTGATGTGGACTGGGCATCGGATGTGAATGACCAATGCTCAACAACTGGATATGTCTTCTTGATGTCCAGAGGGGCCATTAGTTGGTTGTCGAAGAAACAAATGTCCATTGCACTGTCAAGTACTGAGGCAGAGTACATGGCTGCCACCGCCGCCATGAAATAAGCTGTCTGGATGAGGACTTTGCTGGAAGAATTCAATTTTACAAAGACTTGCCCAATAACCCTCCATATAGACAATCAATCTGCCATCCTCCTAGCCAGTAATTCGATGTTCCATGAGCGCATTAAACACATTGCGATTCAGCACCATTTCATTCAAGAGAAGTTGGAAGAAGGTCAAATATCTGCCAAATATGTCCCTATGAATAAACAGGTTGCTAATGTCTTGACGAAGGCACTTGCACACGAGGAGCATGGATGTTTCATTAAAGGAATGGAAGTGTCTAACAGCGAGTATTGACTCATTGAGTGGGCATGTTGTAAGGATATAGATAAGTGATAACCTTATTTCGGACAACAACAAACAACACTCGCTTACATAATATGCTGTTCACTCATTCATTATTACTTCATACCTCAGTCTTCAATTCTTGAGACTGAGGTATGTTACCATGTTGGTATCCGACAAATCCAAAGCTGAAGAGGGCGAACGGCTGTTAGCCAAGAGGGAGAATGGACAAATGGCCAAATGGCCAAAGGTTTGACCCAGAAGAAAGGTTGAGAGGTGTGAGCACGTCCAAATGGAGAATGAGTCCTATGTGTCAGTGTTGGCAACAATTTGCCATCTTTAAGTATATTTTGCTTATATAAAAATTTAACTGGCATCAGGAAATCCACTGCCGAGCAAATGACTTATAACAGTGCGTAGCACAGCACTTCTTTTGAAGAGCCCATAGCAGCTTGCAACAACCTGTAATAGCTTTAAGCACTAAAACCTCCATACTGGCTCCAGGACTTTCGTCGTGCCACAATGTGTCTGTAATAAAGTTCAGTAAGCGATCATGATCAAGAATTTATCATAATCTTTATGGCACAATAAGATGATGATAATCACTGCTCGCCATTGAATAACTTTGCCAGGCAGGAATTTTGGGATTGAGGGAAACTAGTGATAGTACAGGCCCAAGAAACTACTGGTAGCTGAGAATAGCATGGAAAGTCTCTTTATCTGCGAAATTATTCACATAAAACTCCTGTGCCAGCTGCAGATTATTGTTGCAGTTTATGCTCGCTGATACCTCTTTACCAAACTTGGGAATTAGCTGAATGACCTGACACACACTTTCTAAAAGTACTATGTCTCCTAAAGTAGTGTTGTTCGATCAAATACAGTGGTGAACCAAGAACATGTCAGTCACAGGTGCAGGAGTAACAATACAAGAGTTGTTGAAGGAGCCAACTGACAAATGAGAGAAGTTAAAGAATTCAACATAGAGAAAAGGCTGGTTCAGATGGGGGGCTTCAGTAATTGGCTGGAGGATAGATTTGACTTGAACAACAACACAACCTGTTACGACTGGGATAGTTCTGCTGTTGCCGGTCAAGATAGACCTGTCGGGCGAACAGTTCGTCGGCCTTCCTAATACAAGGAAGGTTTCTGGTGGTTCCTACTGTACGAGCCGCGGCTTCTGTACAGGATCAGCGGCGAGTGGTTTTAGCACTTCTACCACAATCAAGGGTTTCAGGCTAAGACAGTGAGTGACTGTCTTAGAATCAGAGTTCAGGCTACTAAGGGTGGAGACCTTAGTAGATCAGGTTTCAAGGGGGAAAACCCAGTAGATTAAGTTAAGGAATACAGCTATGGTACATGGGGTTTATATAGGTAAAAGGAAGCGGCATAGCCGCGACAAGAAAGGTAACAGAGATAGGAAAAAGAGTACAACCTATCAAGATAGCAAAGATAGGTGAAACCGCCATGCGGCGCAAGATAGTATCTATGTTACAATCAAGAAAGAAGAAAAGTGCGGACAGCCCACTTGATAAGAGAATAGCCGAGTCTAGATGAGTCTAGAGTCGGCGGTATGGTTACAAGAAAAGAAAAAAGAAATAGGAGTAAATGTTATTGTAACACAACCTATCATTTGGTGAGAATCCAAGTTACAAGCAAAAAGATCACCATATGTTCAGATACTGCTGGGGAAAGCAGTTTACTATCTTCATGAGAAATAAGGACAGTATTGCCTCTTTCAAATGGCATCAAAGAGCTTGGTGGTAGCACCTGAATGGTTTGAGCAGGACTAACAACACGGCTATCTTGCATGGAGTGCCGCTGTATGCGGAAATTTTGCCAAATGCAAAGGCTATCAAAGGAAAGGGAACAGTTGGGGTGACAAAATTGTCTTCCATTGCACTAGAGGTAAGATCTATCAGAGATCAGATCACCGAGCACTAGACAGAGATCAGGGAGGTGAAAGAGTTGAGAGGCTTCTTCAATAGATATGTGGGGGTGATGTGGATGGCAAGTAAGCAGGATTGCAACAGACTCGTCAGAAGAGATACGAGAATGATCTTTGGTGAACAAAAGTGATTGGTTTGCCAGCGCTGATATACTGCTCATCAGGCAGAATAGTAGAGATCCAAGTTGCTTCAGGATAGTGAAGAGTCATTGCATTTGCTTCCCTGGACATTTTGTATATCAAACTCACTTGCTGTGACTTTAGAACTGTGTAGAGCTGGAAGAATTGTAGTTTTCTTGTCGATCAAGGAAGCGGCAGCACTGACCATAAAAATCCTTGTGGTTGGTCATATGGTAAGGTCGTTTCACATGGGTGATGTGACAGTGCTTGGTGATATCACTGCTCCACTGATATGGGGCACCCATGACACAAGTACTCTGGGTGACATGCTGCATCAACTCTAGTTTGGGGATCTAGAAGTGATTGAGGGGACCATTCTTACCATGGCAACCACCAGCTGTTATGATGGAAGCCTTGTGGTGGTAAAACTCGTGCAAGGCCTCAGTTAGAGAATGTAATGTTTCTTCATAGAGGAAGAGATTCTGAGCCTGAAATATGAATTCCGTAATGGCACATAGTGCGCATGCAACATCATTGGGGACAGTACCAACAATCAGGGCAGAAAGAAGCTTCTCGAGGTCCTGATGCTCTTAACCAGTCAGCTATTTTAATGTAGATACACCATTCACCCAATGGTGCACTCCTACCCAAGGTTGAAGAGCTGACAGTTGATGATTGAGTTCTGCTCCCCCCATGATATTTATGGACCAAGTAATGAGATGGTCAAAGAAAAAATTGTGCCATTGATAAAGGGCATCTGGCGTCAAAAAGCGGGATGGACATGCATCATCCCAATCCATCCAGTACAGCTCAACTATGCCATTCAGATGCAATGACAAACATGTTTTGTAGAATAATGGGATGTCACAGGGGTTGGAAATAGTGCAGGCTGTTTCGATAGCATCAAGAGTATGAGAACTAGTTTGAGGAGAGTGTGGAAAAGGGTCCCCAAATTGTGCAGAGACAGCAAGAGAAATCAGTGAGCACTTTGAGGCAGTACATGTAATGAGGAGTTGCTCAGGGTAGTCGGCTATCCAGACAACTAAAGGAGTATGAATCATGCATAGATCTCCTCTTGGGTCTGACATGATGCAGTCATCACGAGTGGCAACCTTCAAATTACACATGACAATGGAGATCGCAAAATGATAAACTTGCATGGATAGAATTGCATGGACAGGCTTTGAGACATTGAGAAATTTAGATATTGGAAGATGGGCAATCAGAGCAAACACATGTGATGTTGCTTTCATGTGAACACCTGCATAAATATTAGCAAGCGAGATCAACAGGAGATGCATCTCCTTATTTCCAGTCACAATTGTTAGAGGTGTCTTGTCTGAAGCACAAATCACACCAACGAACAAATGGCTTGGAGGAAGCTTATGCTGATGACCTAACATTAATACAGTGAGCATTCAACATTAATGGATGCCCACCTGTATCTTCCATGCATGATTAGCACTTATGAACTCTCCATAAACTCACTATTCATCTGGACCTTCAAATTCTTAGTACAGCTGAAAATCCATGCAAGGTGCAAAAACTGGATTGGCAAAAAGATGCTTAATGACCTCAAGACCATCTCTCCAATATAGCATCAGTGGCGCATTTGTCTTGTAGGAACTGACCTTGATTTGTTGGTGGTACCATCGAGGAACTCCAGATAGTTCTTCAATCTGAGCTCACAGATCCTTAGATGTATTGAAAGAAGGCAGATTGATCTTTGTCTATATTACTATCATTGATATACTTGTTCAAGAAATATTAATTGGTAACTTACATGCTCGAGGTGGAGGAAGGCATTAATTTCCTTTTGTGATGATGCCCCCCCCCAGAAAGCCAGCATGCCAGGTCAAATTCAGATTTAGATGCAAAGGGATAGTAGATGTCTTCCATATGACGGATTGTAGCATATTCATTGTCATTCATGCGCTAAAGATGATTTTTCCCTCTGGGTTGGGCAACTAGTATAGCAAGGTGATACTCCCTTATTGTGCTAGGACATGGACCTGCAGAGGGATCAACAGATACGAGGGGGGTGTCACATGCTGAGTCAACTGCAGTGTATTCAATATGCAGCATTGTAGGTTGTTCGACATCATCCAAAGGATGCAAGTCTTTGTAGTATTCCCCATAGACTAAGTGCATACTGAGCTTTAGTTGCTGTTTGAGTGAGAATATGCACCTTCTTGGTCAGGTTCTGGGTCGTAAAGATAGTCTTGGGGGAAACAACCATGTTCCTTGAAGTCTGGAGTAATGCCTTGGACAACACTTTGACTGCAAAGAGCAGAAGCTAACAGATGACCAATAACATTGTCACTGTTTGCAAATGTATTTGCGCAGTTGGAGCAAGTAAACACACGCCTATTGTTAGTTAAATGAGGCAGATCAAAAAGAGACAGAGACATGCTGATGAATGATTTGAGGGGGTTCCAATACTGACATTCTGGAGTTGAGGAACACCCTTATATATATGTTTCTGAAATCCTTTGATTGCTGAAGTCTGTCAAATTGATTGTCCTCTCATCATTGTTATTAAGGGTTCAGGGTCATTGTGTACATGTACTAGATATCTTATCCCCTGAGTGTCAAGTGGCTTTCCGGCATTGCCACAATATATCAAGTAGTTCAGCGCTCACCTCTCTGTTTTCCTGACATTGTCGACATGCATAAATGATTTAGTTTGTGCATATCAGGATTCTTGTCAAAAAGAACTATGATAGCTCAATTACTCACCTCCTGAATGTCATACTAGGTGTAGTTCTAGTACAGTCAACATGCATAGAAGGTTTATAGAAGGTTTAGTTTCTACTAGTACATATCAATATTCTTGTCAAAAAGAACTATGATAGCTCGATTACTCACCTCCTGAATGTCATACTAGGTGTAGTTCTACAGATCAGATCGATTCCAGAACCATGTATAGAGGTTTGGGTTACTGCCGGACTCCAGTGTAAACAAGATACCCAAGGCCTGTTGCGGGGTATTGCTGGACTTAACAGAATTTTGGCAAGCTCACTGTGTGAGTTTTCCATTTGTTGATTCAGGTATCAAGTATTGCTATCACAAGCTTACATGCTATTGAAGAATTTCATGCCCTGCACAAATAGCACTGGTAGGTCAAATGCATCCAGGGGTACTGGGTCATTTAAGAGGTCAGTTTATTATCAAGAGCTATTTTACCTGAGCATGACTCATTCACTGTTACAAGAACATCTAGACACCTGGGCCCCTACCATTTTTCTCCTCATCCTCCTCGTCTCTGCCCTTGCATCACACCCTTACCCCGACCTTGCTCTTGTTATTCTTGTTATCCTCACATTCCCCTTCGCCCTCTACCTGTCGCTCCAGCAGAGCCAGTACATTTGGCCCGACCCTTTCTCTAACAAAGCATACTCATGTGTTACGACTTGGATGGTATCTGTTGGCGACACTCAAACAGAGCTTGTGTCGTCAACGGTCGAGGACGTCCTTGGGCTAGCCCAAGGTTAGGGGTCGTACTTGGCAGGTCTTCGGCAAGTATGATTTGACGCCTATGTCCAAATCGGGTAGCTTATGTCACGCGGGTGCAAGACGATAAGCTATATCGGCCTAGGCTTACGACACCCGAAGGTTAATCGTAAGGATCGTCGTTAATTAGAAGGACGGAAGTCCGACTAGTTAACAGGGGCTTTGCTCGTCGACAAAGTCGATGAGTAAAGATCGAGACTATGGGCTTATCCGCGAAGAGCAGATAAGAAGATAGAATATAGACTGCTGGCGAGGCAGAAAGATCACTCTGGTGAGAGTAGGAGGTCAAGAACCAAGTAGATTCAAGTTAGGGAATATGGTACATGGTAGCGAGTTTATATAGAGAACAGGAGACGTATTAGTGGGTGATAACTCGTACTACCGGGAGAGGCAATCGGTAAAGGGTATAACCATAACAGGAAAGCACGTTCGGTCGAGGTAGAACGTGCTAGATAAGAAAATGAGTCAACAATCGAAATAAGAAGTGAAATGCGCAGGGGCACGATCATGCAGCTGCGGATCTAAGTATAAGTTGCATGTGCGACTGCGCACTGAGTCAGAGATCAAGAAAGGGAACAGGGCAAAGGGGATGCGTCGTGCATCATATCATAGGTTACCGTCCGGACGGTAAGGGTAAAGGGGACTATCCACAGGATCAGTCGGGTGGTGGAACGGAGCATGGGTATGCTTCGTCAGCGAAAGGATCGGGCCAGATGTACTGGCTTTGCTGCAGTGACAGGTAGAGGGCGAAAGGGAATGCGAGGATGACAAGGATGACGAGGGTAAGGTCGGGGTAAGGGTATGACGCGAGGGCTGATACGAGGAGGATTAGGAGAAAAATGGTAGGGGCCCAGGCGTCTAGATGTTCTTGTAACATCATGCTCTGTTCCACCCGTTGACTGATCCTGTGGACAGTCCCCTTTACCCTTACTATCTGAACGGTAACCTATGATATGATGCATGCCGCATCCCCTCTGTCCTATTTCCTTTCCTGATCTATGACTTGGTGCGCAGTTGCACATTGTACTTATACTTAGCTCCGCAGTTGCACAATCGTGCCCCTGCTTGTTTCACTTCCTGTTTCTGTTCTTTGACTCATTTCCTATCTTGCATGTTCCAGTTCACCTATGACTCACCTCAAACGTGCCTTCCTTTTCTAGTATCACTCCATGACCAGCTCCTCTTCTGGTAGTACAAGTTATCATCCACTAATATGCTTTCCCTCCTCTATATAAACTCGCTATCATGTATCTAGTTCCTTAACTTGAATCTACTTGGTTCTTGACCTCCTACTCCTAACAAGAGTGATCTCTTCTGCCTAGCCAGCAGTCTATATTCTACTTTCTTATCTGCTCATCACGGATAAGTCTTTAGTCTCGATCTTTACTCATCGACTTCGTCGACAAGCAAAGCCTCTGTTAACTAGTTGGACTTCTGTCCTTCTATTAACACAGATCTTACGATTAACCTTCGGGTGTCGTAAGCCTTGGCAGATATGCTTATCATCGAGCCCCGCTTGACATAAGCTACCTGATTTGGACATAGGTGTTAAATCTTACTTGCCGAGGCTTCACCAAGTAAGACCCCTAACCTTGGGCCAGCCCAAGGACATCCTCGACCATTGATGACACACGCTCTGTTTGAGCATTGTCAACAGATACTATCCAAGTCCATAACATTCACTAACTATGGACTCTGAATCTAGTGTTTCTAAGTCATCACCTCTCACATCTGAGGCACCCAATAGCTTTCCCATTTTGAAGAGCAGCTTAAGAGCCAGGTCTGTTTATTATCAGGAGCATGATGGCCTATTCACTAACTATGCACTCTGAATACAGTTTTTCTGAATCACCACCTCCCACATCTGAGGCACCCCACAGCTCCCCTATTTTGAAGAATAGCTCAAGGGCTAGGTCTATTCATTATCAGGAGTATGCCCCTCAAGTCCATTATTTACTTATTTATGCACTCCAGTGTTTTGTTGCCTCCCATGTCTGAGGCATTTGATAACTCTCCCATCTTGAAGAGTGGCTCTTTCAGCTTACAGGATCACTCTCCAGTGACTCCAGACAGACATATCAAGTGAGTTTATTCAACAAGAGTGGCTTATCTATTACTCAAGCAGTTATTCACACTAGGAACTCTAGCACTTCACTGCCTCTCACATCCGAGGTGCCTCCAATTTTGAAGAGCTGTATCCACTCCTCCTACTTGAAGACTGGTTTCCCAGTGACCCTGGTTAAGCCTAGGTCTGTTTAGCATGAGCTATGTGATGTATTTTGCAATGGTATTCACTATAACTTCTTAGAGTATCCAGTGTTGGATCACTGCCTCCTACATATGTGTTACGACTTGGATGGTATCTGTTGGCGACGCTCAAACAGAGCGTGTGTCGTCAATGGTCGAGGACGTCCTTGGGCTAGCCCAAGGTTAGGGGTCTTACTTGGTGAGGCTTTGGCAAGTAAGATTTGACGCCTATGTCCAAATCGGGTAGCTTACGTCAAGCGGGTGCGAGACGATGAGCTGTATCTGCCAAGGCTTACGACACCCGAAGGTTAATCGTAAGATCGTCGTTAATTAGAAGGACAGAAGTCCGACTAGTTAACAGGGGCTTTGCTCGTCGACGAAGTCGATGAGTAAAGATCGAGACTAAGGACTTATCTGCGAAGAGCAGATAAGAAGATAGAATATAGACTGCTGGCTAGGCAGAAGGGATCACTCTTGTGAGAGTAGGAGGTCAAGAACCAAGTAGATTCAAGTTAAGGAATATGGTACATGGTAGCGAGTTTATATAGAGGACAGGAAGCGTATTAGTGGGTGATAACTCGTACTACCAGAAGAGGGAACCGGTAAAGGGTAAGACTATAAAAGGAAGGCACATTCGAGGTGATGCACAGGTGAACCTGAATGTGCAGATAAGAAAGTGAGTCAAAGATCGAAATAAGAAGTGAAACGCGCAGGGGCACGATCGTGCAACTGCGGAGCTAAATATGAGTATGCATGTGCGACTGCGCACTGAGTCATAGATCGGGAAAGGGAACTGGGCATAGGGGACGCAGCATGCGTCGTATCATAGGTTACCGTCCAGACGGTAAGGGCAGAGGGACTATCCGCAGGATTAGTCGGGTGGCGGAACGGAGCATGGGTATGCTTCGTCAGCGAAAGGGTCTGGCCAGATATACTGGCTCTGTTGAAGCGACAGGTAGAGGGCAAAGGGGAATGCGAGGATGACAAGGATAACGAGGGCGAGGTCGGGGTAAGGGTGTGATGCAAGGGCTGAGACGAGGAGAATGAGGAGAAAAATGGTAGGGGCTCAAGCATCTAGATGTTCTTGTAACAATATGAGGCACCAGCTAGCTCTTCCATACTAGGGAGTAGTTCCACCATACCACATAGCTCCCCCATCCCAAGGGGTAACTCTCCTACTGCAAAGGCTTTACCCCTCTTTACCACCATATTGGATGAGGGTTGCCCCATAGTAGATAATATATACAGTTCTCACAAGAGGCCACACAAATACAGCTTGCTGCCATATCATGCAGACCATGAGAACTTTCTCAAGAAGAAACCCAAGCTATTCCTCACAACCGTACATCTCTCCCTATCAAAATGCAGTTCAAATTCTTATATATGTGTTAGTTCACTTGTGATTGATCCCCTGATTCTGAGATATATTTCAACCAGCGCATGCTTGAGCTATCCTCATGACTGATGAAATGGAGGAATCCCAGGCACAGTTGAAGACCACTGACTTACAGATAGGTACACTCCAGAACAGCCTTCATGATGCTGGAGTGGCAGTAATAGGGAACAAAGGGAGAAAGAATGCCAAGGAGAGCAGAAATGGCAGGATGTTCCCTGGGTACAAAGACCATGAGGTTGATGACAGCAGGGATGTGTACAATTCTTCAGTTTCTTCTGAATGTGATGGCAGTGTCAATGGGAAGCAGGCCAATGAAGAGTCATATTACTAATGAGCAGCTCCACCATTCAAATTCCTCATCCTCATTACTCTTATATGAGTGTTTATAGAGCACATATGTAGATATGTAGCCTGTTGTAGTATCACCAGCAATGCCTAGCGGTACAATTATGATAATATGAGCTTATCTTTTGATGGCAGCTAACTCCTATCTCGACAATTGTGGCACAATCAGCAGTCTAGAATGAGCCCCAGCGCTAGAAATTCATACTCGAGCTGAATCTTATGGTTCTTCCACTGATTTGAGTCATTGGCTCATGCCTCATGTTGCAATCGGTAAAACAGTGCCAGCGGGCCTGTTACAAGAACATCTAGACGCTTGGGCCCCTACCATTTTTCTCCTCATCCTTCTCGTATCAGCCCTCGCATCATACCCTTACCCCGACCTCACCCTCGTTATCCTTGTCATCCTCGCATTTCCTTTCGCCCTCTACCTGTCACTTCAGCAGAGCCAGTACATCTGGCCGGATCCTTTCGCTGATGAAGCATACCCATGCTCCGTTCCACCACCTGACTGATCCTGTGGACAGTCCCCTTGCCCTTACCGTCTGGACGGTAACCTATGATATGATGCACAATGCATCCCCTTTGCCCTTTTCCCTTTCTTGATCTCTGACTCAGTGCGCAGTCGCACATGCGACTTATAGATAGCTCCGCAGCTGCACAATCGTGCCCCTGCGCGTTTCACTTCTTATTTCGACCTTTGACTCACTTTCTTATCCAGCACGTTCTGCCTCGCCCGTGTCTCAACACGAACGTGCTTTCCTTTTATGGTTATGACCTTTACCGATTGCCTCTCCTGGTAGTACAAGTTATCACCCACTAATACGTCTCCTGTCCTCTATATAAACTCGCTACCATGTACTATATTCCCTAACTTGAATCTACTTGGTTCTTGACCTCCTACTCTCACCAGAGTGATCCTTTCTGCCTCGCCAGCAGTCTATATTCTATCTTCTTATCTGCTCTTCACGGATAAGCCCATAGTCTCGATCTTTGCTCATCGACTTTGTCGACAAGCAAAGCCTCTGTTAACTAGTTGGACTTCTGTCCTTCTAATTAACGACGATCTTACGATTAACCTTTGGGTGTCGTAAGCCTTGGCCAATATAGCTTATCATCTCGCACCCGCTTGACATAAGCTACCTGATTTGGACATAGGCGTCAAATCTTACTTGCCGAAAGCCTCGCCAAGTAAGACCCCTAACCTTGGGCTAGCCCAAGGACATCCTTGACCGTTGACGACACACGCTCTGTTTGAGCGTCGCCAACAGATACCATCCAAGTCATACAGGGCCTACAGGTTCACTTTGAAGTCAAGCCGATCGTGAGCTGTTCATTCATCTGCCCACAAACTTGAACTGTATGCTTTATTTAAAGATGAGCATTTTCACTTTACGAGGTAATCTGACCTATAATACTGGATTTTGCTACCATGCTTCCACTTGCTACGAAGTACTTTATAACTCACAATTGATGGGCGCACTCACCTATAAAGGCTGATGTGCTAGCACCTAAACATCTCAGTTTCATAATGAACACTGTAATGTAAGTTTTCCTGTCTTGTAGTATTTGACAAAATGTCTAACACATCAGTAGTCGTACCTTTTCTCTAGGTACAAGCATTTGTTAATAAAAAGAGTTTCGTAACAAACACTGAAATTTGTACCTTTTCTCTAGCATCGCTTTAGCTCCTCCGTTTTATAAACGAGATACCATTCATTCAGATTTATTTACTACCATACTGACTATTACTCTAGTATTTATATATTGGACTATAGTTCACACTCGTTCCTCGCTCACCGGATCCTCGCTCAAAAGTTTGAGGTGTGTCTGTGATCTTGTTTAGGTCTGTTTACACCATGTCGTCTCTAACCGTGGGTCCGTTTTTCTCCAAATTCTGACATTTGCGACGACCAAATTCCTCACGTCTAGTTCAAGTACAGATAGACTACTAGGTACGGATCGTGTTTAGGCAGACGGCTTAACCATGTCCAGATAGGGTCTGGTCATTTCTCGTTTCCGCAGTGATCGATGTGTCTACCGCATTTCCAATCGTCTTCTTCCTCAGATACCTAGCAATGTCTACAGAGCGGATTAATATTCAGGCCTCGAGGAAATTCCTTCTTAGGGAAAATAAACCGGCTATAAGCCCAAACCTTATCAATATTATCCCTAGCGCACGTGCACGTTAACTGTTGCAACGGACATCCAACAGATCACTTGGTACTAGTATTGCACTTCCATTCAAGGATTCAACCATGCCGTTTATACGTGATTCCGTTTGCTGCGTCAAACTACAGTTAAACTCGAATGTCAGACCGCGCTTACTCGGAACCGGCAATATCGAGACTAAGTCCAATTAATCAGTCGTTATTCGGTCCGTGTCACAGGCGAGAGTCATGGAAAGATCCACGGAAGCTTTTCATACTAGGAATACAGACTTTGATATTGCGCCCTTCCGGCTCTTAAAAAGGCCACCAAGAACTTTACACGCCAGGCCTCCGGACTATCCTTAACCATCCCCTTCAGTCATGAATCAAAACATGCAGCCAACATTGCAGGGGAAGCCACAGCCCGCCCCACTATTTCTCAGCGACTATCCTAAAAATGCAAACTCTTCAATTTCTAGCGGCCAAGATTCATTGCATCCGACCGACGATGTCCTACCCCCTGCACATACCAACAGAACATTGGTGCTGTGTTTGTAGGTTGTTTTCGTAAATCCTCTTGCTCATTGACTGACTGTCCTATCTCAGTGATGGAACCGGTGATCAGGTGTGCGGACTTCATTCTCTTAAAGCGCTTAATGTTTGACCAGCCGAGCAGTTTGATTCTGATGTATGTTGCTGTTTCTGTTTCGCAGAGTCCTTCACATCTCACTGGCCATTCAGAACTCTAACATCGTCCAGCTATTCAGCATGCTCGTCAAGGATAATCCCGCTTTGCAGATGGTTTACTATCAGGTAATGTTAAACAAGATTTGGACCTGAACCAGGCTCACCCATGATAGGCTGGTATAGGAACATACACTATACCGGAAATGGCCACACCCAGGATGGCTAAGGTTTCCAAGACTGTTGACATGATGGTTGGGACTCATCTCAACGCCCATGTAATGGGTCAGCTATACTTATACTCCTTCCATCTTCGGTTGCTCATTTCAAATAGGAGGATACGAATTTCTCATGCAGAATTGTGAAGTTAGAACGCGCTTTCCGGACTATGCGACTAATTTTAGGTTTCGCAGATGATGCTGGTGATAAGATCTGTATATTCGGCTTTTCGAGAGGCGCATATACAGCGCGCGCGCTTGCTGGAATGTAAGCCTTTCTATATCGTTGTTGAATGAAGTCTCAACGTATTATGCTCGCAGGATTCACAAAGTCGGACTTTTGCCTCGCTGCAATCATCAACAGGTTCCCTTTGCCTACAATATGTACAGCCGTGATGATGCAGAAGGCTGGGCGCTGAGCTCTAAATTTAAGAAGGCTTTCTCTATTAATGTGGACGTCGAATTTGTCGGTGTTTGGTGCGTTCGCAGCGCTGGTTCGGTGTGATCAATAATCTAAACTTCACTTGTGAATAGGGATACCGTTAGTTCGGTGGGAATCATTCCTAAACGACTGCCCTTTACGAAGGCGAACAGCAGTATCAGGTACTTCCGTCATGCAATTTCTCTCGACGAACACCGGGTGTATGTATCTCGAATTTCTTTCCAGTAACTCGCTATCTAATTTGCAATGGTCAGGCGCTTCAAACCAAATCCTTGGATACGCCCGACCGAAGAGCATAAGGCATGCGGTGTTAAACGTGAACACATGCCTCGCAGCTTCAAGAGGGTTCTCCCGAAACGGCATGAACCCGAAAACACAAACACCCCAGACAGCGAAGCAACGAAGAAGTCACATCACCATCACGAGTGTCAGGATCAGATGGAACAAATGTTCGCAGTTAGCGACTCAGCACCCATCAAGGAGACGGACGTCCAAGAGGTTTGGTTTGCTGGGTGTCATTGCGGTAAGAACCTCGAGTTCGGCAAAGTACAGTTCTAATCATAAAGCAGACGTCGGCGGAGGGTCCGTCCAGAACGGTACCCGCAATAGTCTGGCCCGCATTCCGCTTAGGTGGATGATTCGAGAATTGTTCAAGCTTCAAATCGGCATCCTCTTCCACCGGAACATGTTCACGAAAATCGGCATAGATCCCAAGACTCTCTACCCTGTATCCGCAGCTATGCAGCCTCGGCCTCCTCCAGTATACCAATCTCCGCCGGCCCCATCTTCTGGCGCGCAGAAACTGACGATAAAGGACCGTGCGACGCCACCGCCTAAAGTTATTACTGATGATCCTGCGATGATCGTCTATAGTGACGGTTCTGCATTCGTGAGCGAGGAACTCGAGGACTTGGCTGACGCTACCAGCCCCATGTATGATCAGCTCCGTCTCGCACCTGTATGGTGGCTTTTGGAGATCATTCCACAGATGCTTCACTACCAGGATGACGAGAATAACTCTTTGGTTCACCATTACACGTGCGTGATCTCGTGCTCTATTTACTTTTATGCTGACTTTGATGGAAGGGTTAACATGGGTCGTGGCCGGCACATCGCGCGCCAAAACAACATTGGCGTCAAATTCCATAGGAGTGTCAAGATTCGCATGGAGGCCGATAATCTCGCAGGTGGAAAATACTGGCCCAAGGCGAAACTAAAAGTGGAACCTGAATGGGTTGACTGAGCTTGTTCCGACGCGATGTCACGCACTTATGCGCTTGGCCTTTTTAGTTTCTGGCCCGTAATATGACTTGATGATATATTGTACACCTGTACGTGGTGTTTGCTACATCGTAGTGGATGATCTTGGAATGACTTATGTTATTAACTTATGCGCGTTGACGTTTATGCTAGCTGTAGGTGTGTTGCGACGTGGTCATGATACTTCAGGTGAGGAAAATACTCGGTTATAGGGCGAAAGGGACTTTCTTCATGATCAACGGTGTGTTCTATGTCTAAGGGGATACTGACAGAGGCTAAGTGACTCAAGCCGACGGACTCTCGGTTACCTCCATGCAGGAAGGCAAGGGTACGTTATGGAGTTAACACCCGCTCTCCCAGTCTCTCCTGCGCGGCGCCTTCACATATTCGAGTCTCGAGCTTCATGCAAAACTTGTCTTAATTCTGTGATGTGAACGTGGACTTGTACACTGACCTGTGAGTCCTGCTGTCGGTTTCAAATTTCAATGGAGGAGTTTGTGAGAGAGCTAGATCAACGCCGGCTCTTCAAGCTTCAGTAGGTGAAAGCAAAGCAGAGTATTGAATGATGTACGCTCTGATCTCGGTCGTTACCCTCCCGCTTAACACCGGCTACCAGATGACATTGTGTCCTATGCAGATCATGGATTATGCGCGACGGAAATCAAATCGTCATGATACTGTTCTGCATACTAGCGAGTGGAACTACTTGGCAGCGGTGAAGTTCAAGGTTCTTCGGATCTTGCTTTTCGCCGACGGAGGACCTTTTGGCTGAATGGCAGGCTTGGCTGTCATGGCAGGTCGACCAGGCTCGACCTTCTGCTGGAACGTCCGTGCCGTGCCTCATCACTGACGAAGGTAATGACACCAGGCACGACCTGTCACAGTTGGAAACAAGAACACAGACTCGGATATGACATGCACTACCTGTCGGATCTGGTTTCTCATACTCTGACAGATCGTGTACCACGCCCGTGATGCTGCTAAAGATGAGCATGTGACGGTAATTATTGGGGTCTCGCGACACTACCCATCACAACGAGTCTACACTGTCTGCTAGTACTAGTAAGTGCCCAGCCCTTTCCTTTCGACTACAGAGGGATTTCTCCATTGGTGGAGGAAGTGCGTCTACTGGAGAATAAGTAAAGTGGGTCCTTGAGGTGGATCATCATAGGATCTGTGCTGGTGTTTCAACTCGGAAGAGTTCAACATCAGTACTGGAGAAACGCTAAGCTCGGGCTCTTAGCTCTCCAATACATCACACCGATGATCAATCGGATATGGTGTAATGGTTAACATTGCCGCCTCTCACGCGGCAGCTCGGGGTTCGATTCCCCGTATCCGAATACTTTTTCTTTCTTTACATGCTGGACTGATCATGAAACACAACACATCGAATCTCCAAACTCCTCCAGATAGAATTTGTCGCACTTTTGGGCTCGCTAGACTCATGAATACAGTTGCACGCCCCACGATCGCGCTAAACCAAGTGACATAGGAGTACAAGCGTGCTAGATGGGTAACAATGGGGAAACGAAGGAACAACAAAGATAGCATCTATCGATAATAAGCAAATAGCACTAAGCGTGGTACACTGACATTCCAAGTTATGACCTCGCGATAACTTGGACAGATTTCTTATTCTCCCCCGCCAGCGAGTTCGAGAATCAACCGACATGCAACATCCATAAATACAAAGGGCGAAACCACTTCGTCCTCCTTGGGTGCGAGATGGTCTTTGTCCTTGATAGATCGTCCATCTGAACTCGAGTCAGGGAGATACGTATCGGGATCAGCCATGTCGAATTTTCCAGCGCCAGGTTCGGCGGAGGCTTTGTACGTCTTTTTGTGGTGGAAGTCGACGAGATAATTTATCGAGTCCACCATGTAGAGCTGGAGATTCATGAGAACCTGGCAATGCGTCAGTTGCATTATAATTCTTGGCAGGAAATAAAAGTGTGCGTACCACAACGTCCTGGACCCTGGCTCGGGTCTCTACAAAGTAGACGCTTGCAGCTACGCGCAAATCTACCGAGTCGCTCCCATCCATCTCCCTCGCGCGTTCAATCCTTGCGCCCCCATCCGTGCCGCTCCTTGGTCGAGACTTGACACCTCCTAAACCACCCAAGTTCCTCTTCTCCTTCCACTCCATTCCGAGTGCTTTGAGGGTTCGATAGATCTCCAACATTACTTCCATGGGCGGACTTCTGCTGCGAATCCCGAAGTGCCACTTCGTCCGGTGTTGTTTCTTCTCTTTAATAGGCCATGCGCGTTTAGCATTTGCATATGACGCTAGATGGTGCTGTTCAGGTAGCTGGTCGGGGAGGGGTAGCGAAGAGTTGAGCACAGCAAATGTGTTGAGGTCGCGTTCACCGTATTCACCATCTATCGGAGGAGTGGAAAAATCGAGTCCATCGTCGATGTCGTCATCTTCTTCACCATTGTCATATTCAGCGTTGAATTCGGCTTCAAAGGGATTGTCTTCGAGATCGCCAGGGGGTGAGAGGGCGTTGGGTGAGAGCGTATTCCGGGGCTAGAGGATCATCAATACAGGCGCGAAACTATGAGTATCGGTACTCACATCCATCGCTGCGAGCTGGGCATCTCGTTCTTGTTCCTCGAACTCTGCCACTTGGAAGATGATCAGTCAACCAGTGCTGTAAAAATTAGCTATGCAGATAATGAAGATACCTACAGTCACGGCCAGCACGGCGTTTGTCCCGTAGAAGCATGTATGCAACCTTGACCGCGTTCCCTTGAACTCCGTCATCCCGCCTCAGACACTCCCAGATATCATCCTTGTCCACTGCTTCCATGCGCGCTGCCAGTTCGTCAATTACATCCTCCTCAATGCGTCCCAGACCGTCAATAATCTCGAAGTCAAGTACCTTGGCCTGGGTGACAAGGGACGATAGCGTGCCAAGCACAGGACCAGGGGGTGGAGGGAGAGGGGTTAGGTAACGGGGAAGTTCAGTCCTGAAGAATGGGTGCTGCGTTATTTCGGGGATGGTAATACGTTTGACAGGGTCGATAGCGAGCATGTGGTTGATGAGACCGCGGGCATCAGCACCAAGATAAGACGGCATATGGTAAGAACCCTCTGTAGGATGTCAGTACGTACATTCTCAGGCAGAAGGCTAAAAGCACGCGGGAAAAGACGTACGACTAATTTTGGTGAACAGGGTTTGAACATCATCGTCTTCAAAAGGTAGCCTTCCACATAGCATGACATAGAGAATTACTCCACAGCTCCAGACGTCGATCTCTGGGCCGGTGTAAAGCCCTCCTCGGATCACTTCTGGGGCGGCATAATTGGGACTACCACAGCTCGTCTTGAGGAAATCACCATCCTTGATCTCATTGGAAAGTCCAAAGTCCGCAATTTTGACGTTGAGATCGTCATCAAGAAGTACGTTCTCTGGCTTGAGATCTCGATGGACGATTTTGAGCTTGTGGCTGTACTCTATCCCAGAGATGAGTTGTTGAAAGAACCTCCGGGCTCGGGGCTCCGGCATCCGCCCGTTAGCTACGATGTAGTTGAATAGCTCGCCACCTGCATACTCGAGAACGATGATAATATCTGTAGGGGTCGAGATCACTTCGTAGCTGAAAAAATCATGAGATGGAACAGTGATGATTGTTTGAAGGACATACAGCTTGATGATATGTGGGTGCCGCAGGGTTCGCATGTACTCTACTTCCCTCTGGACACGAGTCTTGGTCTTGGTCATATGGATGACTGCCTTAGATATGTACTTCATTGCAACTTTCTGACCTGTTATGGTGTGGGTAGCCACTAGAGAACATTCGTTAGTCCATCCACCGCAAAGATCAAGCAAATTTGTAAGATGTACTTTTGACCTTGCCAAACGTCCCCTCCGCGATATCTTGTATGACTGTGTATTCACCCAGCTTTGTCGCTGGGTACACTGGTTGTTCGCTCATGGCGGAGAGCCGTCGGTGGATGAGTAGTCGTTGCCGTTGTCGCGATCGTGGAGCTCGTACTGTGCGTCTGAATTGGGGGAAAATTGGGAAGATGCTGGGATTGATGTTGTTACGTACTTGATTTTGGGGTCTCACTTGCTTATGTATTATATCTTGTGATTCCCAGGTTGACTCAACCCGAGTCTTTGCTTGGCAATAACTATAACAAAGTTCAAAGCCAATTTTGGTGTAGATTCAATTAGGCGTGGATTTTCTTGAGAATGATTTCCCATCTCACTTTTGACGTATTCAATATATCCTGACATGTACATCGATGGTATACTTCAAGGAGACTTTTCCAAGGTTCTATTTCTCCCGCTTTCGGTTTTGAAGTAGGGTATCCATGTCATTCGACGCTGCGTTGCGAAATTGTTATGATCTAGCGCAGTGCGGCGTGCGTCCGACTCGGAAGTCGCAGTGACAAATAAAATGGTCGCAAGATTCATTCTCGAGGACGGGGATGGACTCACCGGCGCGATCAACGAGCTCATTCACCGACCGATTAATACAGTTGTTTTACGTTGACTCCTCCTGCGATCCGCATGTCATCCGACTTGCCATCAAGTTTACGATAACTTCTCTCCATTGGAATGAAACTCAGTGCATATTGTTAACAATATATGATATTTTCCTGCCAGATTCCTTGCACTACGGTTTGACAACCCTTCCGAGTCCGAGCGATATGAATTTCAGATCGGACCACCCTCATCTCTAGGTTGAGAAATTTGAAAGCATGAACGGTGTTTATCTGCTATCCGTTGGGTGTGTTCTCAGCTTGAAAACTGTTCGTGACGAGCTGTTTTGGCAATATATCCCTACCTTGTACGAGGCGACAATCCGAATGTTCTGGAGCAACCTTCTCTTGCCACGTCCCATAGATAATGCAACGCCGCTCCGCTGGACCGGAAGGTAATTTCAATTACATAATGTCGCGCAGATAAATTTTGACTTTGCTTGTAGATAAGTCCGAGTCATATCTAGATGCTCGCTCTCCGACTAGTCACCGTCACGATCCTGTACGTCCGTCTGTGCTGCATCAACTACAATCACTACTGGTGCAACGACATCTGTGACCTCCATAGTGGCTAACGGTGCTACAATAAGGCCGAACGATTCAGAGAGCCTTCTTTTGCGATGATCGCCATTCAGGCGATAATGGTAACGGCTAAACGTGAATGTTGGACAGTAAACTTTTGAGGTATTTCTGCTTGATCTTTGCTCTTATCGTTTTGAACGCTGTACTATACAACCTGCCAGAAAAAGATCACACCCGGTTTCCAGCGGCTCATTCAAGTTTGACAGCAGAACTCGATCTTCCACTCCACAACACACTGTACCCAATCTGAATCAGTTCAATAAATGATCATCTCGTTCTGAAAACAATTCGACTCTTGTCACTGCGACACCACGCCAGGTCCTCACTAGGCCACCCTGGCATTGCAACATACCCAGCTATGGCAACTAGGCACAGATAAGATTGCTGTTGTGTTTACATCCATGGCCGAGCGCGGACCGAAACTTATAAACGTTCCTCCTTTGGTCTCACACATGATATCCGTGGAATCCCGTCGCCCTTATCGAGTCGTTCACAAAAATGGAGGGCAGTGCGGTATAGCGGCGCATCAAAGCAGTCTTCTTACAGTCGCTTGATCTCTGGCAGTTAGTGAAGCATGCGACAAATAACTTAAAAAAAGTTGATATTGGTCGTCTATCTTTGCTATCAGTGTAACATGCCGTGAATGAATGGCATGTGAACTAGACGTACATCAGAGTTCAGATGGACACTGGTCTCAGTGTCTTGTTCCGACTAGCTCCTGCGGTGGGGAGCATCCAATAATGATGGACTTTGGTGGTTGACAACGCAATCAATTAAAACCTCGTCCTGTAAGATATCCTGCGAGTTTGGTACGCCATGTTAACGCGGGGATACAGTGCAGAAACCCTAAAATTCTGTCATACCCTAGCGCCGAGTTAGGGATAATTGCTTCTGGCGCGTTATAGCAGTAGGTTAGAAGATATGATGCGTAATTGTCTTCCCAGACTCGGCGAGCAGAGTCAAATCTCTTTGGTCAGCTAGGAAAAAAGTTGAGGCGCCCGAATTCAATTGGAGATAAGTAGATAGGGTCTTTGTCAGGAAAAAAGCATTCAGGTTTGAAATCTGGCGAAGTACAGCGAAAAGGGTGCAGTCATAGCGCATAACCTACTTGGTGTGTACAATGTGGCGCATACTTGGGCCGACCAGGTGAGAAGGAACTACCTCGGTTGTCAGATAAATGCCGCCATACAGATATCGTTGGAGCAATAAAACAGCACAGATTCATAAACAAAACGCACCTCTGGAGTTCTTGATTTCAATATCCATTCACTAGTCTTTCATTACCAATTTTTCGGTGATGTGGCAGGCGATTGTCGACTAGCATTGTGCTCCCTCATGTCAATTGGGAACGTTTTCAAAAAAAATCTATTTCCCTTTGAAGGATTCGTAACAAGGTTCAGACAATCTATTTTTCTTCCAAAGATTGGTCACGAGGATCAGCAGGTTTAGATCGCAGTGAATAGCTACATACCAGCGAGTGATTCCAGTAAGCTACACGACCACCCAACCCTGCAATGATGTCACAGGGATACTTGACTCAGCAGGCGGCGAGCGTCTCATGATAGTCCGATCTCCTTTCTTGCTTCACAGGGATGGGAAGCCAGAGTATCCAGATGTCAGGTGTCTGCGATAGACCCTCCAAATACAGAACAGTGTCATGAAATGAAGTTGCTGGTCGCTCTGAGCTTTTGATTAGAGGACTTTTTCTCGCTTTAAACACGCACTTGTTGTGTATGCGATGAAGGAAATAATATATACTTGAAGCGGTTGTAGACAGTCATAAAATCAACATGTTCAGGAGGGTCTCCATCGCTCGAAAGATGGTATGAAATATTCCAGGATCTTTGGGATAGGATCCTGTGACACGCGAACGACGATAAGGATCGCCACGTCAGCATAACTCTAAAATTTGCAGAGGATCGTCAGGTAAGATCATCAAAACCAGTAATTTCGTGTATAGAGGCTGAATGGTAAAACATACAGATGGATATGCGGGAATGATGCTCCGAGTGCTATGGTACAGACATGCAAAGGAAAAAAAAAAAGGAAAGGAAACGCGGAAAAAGACACGCAACGTAGATTATGGAGCCACTTTTGTGGCGATCACCTCCTTCTTAAGCGCATCGCACTTGATTTCTTGCGCTTCAGCATGCTCGATTGTCTTTGCGAGTTTCTCCTCCCTGGTCTGCAAGCGCTGCTCCATGCCAAGGACGAGGAGGCGGATCTGTTCTACCTGCGTTAACGTAGATTCAACCACTGCTTGAGAGACAGGCGAAGAAGTAGATAAATCAGGATTGCCCGACTGGGGTGTTGGCGTCCCTCGGAAGACGGACCCCATGACAGCACGAGCGGCGAATGTCGACGAAGGTGGCGCGATGTCGAGCACACTCTGAAGGCATATCAGATGTATACGATTCATGAGATCTAATAGGAGTGTATACCTGCCAATTCTCGCCCGCGAATTTGGCCAAGGCTTGCTCCAACATTTTCTCCCTTGTCTTCACCCTATGACAACATACCGTCTGGAGTGAATAATAGACACGCAGCATGTGTACGCACCTGTCCAGTTCTGCCATGCACCTTTCATTCTCTCTCTGAGTTCCCTGCAGAATCAAATCCAGATTTTTATATTCCTTCTCCAGCTCCTGGATCCTTTCTATGGGTGGCCGCAAAGCAAGTTGTTGTTGTAGAGTCAATATCGTCGATTGAAGCTTAAATAAGTCCGAGTCAGTTTATTTGAGCTGCACAGATCGTCGCCCATGATTGATTAAGCTGACCTTATCATTCTCGCGATCTTTGTCTAGGAGCTGCCGTCGCAATACATCTTCGATAGAAGGCTCGTCGCCCTCACGAAGAATGCCGAGATCATCTGTAGCTAGTGCAAGAGGTGTTTTTCCGTAGTTGCGCACACTCTGTACACGGCGCATGTTCGCCATCTGTCTTCAGGTCGTCGCTAAGCAAAAACCTGGACCCTCTCCAGAACGCGTGTTGACAACTGCGTGCACGTGATTGACGCGTTTGATGGACTGATTTGCGCGATTCAGGACCAGAATCCTCAGCCTCTTAGCACACCAACACACAAAATTTCACTGGAACTATAACACTGGTGGGACAACTCTACTATACATTGAATTCTTGCGCACATATCGAATGTGCCCACCACAGAATCTTGATACAAAAACCGTTGCAATAAGAACGGACAGAAAATCATTATGCGGGAGGCTTTGTTTACAGGATGAAAAGACAATCATGAAGGTAATTTACTCTGGCAGTGCAAATGAAGGCGAGAAAATAGTTGCGAAGTCAATGTCTGTACGATTCGATAGGCGCGAACGCTTGGAGGTACGCTTCTGTGGTGAAGAAACACTGGGCTTGGAGTCAAGGACAACGGAAGTGGTTGCCGGATGTGCTGGTTTGGTGAGCCGCCTTCTCGGCCTGGTTGCGTCTTGATTACGGACGAAACTTGCTTTAGAAATGAGAAGTGGCGCGAACATCCTTTGAGTAGTAGTACGAGAGCTTTGTTCGCGACCACCTGAATCTTTAACGCCCGTTATGTCACTCCTCTTCGCAAAGGTCACTGTTACAGCACGCCGCAGTCTTGACCAAATTCGTTTCGATGGTGATGCCCGAGGAACGCTAGGTCTGGATAAAACTGTGTCTATGATTGGCGCTTTGATAGAGTTCGCTGTCGAAATTCCAGAAGTGCAGCCACGGGAGTCGACGTTTCTGGCCGGGTTCTTGTTGGAGAGTTGTGCGTCTAATGCATCTAGCCTGAGTCTTTTCCCTCCCTTTTCGGTCACAGCTGCGGAGACATTAGAGGAGCTGCGTGCGCACGAGTCGAACGTGATGATGGCATTACCTTTACACGCGGAAAGATCCGAGAGATCAATATCGTGGCTCGCGTCAAGGTTCGGTGGTTGTCCTGGGAAGGAAGACATGTCGGCGAAAACCAGTGGGGAAACCGGAGACCACTGCGCAGTTGACGTAGAGTGATTGGCAGAATTCAGCTTGGGAGATGACCGGGCAGGATAGATCTCTCGCTGTCCTGAGGAAAATGATGGCCTAATCATTACATAGAATAACACTTGGCGTTAGTGAAGACAAGGACAGGGAACAGGAATCTATACTCTTGAGATGTGAAGTAGTTGGCTGTCTCAGCGGGAATGTTGGTAGAGCTCTCTGTAGATAATTTTCCGGTGCTTCGCGAATCAGAGACAGCAAACGGATCCATAGAACTATCGAACATCGTGGAGAGAGAACCAGGGCTCGCAAAAGTTTCTCTGTCTTCGGTGATGGGGGAAAGATCTTTGCTCGAATGCTTGAGCGTTGTCTCCTGTAACTAAGATGGTCAGGCATAGTCAGTGGCCGGCGCATTAACATACTGGTTGGTCTGGATTCAAGACAGTCTCGGGGAATGGAGTTGGGAATTGAAACGGAATGTTGTCAGAAAACTGCTTGTCATCCGATGTGTGTTTTGTGTTTAGCACATAGAAGTCGTGATCGTGGTTCTTAGCGGGTATTTAACGCTCGTGCTTTGAACATCGCTGAAGACCGACTTACCTTGAAAGAAAATTGTCTCCTTACGCGCCTCAGTCTATGTCGAGGCGCGGGTGTGGGACTTGTATCGTGTACCTATACAACATAAATTTGTCTTGGATTTCCCAGCGATACATTCTTGTAGCTCACCGCACTCTCCTTGAGTCATAAGACATGGATGGTGACCAAAACTTAGACAGAAGGTAGGATGTATGCGTACCTGATGAGACTTCGGACACGCCTGAGAGTAGCCATTTGATCTAATGCGGCTCAAGAGCGGGAAACAATGATCAGCGAGAATATCATTAAATCTAACATCATGTTCGTCTCCAATGTTAAAGGAAGAAAACTGCATCAATGGTCATGCACGACTTAGTTGAAGACAGGTCTTACGATAGAAAATTAAATTGTTTGTTACCGTGAATGATGCCTCTTGGCCATGCGACTGCGATTTTCTGGTCGCCGAGCTGGGCGATGTGGTCCAAAGGACTCTGTCTAGATCATAGGAATCGAATTAGTGGAATAGTTGGGTATCTTTCGGCTGATCATCACCAGGTCTATCTTGTGGGAGCTTGAACAGGGGATCTGGAGGTGAAGGTGTTATCTCAAAGGACTGCACCATACTGAAGTCAAAGTATATAAACATCAACTTGAAAGCACCGACAGGTTTGGGTTTGAGTATGAGCTTGAGGATCCGCCGGGTACTGGTGAGACCCATCAACACTATTATTAGCAGATATGATAATGGTGGCCAGCTGCAACGATACGACGGAGGCAGCGAACAATTGATATGGTTAATGCAGGTAGCAGATTGCGGAGTTCGCACCATAGGACTCTGAATTCCGGATGGCGTCCGGGATTCTAAATTTGACGCGCCACTTGTAAGCGCTCCGTGGGAACAAAACCCGAGCCAAGTTCAAAAAAACGTTTGAAACTTCCGAATCGCTTCTAGAGAGTTGCTACTCTATAGTCTAAGCTCGACTTCTTGCCAGTGGATGATTTGATATGATCTGGTTGTCATCGACGTGGACCGTTCCGACCTGGTGATGGGCCACCCATGAAAAAGAGACTTTGATTGATGTAAGTAGTGTTAATTACTAGTACTACTTACCCGCTCTGAACATTCTGTTTAACGTGGATCGAACAAGAATCTTGCATTTAGTAGTACATAATTGCATGTATGTGCATATCTCGTGTGCCGGGCTTGTGAATCAATCGATCATTGCTGCATCATCGTTATGTCAATTCATTTCGGTCGTATGCGTCGTTTCTGTGATAGGATTGTCTATGCCTCTTCAAGCTTCAAGGCTTTACCTTCTTCCTTCGGAAATCGACTCATAGCGAATGCTAATTATGATCAGCGCTTCAAGAATCAAGTTAACCGTGACATGTTGGCTATGCTTTTGGTCACTGAGGGTATTTATATCGTGCAAGAGGTTTCCTCATTTCTCTCCCACCGACTACTTGCACCCCATTTCGTTCACAGTAATTCATGATGAGTGAAGACCATAGGCCAGATCATCCTCCAGAAGCCTGCGAAGCAACCGTTCATGAAAGCTCGGTATGTAGTCCGACTTGAGGGCTCACTCACTATGGATGAGCACTTGTGAAATTCATCGTCGGATCTGACGCTTTCTTCGTCCAGAGTCGACCTCGTGGTCAAGTCCAGCAGACTATTCAGAAAATTTCAAAAGGCTTCACCAAGAAATTCTCTGTAAGTAGACAGCTGGGTTACCTGATTTTGAATATGGCTGACATCGTGCAGAAACCTTTCAAGCGTTCCCGCAACCGCATTCCTGCGGTCCAGAATGTTGATCAAGGTTCTTCATCGAATCAGAATGTCGAGGTACGTACTCGAAATTGAAATTCCAATCAAGTTTTTTTTTTATCAGAGGCGCCTAGGACACGTCATACCTGCATCCTTCCACCGGTGACAAACATCCTGCTTCATCTGAAATTCCCAGTGTCTGCATCAACCAAGGGTCATCCGGAGAACCTGCTTCGGAGGTACTTGTACCACGTTATCTGATTTTCGTCTCTAATTTTTGTTGATCGTATCAAGGTTCTTGCCGCCCCGCCTAGCGCAAAGGAAACACGTCGTTCCGCATCAACTGATGCTGAACTTCAGGCTGCCCATGAGGCTTTAGAACACATGAGAACACTCGGGGGACCTGCGCAGTCTGCGACATCCGCCGCCAGCAATGCCTCAGCAAGTCTCACTGCTGCAGATAATTTCAGCACCACATACCTCCAACCCCTGAAAATTTTCGACACTGCCATTGAAAAGATCGCAAATGTATGGGTAGCTCTCCTTAGTTGGTAGTGAACTAATCAAGTTATAGGTGCATCCATACGCAAAGATGTCGTTGGGCGTACTTTCTGCTGCAGCCAAAGTACGTTCTATGTTGCTCGGAGATCTGCCTCCCGCTCAGAAGTTATGGTTAGATTATTCTTGCTCAAGCGGAGCGCGACGAATCGGTACAACGCCTTCTCCAGAAATTAGATCAAGTCTATGGCTTCATTATTCAAGACGATAATCTTTTCAAGGTTGAATCGATGAGCGATGTCGTCAGAAAGATCGCTCAGCAGACTCTCGAGTGTGCCCGTTTTATCAGGGATTACTCAGAGACGAAGAGCTTCTGTTAGTCGTCGGACTTTCGCATTCACACATGAATCTGATACTTGTTATGATAATAGGGAAGAGATTCAGTAAAAACATCATGGCGGAAACGGATGTTATCATCACACAGTACAACGACGTCTTGGATGGCCTTATGCAGCGATTTCGGGATCAAGCTCATCGGGACGTAACTGTCTTTATCCACTCTGCGGGTGCGCATTTATACGTGGCTCTGGTTTTACATGTACTCATACCCTTAAAGGTGAAACACTCGATCTCAGTGGCATGGTTTATGCAGGGGGCGCAGGACTGGATATTACGAAGCAATGTCTGCCAGGCACTCGCAAGGAAATTCTCTCCCAGATCATCGAGTGGATCAGTAGTGGAGATTCTGTTTCGCCCGTAATGTGGCTGTCTGGTCCCGCAGGCAAGGGCAAATCAGCCATCGCTCACACGATTGCCAACTGGTTTAAGGAAACGGGAGGCCTTGGCTCATGTTTTTGTTTTGATCGCCGCAGAGAAGCAGACCGTCGCCATGAAAAGATTTTCTCCACCATCGCGCGTGACCTTGCTGATCGTGATCCAGCAATGAAGCGAGCATTAGCGGATGCGGTCAAGGATGCAAACTCACTCAAGAAAACGACAGATATTCTTCAGCAGTGGCGCGACCTTCTCATGGAACCGCTAAAGAAGTTCTCTGCGTCAAGCGTAGGGCCTGTCTTGATTGTGATCGAAGCATTGGATGAGAGTGGTGGATCGGAGACGCGGCGCAACATCCTCCGCATACTTGCAGGTAGACTTCAGGACAGAGGACTTCCCCAAATCACCGAACTCCCTTCTAACTTTCGGATTCTCGTCACCTCTCGCCCACTTCATGATATCGAAATGGAGTTTGAAGGCGTCGATCATATTCTACGGTTGTCCATGGACGCTATTCCACCAGAAGTCGCAAAGCGCGACATTCGCGCCTTTGTAACTGAGGAGCTGAAAGCGGTATCAGAATTTCGGGACAGCCATTCTGCAATGCTTGCTGAAAAAGCTGATGGACTCTTCGAGTGGGCGCGTCTCGCCTGTGAATACATCAAAGACACCCCTCCGGGTGTACGCCGAACGCCTCGCTTCAATGCCCTCGTGAACCGCAGTACCAAAAAGCAGAAAAGCCTCTTGCACGACATGTATCTGATGATTTTAAAAGAAATCATGAACAGGAATCAATATGATGACGACGAGTACGAAGAAGCATTAGCAGGGTTTCGGTCCATGATGGGACAGATACTTGGCACAGCCGAGCCACTCCCGCTCGATTCCCTTAATATCATGCGGAGCTACTTTCTAGACCGAAGCAAGGATGACAGCATGGACATTATTAAAAGTATGGGGTCCCTCCTCAGTGGCACCAGCGACTCATGCACTCCCGTCCGACCTCTTCACGCATCTTTCTACGACTTCCTGACAGAGAAGTCATACAGCGGAGACTTTTACGTCGAGGTATCTAACGTCCAACGTGACCTTGCATTTGCATCACTACGAGTGATGGAACACGGCCTTTGCTTCAATATCTGTGATTTGAAGTCGTCGTACCTCCCTAATTCCAAAGATACGGGGCTGCCTCAACGAGTCAAAGCATCCATTTCCCCACATCTCTCCTATTCCTGTCGATTTTGGGCTACCCATGTTCAAAAAACGGACTTCGACGATGAGCTCGCAAATGCGATCAAGTCATTCTTCGATGACGAACGATTGATGTTCTGGATTGAAGCACTCGGACTTCTCAATGCAATCAGTGGTGCAGTTACTGTGCTTCCACTCGTTGCCAAGTGGCTGAAGGTGAGCACATGCCTCCGAGACAGTGTAGTACGAACAGCTTATAGATAAATACAGGGCCACTCTGGATATGAAGATTTGCAGTCCGCCACGATGGACGTACAAAGATTCATTCAAGTGTTTGGTGGCATGATTTTACACAGCACACCGCATCTGTATTTATCAGCGCTTCCATTCTCGCCCATCAACTCCACCATTGCTACTAAATTTACGACAGGATTTCCGAATAACCTTCGTCTTGTGTTCGGCCGCGATTTGAACTGGACAGTTGTTCAGGCCGTCATTAATGGGCACAACGACGAAGTCAACTCAGTGTCATTCTCACCGGATGGTACTCGCATCGCGTCTGGTTCTTCGGATAAAACTGTGCGGCTGTGGGATGCAGGGACGGGACAGCCATTTGGTGAACCCTTGGAGGGGCACACTAAAGCAGTTTTGTCAGTCTCGTTCTCACCGGATGGTACTCGCATCGCATCTGGTTCTTTGGATAAAACTGTGCAGCTGTGGGATGCAGGGACAGGACAGCCATTGGGTGAGCCCTTGGAGGGGCACACTGGACCAGTTTGGTCAGTCTCGTTCTCACTGGATGGTACTCGCATCGCGTCTGGTTCTTCAGATAACACTGTGCGGCTGTGGGATGCAAGGACAGGACAGCCATTGGGTGAGCCCTTGGAGGGGCACACTGGAGCAGTTTCGTCAATCTCGTTCTCACCGGATGGTACTCGCATCGCGTCTGGTTCGGAGGATATGACTGTGCGGCTGTGGGATGCAGGGACAGGACAGTCATTGGGTAAGCCCTTGGAGGGGCACACTGGACCAGTTTTGTCAGTCTCGTTCTCACCGGATGGTACTCGCATCGCGTCTGGTTCTTGGGATAACACTGTGCGGCTATGGGATGCAAGGACAGGACAGCCATTGGGTGAGCCCTTGGAGGGGCACACTGGAGGTGTTTTTTCAGTCTCATTCTCACCGGATGGTACTCGCATAGTGTCTGGTTCGGAGGATATGACTGTGCAGCTGTGGGATGTAGGGACAGGACAGCCATTAGGTGAACCCTTGGAGGGGCACATTGCATCAGTTTTGTCAGTCTCGTTCTCACCGGATGGTACTCGCATCGCGTCCGGTTCGCAGGATATGACTGTGCGGCTATGGGATGCGGGGACAGGACAGCCATTGTGTAAGGCCTTGAGGGGGCACACTGGATCAGTTCGGTCAGTCTCGTTCTCACCAGATGGTACTCGCATCGCGTCTGGTTCGGAGGATATGACTGTGCGGCTGTGGGATGCAGGGACAGGACAGTCATTGGGTAAGCCCTTGGAGGGGCACACTGGACCAGTTTTGTCAGTCTCGTTCTCACCGGATGGTACTCGCATCGCGTCTGGTTCTTGGGATAACACTGTGCGGCTATGGGATGCAAGGACAGGACAGCCATTGGGTGAGCCCTTGGAGGGGCACACTGGAGGTGTTTTTTCAGTCTCATTCTCACCGGATGGTACTCGCATAGTGTCTGGTTCGGAGGATATGACTGTGCAGCTGTGGGATGTAGGGACAGGACAGCCATTAGGTGAACCCTTGGAGGGGCACATTGCATCAGTTTTGTCAGTCTCGTTCTCACCGGATGGTACTCGCATCGCGTCCGGTTCGCAGGATATGACTGTGCGGCTATGGGATGCGGGGACAGGACAGCCATTGTGTAAGGCCTTGAGGGGGCACACTGGATCAGTTCGGTCAGTCTCGTTCTCACCAGATGGTACTCGCATCGCGTCTGGTTCGGAGGATATGACTGTGCGGCTGTGGGGTGCAGGGACAGGACAGCCATTGGGTGAGCCCTTGAAGAGGCACGTTGAAACAGTTTTGTCAGTCTCGTTCTCACCAGATGGTACTCGCATCGCGTCTGGTTCTTGGGATAACATTGTGCAGCTGTGGGATGCAGGGATGGGACAGCCATTGGGTGAGCCCTTGGAGGGGCACACTGGACCAGTTTTTTCAGTCTCGTTCTCACCGAATGGTACTCGCATCGCGTCTGGTTCGCAGGATATGACTGTGCGAATGTGGAGTGCAGTGAAAAGTCAGCTATCCCTCGAGTCCAGAGCGCCAGATTCTTCCACATCTCCGCTGCATCGAAGCACCACATCTCCCGCCCAAGAAAGCCATATCATGCCGACCAACACTTGTAGCGATCACCTCATCTGCTTCTCGTCCAGCCTGGAACACGTCCTGTCCAACCCCGCCGACTTGCTCGAACCCACCTCTCATCATAATTCTAATTCAACCCCTTTCTTTCTGCGGGCTGATGGATGGATCACGGGACCTGATCATCAGCTTCTTTTCTGGGTACCTCCTGCCTCCCGACATGCATTTTATAACCCTTGTACTTCATTGGTTATACCCAGAGGATATCCTGAACTTGACTTGAGCCGCATGGTACATGGAATACACTGGTCGAGCTGCCGAGATGTGTGAGTTATTAATCTTTATCATTCATCCTTTCAGCTGCTAACATCAATCCTGTCAGTTCCACGTAACGATGCTTTTATTGCTGCAATATCGAGTGTATCATCCGATTTTTTGATTCCCCGTCAAGTTTATACTTAGTACCGACTCTGAATTTACTGTTATTCGACTGAACCATGTGCTGAGAAGAGACTGAGTGCAACTCAAATGTTGCTGCTCATTCATGAGAGCGCGTAACGAAACCTAATTCTTCAGAGACGTGGTTGTACCCTTAAAATCATGCAGGTTGAGTAGGCGTTACAGGCGCTTTGATGCTCCTGTTTTGAGACGTCACCACCATCAGCACCGATATGATTACTTTTGACTCGAAGTTCTTTAAGGCAGCTGTACTAGTCTTTTGATTGAAGTGTGAGATGCAGTGGCCTCGTGCGCCAAGGACGCGCTGATCGACTTATTTTCCAATTTGAATTCTGATAAGATCATCAGTAGTAAATGAACTCCAGCGTTGCTGCTTAGTGTTGCACGCTGGTATTGTGCAGACTGAGGCCTGAGGGATGCGTCCACGATGGCAAATTACCCATTTCGCCAGGCAAAGACGACTAGCAGTGGTAGGTTGCAGTTATGTAGACCATCCATCGTTCACAGGCGAGTTTACAAAGAATTTGATAACAAACCCAGCTCCTTTGAATGTGCCATAATTTCCGGTACCTGTCAACAGTAACTCCTTGATGAAGTCGACGTCTATGGTTCATGTCATAAGAGATCAGCTCGGGGGTCATGAGTTAACAATATTCATATTCATTCATGTAGTATGTCTCTAGTTACAGACATGCCAATTGGTAGATTGAGGAGTAAAGCTTTTGCAGCAAACAAAAGGAATTCACCGCTATCCTTCTGGGTACTTCGCATTCGTAATGTTACTTGTCAGGGAGGATCGGACTCGATAGTCGATGTTGCCTTCCCAGGTATTCAAGGACACATAGTACATTGTGCCTGGTATGGGGTATCACAGGAAGATCGTGCCATGGACGACATCATAGGCTTGTTGAGTTACCATTTGTTCCAGAGTATGCTGGCACGACTCCGTGGCATGGATTACTCTGGCGACGAGCATAATTTCTCCGACGAGGACAGGAATCAGGTGACTATTGTTAATAACCGACTCCACGAGCACAGCGTACTATGAATCAACTACACAACTTACGATGTGCGAAGAGAGCAGGACTCGATTATCTTTGCGAGTCGCTGGGTCGCGGTTTCCATGGCTCGAAAAGAAACACGAATGACATTGCCGCTAGTTGTATTTACAAGGTGTGATGTCTACGATCGAGGTGATTGGTCTACTGAGCTTATGGGCGAAGGCGCGCAGCGCCTCCCGGTCCCGAGCTGCAATTCCTGCATGAAGAAGGTGAGCTGCGATTCCCAAGGATGTAGCATCAGCAAAAGTGCTCAAACCTGACGAGGCCTTGGAAGGCCTAACAAGACCACACACGACCTTGCGAATATTGGAAGGCCTGCGATACCTTGCGAGGAAATAGCCCCGTCTTGGATGGCCTTCTTAGAGTGCATCTAGGATGGCTTTTCGAGGATGTACGAGGTAGGTTGACCTTGCGAGGGTGCTAAGGCTGTGGAAGCTTGCAAGGGTATACTAGGCCTTGCTAGATCACTCGAGGTTTATATACAATAGAAGGCTTTACGAGATCACGCGTGTTAAGTGTACTTTGAAAGGCCTCGAGAGGCAATGCATTAGTGTATAGTACTAAAATACATCATTTGTACGAAGTCCGGGTCACAGTAAAGTCCAGAGCGTGATCGAGTCGATGGCAGTGGTCAACAAGCAGCGAAAACGAGCAATAGGGAATGAAACAGCAAGAAAGTTCATGGTCCTAGTAACCATTCTTGCGTCGACCGGAAGTTCGACGTGGGGCGTCCGGAGCCGTAGTAGTTTTCCTCCTTCCTTTTTGCTTTGAGGGCTGAGCGAGGGGTGGTGGAGTGGAGTTGTTGTTGTCAGTCAGATCTGACAGTGGGGATGAGGGGCGTGGAGGTGATGGTGCAGTTACTGGCCGGGACTCCTAATCATGACATTAACAGAGTGAAAAAAAATAGACCTAGTGACATACCCCAATCATACCCCACTGCTGCTCAGTCATGAGCTCACCTACTGAATACTCACGCTCATTGCGAGCAGTACGACGAGGTTTCGGCTTGGGTTTCGGCTTGATACGTGGAGGCTGGTCCTCGTCATCGTGGTGAATAGAGGCACTTGCAGGACGGTGTTGCTCGCTTGGGCGAGGTCGTTGATCCTCTCTAACAGAATCTGCAGGGCTATGGCCACATATTTCAGTCATGTTACTACGTAGAACCCTGGCTCCGGACATGCAAAAAGGCTGTAGAATCCATGCCAGCCAGTCACCGGCCGGTAGACATAGGATCAGTGCTGGCCAGTCTGTCTAGGAATTCTAGTAATAGCATTCACAAGCATATTGCAATCACTATACAATATGCAGAACCTGTGCTGGCCAGATTGTATAGTATATTAGTACAGGATGAGCTTATTGGATAATGTTCGGGCCAGCCTAACATTTACAGAGGGTGATATTAGGGTGGCCATTCAGTCAATATCCTACTTACATATATAATATGTGGATTTGCTAATCTACATATCTACCTATGACTATAGATAATGCTCGGCCTGTATGTCCTGAGGTGACATAGAAGGCTAATGGCCAGGACTTAAGGACTAGTCATATATGTAGACTACCAATATATGCTAGAATTAACAAATCTGGCCAGCTTGTCTGTGGGGCCATGTGGAGCAATGACGGCTGCTGTGTGGTGTATAAAAAATTATTGGGCCTGGCCAACATGCCTATTGCCCACATAGAGGGATGGTGGGCAGGATGTTATAAACTGACCCGGCCAGCACGTTGGCTATGTGGCCTAAGAGCATGGCTGGCCATTCAATGTAGATAATTATTAGACCTGGCCGACATGTCTATGGCCCACGTAGAGGGATGGCGGCCGGGCTGTTATAAATCTAAAGGTGGCATGGCCAGCATGGGTTTTACATAGGCTACAGACCAGACAGGCCATTTCGTGTACTATAGAATAAACTTACCTGGCCAGTTTGCCCATGAGCCATATAGATGGATGTTGGCCAGGTGTGTTGTATAAATGTTTTAGTGTACAAGAAAATTATTAGGGCTGGCCAGCTTGAGAAGATATTACACTGTGGCCACCATCCTTCTACATGGCCCAAGGGCAAGTCGGCCAGCCTTAATGATTTTCTTATAAGCTGAAGGTTGTCTATTCTATGGTATGGCCAGCCTTGTCTGTAGCCTATGTAAACACGATGCTGGCCGAGCACCTTTAGATGTATAATATCCCGGCCACCATCCCTCTATGTGGGCCATAGACATGTCGGCCAGGTCTAATAATTTTCTACACTAAATAAGGTAGTCTATTCTATGGTACCTTGTATGGCCAGTCTTGCCTGTAGCCTATGTAAACACCATGCTGGCCATATCTGCTTGAGAAGATATCACACCTTGGCTGCCAACCTTCTACATGGCACAAAGGCATGTTGGCCAGCCTTAATGATTTTCTTGTAAGCTCAAGTATTATACATGATAGACAACACTATACACCAGAGTACCTTATTCTAAAGTACACTGAATGGCCTGTCTGGTCTGTAGCCTATGTAAAACCCATGCTGGCCGAACCACCTTTAGATTTGTAACAACCTGGCCTCCATCCCTCTACGTGGGCCATAGACATGTCGGCCAGGTCTAATAATAAGCTCAAGTATGATAAATGATAGACAACACTATAGACCAGGTTAATTTATTCTAAAGTACACTGAATGGCCAGCATGGCCTGTAGCACATGTAGAACCCATGCTGGCCGAGCCACCTTTAGATTTATAACATCCCGGCCGCCATCCCTCTATGTGGGCCATAGACATGTCGGCCAGGTCTAATAATTTTCTTCACTGAATGGCCAGCCTTGCTCTTAGGCCACATAGCTAATGTGCTGGCCGGGTCAGCTTCAGATATAGTATGATACCTAAGAGGATAATGACCAGTGTATTGTATATTTAACAGCTCCGAAGACAATACACAAATATTTGACTAAAGAATATTCTTCCTAGATGGTTGCCTAGATCTGGTTGACCGACGAATAGGTTCATCTTCAATCCTGGCCTTCTTAGTCTTCACTGAGGAAGTCTGGTTTCTCACCCTTTTCTTCCCTTTGGATTTGCCTGCCTCCTGTTCCTGCTCGTTGTCCTTCTCCACCTCCTGCATCTGCACATCCAAATCTCCTGTCACCTCCTCCTGCTCATCTTCCTCGTCCTGGTCCTTGTCCTCTTCCATGTCCTCATCCTCTTCCTCATCCTCTTCCTCTTCATCATCCTTGTCCTTATCCTCTTCCTCATCCTCATCCTTGTCCTTATCCTCATCCTCGTCCTTGTCCTCTTCCTTGTCCTCATCCTTGTCCACGTTCTCACCATCAACTCCCTTCATCTCCTCCTGATCACCCTCATCAAAGTCACCTGATGTAGCCTTCATCGCCAACTCAATGAGGCCTACAATGGCGCATAAGGTATGACGGATTGTGTTGTCCACCTTAATCATACATTGGAGGTCCATGATTGAACTGGCCAAGTAGATGGGGGTACCAGGTGGGGCCTTGTCTTCTTCATACTCGATGACTCGTTTACAGTCTCTCAAAATCAAACCCAGGCCCAAAACCACTAGGGCACCTGAGGACGAAGACCTGATTGGGGCCTGTGTCAATACCTCCAAGCTGGCCATCACCATGTCCTGTGACCCATGCAAATACTCTGGAAGGTAAGACTCTCCGCAACACCAATCAACCCATGAAGGTAACTCAAGCTCCTCGTTTGGTGTTGACTAGTGAATGAGTTATGATCAGTACATTCCCAAGATTAATAATGCACTTACAATATTTTCCGTCATTTTAGCCAGATCCTTGACTGCATCTACGAGCTTCAGGTAAGAGCTATCAGTGCTGAGCCCATCTAAAAATTCAAAGCGGCGGTCAAGTGGAACCTCAGCTGGCGATACTACAGCTAAAGTAGCACCCAGTCCAGCCAGACTATGCTGTTCTTCTTCAGAGGTAACTTCGTCATATGGTTTCATCTTCCTGGAACTTGCTTTGTCCCTTTTACTATGTCTCATGTCCATTGGTCTTGCCTTGATAAAAGAGACAAGCCTCTTTTTTGCCACGCTCCAACTCTCCCAATACTTCCAGATGACATTGATATCCTTCGATCTCATGTGAGAGGGGTCACAGATGAGAAGATTATCTGGAACAGAACTAGCCGCCAAATACTGTGACGGACAAGGAGTGATGGTACGCCAGGGCACGGGCTTACTAGTGCCAGTGAAAACTTCTACAGAAGCAAACCCAATCAGCAAGCATATAGTAAATTCATGACGAAGACACCTACTGTATGCAGCATGAAAAATCATTCTTACAAGCTCTTGTTGACCCTTAAGTCTGATACCATCACGAGAAGGAAGTTGGGCATAGCCTTCATCGTCCAAAATGAGTTCAGGTAGTCCATGTTCCTCCTCTTCCTTGTCGTCTTGATCAGCTGTTGGGTCTATTGATTTATGGTCAATTAATGTTTATAAAATGAAGTGATAGTAACTATACAAAATTCGCCCTTCGCCCACTCAGCAAAGAACTCGAACCCAGTTGAAGTCCACTCTTTTATACCGTCTGAGCTGACGGAGAAACTTTTTTTGACATTCCTAGGCTGAGATTCATGTCTAGAGGAGTATAGTTTAGTAGTTTTAAGATATATAAACGACCTAATACTCACAAGATGATGTTCAATGTCTGATCTGCTCATTTCTTGTGACTGACAAGCATCACGATGTGGCAACCCATAGTTCGACGGAGTTGTTCAGAAAAATCTTCAAGGACTTTCTTGAGATTATTCTTACGATACCTGCCAGCTGATGTCAGACTTGAAACCCTAACAAAAAAAATTCACTGAGCTCACATAACCTGGCTTTCTTCTGGTGCCCCCTCTGTGTTCCACTTCTCTTGTGCATAATCAACTTCTTTCTTCTGTGTCAATGACATTTTGTTGAACCATTCTCGCGCATGACGAGTACGAAACTTGATGGGATCCTTCACACCTTTTCTCGCCTGCTCTGCCTTGTCAAATTCATCCATTTCTTGTTTAAACAATCTCTGAGCCACTTCCCAGTCGGTCAGCATTTTCTTATAGAAAGATGCTTCCTTTGGATGGGCACTAATCTCCCTTGCCTTTGCAGCTCCTTCCTCATCAGATTCTTCTTCGTCATTTTTGCGTCCGTAGTATTTTTTGATTGCCTGCAAGTAGTGTATTAATAGACCTGTCAAATATCCTAACATCAGTAAAAATAATACCTTCTTCAAAGAACTTGGCAAAGGCACTTGTTCGCCTTGTTCCTTGTGAGCTACAACTATGGCCTTTCGAATTTTCTTGATCACACGAGACCGCTCTGACTTTGAATTGGCAGCCAAGAACTTGGATTGATAACTGACTAGGATAGCTCTGAAGCTACTGGTCCAATCTGAAGACATAGATATATGACTGGAAGGTATTGTTTTTAAAAAGTAATGCTGTGGATTAACAGTACTAGGATGTATGAGAGTGCGGCTGGCCGGTGATCTCAGTCAAAAGATTCTGATCAACAAACATGTCGCGTGGATCACGTGATCGTGTTTAAGTGTGGCTGGCCGGTCAATCAACAAACATGTTGCATGGATCATGTGATCGTGTTTAAGTCATGTGATCGCGATCGATTCACGTTTCAAACTTCATGATTTGAGAGCACATCAAAATAGATTCAGTACTGTAGACATGCGACAAGAGACATGTAGATATAAGACATGAAGGGCAAGCAAAATATAGGCCTACAGGGCAAGTTGGATCCATTGCGACTGAGGTGATTTACCATGTGTAAGAACTCTTGTCAAATTCTCCGGTTGATGAAACTCGAAGGACTGGGTGCAAGTCTGATTCTTACATTCAAAATAATAAACCTTGTGATGGTTCACCGAAGTCCATGAGTCAACCCACCCACACTTTGGGCATTGGACAGGGAGGTACTGCCCCCAAGGGCGAAACACAGCATGAGTCCATGCAAATTTGATGACGTTCAATGAGTCGGAATTCTTCACAAACAAAAAAATGTCGGAGTGCCGACCCAAGTTGAGAGAGTGACTCAGCATAAGAGGGAATGCGTGGCTGATAGAGAATCGCTCGATGACGACACGCTCGATGAATGCGAGAAGAAGATGTGTGGCAAAGCTTGGCTGGAAATGTACTGCATTGAAGGCTACAGAAGCGGAAAGTTGATGTCTAGTATAACCACATTAAGTCAGACACAAGACGGATCAAGAATAGCTTACTGGAGTACTGAGGTCTTCAAGTTTTCGAAGCTCTCGGAGTTGTTGACAATAGCGCCGCAACAGAACAACCATAGGTACGATTCAACAGCAAGGTTGATGAGATCCTTGAAAGGACCAAGCACAATGTCCAAAAACTTTGTTTCCGACGGTCAGTACATGTGCGAAGTTAAACAAACGAACTTACAGTATTGACTGGAGTCGAAATATAAGTTTTCTTCTTGCCCTTGTAGCCTACAAAGGGGTCGCCGAAGTCATTGTCGGTATGGTCGGAGACCCCAAAGATAATGCATTTCCAACCGCCAGGGAAAGCCAAGAGTTTGAGGACGAGTTTGTTGACCATAGAATGAAACTTGACGATCTTCGAATCAGAGCCGACGTCAAAGATGACCTCACGAAAAACGATTCCGCCGTCAGGAAAGTAAGGCAGGAGAAAATTGTGCGAGAGTTTGAAAGGGCCGCCCATCGTGTCATTGTCGATGAGGTTAAGATGGATGAATAGCACGGTTTCAGACAAAACCTGTGCTTGGTGGGACAACTCAAGCGCCCCGCGGATCTGAAGGAATGTGTCGAAAACGGGCTTCCCGTCGCGGTAAAATCCCTGTAGTCGATATACACATGATTGAATCAATACAACAAGGATAAACCGAAAACAAAGGTTAGGGACTCACGAAGTAAGGATTCTGGGAGCCGCGGCCATGATGTTGCGCTAGGACATGGCAGGAAATGCAGACGAATGTGACGCCGACTCCAGAAATAACGTCCTGGTGACGTGGCGTGATCTGCAAGCAGTTGGAGCACATAGTGCGTGGACACGAGTCACACATGAACAAGTGGTAGTCGTCCACTGCTCTGTCGCGACAAACAAGACAGAACTGTAGGTAGATGTAGATAGATGTAGTTAGTTGAAATGTTGAAGAAAGATAACGTTAATTACGCACATTGTTGTGGTCCTTTCTCTCCTCCTCCTCAATCCTCACAGTCCCCACTTCTACCCTTGAAATGGTCGAAACAGCACCAGGTAGGTTGAGGGTGACATGAGGTGCCACACCACCAGTCGACTTCTTGCAGGTTTGTTTGGTCCGAGGGGGCATGGCGTAGTCGTGGGTGCTGGGATCGCAGATGCTGGTATGACGGCTGCTGCTGGGTAAACGCGAAAGGCAGAAACAATGGTAATGCGCTGAGAACAATGGTATAGTATTAATATTGAGACTACAAACGGTAGACGCGCTGGACTTGCAAGTTCACAAGTTTGCGACACAAACACATCCAAACAACAAACAACACCAAATAGACACGTTGGTTCAAAGTTCAAAGTTCAAAGTTCAAACGCGCTGTTGACTTTGCTCTTTCCACCCATCTTCACACTACACACCTTTTCTTTTTTGATTAATCTACGATACACGCTAATTCTATGGTACCCTTTGGGTCCTTGCAGGGCTGCAGCCTGCAAGGATCCAAAGGATCTACCATAATGTCAACTTTCATGCGCAGTAAGTTTTTTCTTCATTGTGTACTGTTTGCTAATGTTTATCTCTACAGCCACTTAGCGTCTCCCACTCAATGGTAAGTCTTTCACTTAGTTCACCACGCGCTGATTTCGCTCTTTAGCTCTAGTGTTTTTCTATAGTGCATCCTTCATTCGGTTCACTGTGCGCTGCTCAATGGTAAGTCTTTCATTGCATTCACTACATGCTAATTTCTCTCTTTAGTTCTACTCTTTTCTCTGGTGCGTCCTTCACTCGGTTCACTGTGCGCTAACCTTTCTCTCTCTCCAGTGTCTTGTTTCATGTCTCTCCCACGGTTAGATTCGGTGTCAGGATTTTTTCTCAAGTTCGTGTTTCTTTCTGTTCACTGCCTGCTAATCTCTCATTCTCTCTAGTATTTTTTTATGTCTCTCTGGTAAGTCTTTCATTCATTTTTACTGCATGCTGATGTTATCTCCCTCTAGTGTATCTTCTCTTCTTAGCGTCTCGCTTGTTGGTAGTGGGTGATCTGGGGGCTTACATGCGGTGCATGCCACTTGTGAGTGGCTCCCGCTCTTGAACCTGAGGGCTTGGAATCTGAGGGCTTACATGCAGTGCATACCACTTATGAGTGGCTCCCGCTCTTAAATCTGCGGGCTTGGGATCTGAGGGCTGACATGCGGTGCATGCCACTTGTGAGTGGCTCCCGCTCTTGATTATGGGGGCTTGCCTGTGGTTTGCGTGTGGTGCATGCCATTTGTGTTCACGATGAGCGGTGATTTTTACTTATTCACACCTAAGTCACATCTGACTTGGAAATATTTCTAGTCTCACAAGACTTTGACGCAACATAAATTTCAGAAGCTCAGTGCCATATTTGATGTTGGGCGACATTTTTATCATCTGTAAGTCCACATACTACTCAAAAACATTTCTCGCTGATAAATCTTACAGGACTTTGTCACAATATGACTTTGAAAGCTAAGTGCCTTGCTTTGATTATAACTATATCTAATTGTTCAGCAGGGTCTTAAATTTACTTTGTAGACTTTCTTTGGAGTGTACGGCTTTGGTGAGGAGGGCCCCCTCACTGAAGCCGTACACTTCCCTAATTTTTTCTTTATGTGGTTTGCGTTATGAAAGTCTTTGTAATTGATTGTTTGTGTACTACTTTGTCCTGCTATACATGTCTCTAAAAAGTCAATTTTTGCCGCTCTGAAAAGTCACGTGACCGTGGAAAAAGTCCTTTAAAGGAAACAAGGTATCGTCCTATGAACTGGATCTGGGTCTGAGTAGTATACCTATGTTAATGTCAGGATTCTGAGTTTTGAGTAGTATACTCAATATATGATAGCATCTTGTTAACATTTCGATAGATCGTCTGTGTGCGTGGCGCATTCCACTTCAATCCTGCCATGGGTTTCGACGCCGCCACCATCTCAAGCAACAATGACAATTTCGACCTCGACTGCTGGAGAAAGAATTTCAAGGACAAGCATGCAAACCTGGCGAAGAAGATGCATTTCATGTAATCGCAACAATGATTGTTGAGATCAAGGCAGGAAAAGTCTTATGAGGGTTCAAAACTGACAATGATAATTTGCACACTTGACTTGATCACTCAAGGATTTCTCTTGACATGGACTCTAAGCTCGAGACTATATCTGATGAAAATATCTACCCTTGAAGGCACTCTATCATTTCGGTCTTTGCATATTATTCAGTCTCTCCTTACTTTACTCAAGCTTGGTGATTGAACTTGTGGGGTTATGACTCATTTGAGTCTACATGAAATTCGGGTCAACTCCGGATTTATCAAACCTAATTCGGATCAAATATGAAATTTTTGAGCCGAGGCAGTTGAACTAATTCACCGTCCACTGTAGTCCAAGTTGCTCCTTTTGCCTTATATCTCTAAAATATATATACCCTTGAATGCACTCTATCATTGTGGTCTTTCCATATTATTCAGTCTCTCCTTACCTTACTCAAGAAGCTTGGTAATTGAACTCGTGGGTTAATGACTCATTTGAGTCTAAATGAAACTCGGGTCAACTCTGAGTCATCAAATTCATCAAACCTAATGCAGATCAAATTTTAATATGAAATTTTTGAGCCGAGGAACCAGGTTGAACCAATTCACCGCGCAGTGCACTGTAGTTCAAGTTAATTGTGTCATGGCCTCATTAGGGCCTGAGTCAAGAAACCTTCATGCCTTGCTGAGTTCAGAGATCAAGCAAATAATGAAGGAAGCTTCTGCAGTGCCTGTCTTCAAAGGTGGTGTTCTCCAACCTCATCTACTGCAAAAGGCGCGGTATGTGTACTTATCAGTCTATTATGATGGCAGTAGCTAATAGACAAAGTATGAGGATTCGGTTGCAACTGAATTCTTGTTTGTCAGCAGAGCCAGCAGGTCATGGTTGTTATCTAGTGACAGAATATGAAATACATCGTGCATCTTTGACTATTGCACATGCAATGACTAATCCTTGTAAGCCCTTGTTTGTAAAACCCTACTAAATGAAGAAGTTGACATCCGTGAAATAGACTATGTCACATGGGATGTTGATCGTTACGTTGACATGGTGAAATCCTCCCATAGCCAGCCAAGTGGCATCCCATCAACGCAGCAGGAAAAACTAAGAAAATATTTTCCAATGACTGTACTAGGGAGAATTTCAGAACCAGCTATGATTGTTGATAATCATGGCAAGATATTGGTCTGGTACCTCCCTAATATTTTATCTGGTAGCCGAGTGGTGAGCTTCTTAATTTCAAAATTTCCTTGGTGATGAGTCTAATTAATTAAGGATTTGATGAACACCGCTACCATGGATCTTCGAGGTTATCTACTGAAATCCATACCAGTTGGTAAATCAGTAACTGACAAGAAACACTCTTGGCGTTCAGAAGGCTTTCATATGCCAGAGGGAGGGGGGACATTTGGAGCAGGACGGGTCACTGTTTCACCTGCTTATTTCATGCAAAGACGCGAGGTAACTTAATATCATTTCTGGGGTTATATTGACATCAAGTGACTCACATGATCGGTAATTTAGAGGCTTCAAGATCCTTCAGTAACATCCGCGTCCTATTCCTCCAACTCGGTTCAACAATGGCTAAAGGTCATCTCTGGCACAGAATTGTTCTTTAATGCCATAACAGCTTTCATTGCTCCTGAACTATTTGAGGCAGGCTTAGCTGCAGCCTCGAAGGTATCGAGTGCCACTTTGCAGTCTAAAAAAACTGCACCAACATCTCAATGGCCATCTATTTTTTCGGGATTAGAGCTTATTGTTAATCGGGTTACTTTGGGTCACCGTGATGCTGGTGGGGCCTCGTCTCATTACGACCTCCTAGCCAGTTTTGGCATTGGGCACAAGGCAACATTTCGAATCGAAGATCTAGAAGCAGAACTTGATTATTTCCCTGGAACATTAGTAAGTATTTTGGGCAAGGTACGAACCTTATTATTTCTTCATTGAACTATTTCTTAAATATGTGGGAAGGTTTTGGAGCACTCTGTTGGTCCCTGGAAAATTGGAGAAAGATTTGTTGTTGCACATTTTATGAAGGATAAGGTTCATGATCGAGTAGGGGTGTCTAAGCCAGCATTTCCAGTTCAGATGGACTTTTTACAACTATTGGGAAGTCGTGATACAGATCATAGACCTAGGAAACGTGTCAGGAGGGAGATATAGGGAGATATAGGGAGATCTCATGGTCAGATCAGGGCGGATCAAATTGGGATTTCAGTTTTTTTAACTCTGCTAGCGCTAGTTGACAAAGTTTTACATTCTCTGGCTGGAGTGCAAGTTATACTATCATGTCTGGGAAGAAAAAATCCCGTCTCAAGTCCAGTACTTTCTCCTTCAAAAACCGAGGTCAATTATCCCATGGGAAGGACTTGGATGTTCAGTATGTGACTCACAAAAAGATTACAAAGAAAAATAGGAAATCAACATGGGTGGAATCTTGTGCTGATCCTCGGTATGATACTGGGCCGTCTCCTGCCTCTAGCCCACACAAGAGAGTTAAGCACCATCATAAAGGACAAGATGGCATTCCAGGAGATTTTGTGAGAGAGGTTGATGGAGATTTCATGTTATACACAGAGACAGAAATTCCAAGACGACAAACTAAGGCAGGTTCATCTAGTCAAATAAAAAAAATCACTGACTGAATCTGTTTAATTCAAGACTCAGAATGACTTCATTGACGAATATCTCCTTTACCGTGATTTATTCCTGGATGTTATCCTGGAGTCAGAAGATTTGGCCAACGGAGGGCTCTGCGAACGTTGTCAGAGTCACGAAGGTTTATTCTGGTGCTTGACTTGCAGTGGTGACCATGCATGGTGCCGTGCATGTATTCTCGAAGCCCATAAATCATTACCCTTTCATAAGATGCAACAGTGGAACGGAAAATGCTTCGGTGACACATCCCTCAAGCAGATGGGTTATCTATGGCATATGGGTCACGGGGGTCGTCCATGTCCATCCTCTCAAGGCTCTTGGGAATGGGAGGATTTGGATGTGCATATAGACAAGCAGGGCGAGGGCACTGGATCTCATATTGCCAGTGAAACAAGTCCACCAACCACGTCCTTAACCATCGTCCACTCCACTGGAGTATTTACACACAACATACTCTGGTGTCATTGCCCTGGATCTCTGCAACAATACTTGCAGTTGCTCAAAGCAGGATTATTTCCAGCCAGTATATCCCGGCCTCGAACTGCCTTCACCTTTGATGCTCTCGACAATTTTCTGATTGATGCCCTTGAATGCAAGACATCTGCATCAAGCTTCTTCCAAAAGCTTCGACGGCTAACTAATAATGCTTTCCCAGATACTGTGCCAGTAAGACATACTTATCTTACATGGATGTTCATTGATACATCTTGTTTGATTCAGGATCGGTATCGTGAACTGATGAGGGTGTCTCGTCAATGGAGAGATTTGATGAATCGAAAACGTTTTGGATTTGGACATAGTTCGTTGGTCAAGCCTGGGCCTGGTAACCTGGCTTTATTTTGTGCTGCCTGTCCACAGCCTGGAATTAATATGCCACTTCATTGGCGGCATAAGTATCCAAGGCAAGTGATTTATCTATTTCCTACTCCTATGTGTGGCATATATGTTCTGGCCAGCACACCTCCTATGTGTGGACAAGTCTCACCCTGGCCGGTCATGCTTAATCATGACTGACTGGCTGGCCAGCATGACTCCTACGTGTGGCAAATCTCGCCCGGCCGGTCATGCTTAATCAGACTGACTGGCTGGCCAGCATGACTCCTACGTGTGGCAAATCTCGCCCGGCCGGTCATGCTTAATCAGACTGACTGGCTGGCCAGCATGGCTCCTACGTGTGGCAAACCCCACCCGGCCGGTCATGCTTAATCTGACTGACTGGCTTACTCCTACAAGTTGCCCATCTACAATTCTTAATCAAAATCATACTGACTCCTATTTGAATAGCTGGTTGATCATGCAGAGATATGTTGTGGATGGCAACTTCATGGCTCAACATATGAATATGAGACAACCTCATCTCGATGTCTCCCTCTCTGATGGTCTAGGGTATATGGTGACAGAGGCTGGGTACCAGGCTCATTTGTCATCGGCTATGGAGAGCAAGGATGTATGTTATTTTGGTTTTGCCACATCTGTCTTCCTGACTAGGTATATATCAAAGAGATCCTCTTGCAGTAATCACCGTGCAGTCAATGCTGCCAACACAAACAGAAGCAATCTTCGAGCAACTGGTGTAGCTGCCACTGCTTGTGCACGTCATGGATGTTTTGTTCCTCATGCAGTGGTGGACTTTCAGAAGGGTGAACGGTAAGGTGAACGGTATGTTTTGATTATGAGATTCAAGACTTTCAACAAGCTCATATGGGGCGGTAGCCACATGAACGTTGACTACTCAATATGCAATGCTATCAATCATCATTCTCATGACATTGATACCTCGCTTATCATCTATGATGTAGGCTGTCAGTGGTGCATTCATTTTGCAGAACGTGTAGCCAACTGCCCAGGATTATCCCTACCTGAACATAATTGAGTTTTGGCCGCTGTTGGTAAATTCCATCTCAGCGCGCATAAACTTCCATGTTTTGCAAGATTTAGTCTCAATTTTCTTCAAGGGGCAGGTCAAGTAGATGGAGAAATTCTAGAAACTCTCTGGGCATCTTTCAATAAGATATCACCAACTGCTCATTCAATGAGTCAATACCACCAACAGGAAATTTTGGATGATCACATGCGGGACTCCAATTGGAAGAAACTAGTTGGACTTGGTAAATATTTTGTTTCTAATTACAGAATCGATTAATCATGATAGAACAGTCAAGACTCTCTTGAAAAAGTATAAACGAGCCATCAAGGGAATTAACAATACAAAGTCTCCTTTTGATGAGCTAACACACTCATTGGACGACGAAAAAATTGCTATATGGGAAAATGATGAAAAGAAGGCTATGGAGGAACGAGGGGAATATCTTGACATTTATCAGCTCAAGATTGATCAAGGTAATTCATCACTACTACTGTCCAGTGCAAATAATGGCTAACCAATATTTTTCATTATAATTCTGAAGCCCCTACAATGGCTGAGATTCGACTAAGATTAACTGAAGCAGAGAATGCCGAAACAGGAAGATTAGGAACAGTATCTTGGATCATTCAAGGCATTAATCTTGAGGATGCCCAGTACGTCATAAGTGATTCAATCATAAAAGCATGACCACATTTATGTTAGGGATGGGTTACAATCAGAGTTTCGTCGCCTCCCATCTGATGCCACTGCTGCTCAGAAGGCTACTCTGCAAGAGAAACAACAGAAACTATCAGCTCGTATAACTGCATTCCATGAAACTGCTGATGCTATGACAGAGGGAATAGAGCTGGAAGCAGGTACAGTGCACAAAGATGATGCTAGGTTTTGCTGGGCAGAAGATGAAGAGCATGACTGGGAGGCTCATGTTGCTGACCTTGAAGATGATTCCGAATTGGTGGATGACGAAATTTCAGCAGAAGATATGGGTCTCTGGATGCCATCATCAGTGCCTCATGATCAAGTCACTTCGGCTCATTTATTAGCCCTTCAAGCAGAGGAATTGGAGCTGAGACAAGGTCAAGCCAATGATTGCCTTGAAAAAATTTGGTTGGCTCTTGGTGATAAGGCTGTCATCTACCGTCAACACTTTCGAAGTGCTGATTCTGTGTGGACTGGGACAAGATCCAAGCAAGAAGCTCAATGTTGTCATATCAAAATCGACAAGTATGTCCGAAGTTATCAAAGGGCAAAATCAGCTATGGAGAGACTTGGCATGGATCGAGAATCTCTAGAAACTGTTTATCAAGAAATACTAGCTGAACAGCTTAGTATTGACAAGGAGGTGACAGAAGAGAATAGATTCGGCCAGGGTTCAGACAAACTTGCATGGTTTTGGAGGGTTAACAATGGAAAGAAGGATCAAACAGACACTTGGATGGATGAATGTGAGTCTTAGTATATCAGTGTACTTGAATGCAGCTAAATGAATATATTTAGTCTACAGAGTGAACTGGTTGAAGGCAAAGGCAAGATGGAACAGGTGGGAGGAGGAGTTAAGTCTGGTTCAACACGAAATGGGGTGGACAGTCAGTTGGTTCAAATCCCAAGAGGAAAAATGGCAACTACGATGGCACCAAGCTACCATACCTGGTCATCAACCATATGCCCATAAACAGGTACTGGTGTGGAAAGCATTCGCAGCAGAAGCTGAGGAAAAATTCAAGGACAAGCTGCTAATCATGATTTGATACTTTTTTCCAACATAATGCATACTTCATCAATGTTACTGTTGTCCATCGACTACTTCATGTGCCACACAGGTTTAAGGCTGGCCAGTGTGAGGACATAATGTTAGTACGGCCGGCTTGTAGGTGTGTGTATAATATTACCTGGCCGTTGTATGCCTGTGGCACGTAGTATTGAGGCTGGCCAGTGTTGGCTGGAATAATGTTACTACGGCCAGCTAGAGTATATGGTACATAGCATTGCAGCTGGCCAGTATGTACTTGAACTAAGGCCAGCTTGTGTCTGTAACAGGTAGTCTTGTGTAGGCTGGAATTTGTTACTACCACCAGCTCGACTTTGTGGCAAGTAGTATTGTGGCTGGCCGATGTAGACTTGAAAAATATTGTCTGGCCATCTGGACCTTGCACAATGTAGTATTTAGGCTGACCAGTACATACATAGTACCTACTTAAATTACATTACTCTTGCTAGCTGAAGTCTGTGTCATGTAGCATTGATCAAGACTGGCCATACCATAGAATAGACTACCTTCAGCTTACAAGAAAATCATTAAGGCTGGCCGACTTGCCCTTGGGCCATGTAGAAGGATGGTGGCCAGGGTGTAATATCTTCTCAAGCTGGCTCGGCCAGCATAGGTTCTATACATAGGACTGGGTAAGCTGGCCAGCCCTAATAATTTTCTTGTACACTAAAACATTTATTCAACAGACCTGGCCACCATCCATCTACATGGCTCATGGGCAAACTGGCCAGGTAAGTTTATTCTATAGTACATGAAATGGCCTGTCTGGTCTGTAGCCTATGTAAAACCCATGCTGGCTGTGCCACCTTTAGATTTATAACAGCCCAGCCGCCATCCCTCTACGTGGGCCATAGACATGTCGGCCAGGTCTAATAATTATCTACATTGAATGGCCAGCCATGCTCTTAGGCCACATAGCCAACGTGCTGGCCGGGTCAGTTTATAACATCCTGCCCACCATCCCTCTATGTGGGCAATAGGCATGTTGGCCAGGCCCAATAATTTTTTATACACCACACAGCAGCCGTCATTGCTCCACATGGCCCCACAGACAAGCTGGCCAGATTTGTTAATTCTAGCATATATTGGTAGTCTACATATATGACTAGTCCTTAAGTCCTGGCCATTAGCCTTCTATGTCACCTCAGGACATACAGGCCGAGCATTATCTATAGTCATAGGTAGATATGTAGATTAGCAAATCCACATATTATATATGTAAGTAGGATATTGACTGAATGGCCACCCTAATATCACCCTCTGTAAATGTTAGGCTGGCCCGAACATTATCCAATAAGCTCATCCTGTACTAATATACTATACAATCTGGCCAGCACAGGTTCTGCATATTGTATAGTGATTGCAATATGCTTGTGAATGCTATTACTAGAATTCCTAGACAGACTGGCCAGCACTGATCCTATGTCTACCGGCCGGTGACTGGCTGGCATGGATTCTACAGCCTTTTTGCATGTCCGGAGCCAGGGTTCTATGTTGGAAATGACTGAAGGGTCTGCTATGGCCTGCTCGCATTGAGGCAGGAGCTGTATTGTGGTCAGCAACCTCAATGGAGTACTGAGGCTTGAACTTTGGTGGCAATGGCCTGGGGACGTGGGGGTCAGACCCGAGCCGTTCCTGAGCATCGAATTCTGAGCGGTAAGTTGGTTTTCGAGCTGGTACCAGTTTGTCTTCTTCGTTGTCCGAAAAGATTACGCCATGATGGTGCTGAGGCAGGGACTGGTTAGGCAGTGGCTGCTGTTGCCCATCCAGTTGAGGGTGGGCTTGTTTCAGCAGTGTCGCTGCAACCTCTTCGTCATTGTCATTGTCATTGTCGTAAGCTGAAGCATGGCGCCGAGTGTTGCCCTTTTGAGGACGCGGTGAGTCGAGGTCCTCGTTTGCTTGCCAAATTTGTTTGGGCGCGCGCGGGATATCCTCTTCAGGGCGGTGCTCCACAGGGCGGGTGCGCTTGCCACTTGTTGAGGGCTCTTGAAGCTCATTAGGGTGGCCTGGACGTGACAGTGCTAAGAATTAAATATCAGTAGCAGTATCATATATTTATTCATCGCATACCATTTGACTTAGCTAAAGCAGAACGGCGTGCAGCTCGTTGAGCACAAATAGTGATGGTGCAAGGCCCGGCTTCAGGCCGTGGGCCGGGCCCAGCCCAGCCGACTTAGGCCGAGCCTAGCCGGGCCTTAGGGTGCGGCCTATGTAGGCTCAAGGCTTGGCCTCAGGTTTGTTCAAGCCTGGGCCGGGCCTTTGAGCCCTGGCTTTCAGCCAACCAAATCTAGTATCTATGACCTGCGGTGATATCCGAGAAACTGCATAGTTTCTTCAGTCCGTACTACAGGATCACCCCTCCTTTTTTGCTGATCGCCCAGCTAACCTTATTTTCCAATGGTGCCACGCATCAACTCCGACACTGAGGAAGCGCCTGCGCCACGTCCTAAACGGGTTGCTGTGCCATCAGCAAAGGTGATTAGTGCGGACAATGCAGCTGATCAAGAGCTTCTTTCCCACAGAATAGCTCATATCGCAAACTGCGCTGCTGTTATCTTGGACCCTACTGACTTAGATGGGGCTGACAACGACAAAATCCAGCTGGTGAGCCCCCATACCAACAAACGGCTCATCAAAGGTAAGTTTTTTTTTAGTTTTATGTGCTTTACTAACTGCAACCCATTGACAATTCCTACAGGACGAAAACAGGTTGCACAAAGTCCTGATGCCGAGGATGTTGACCTTGCACAGCCTCCTGCTTCTGACGAGGACGACTTGGAAGAAGGAGACCCCCCAGTGTCAGTGAAACCACCGAAAAAATGGCAAAAGAAAGGTACATTTATGTTGTCCTCTTATCACGCTAACTCACTAGCAAATGATTGTAGTACCCCTACCTAATGCCGATTCAGTCGATGCGGAAGGCTTTCTTACCGATATCGAAGTCACGGGTATTGATGAACCGTCCAAGCCTCGACGAGAGCGGCGCAGTCGTGATATCGACGCACTGTTCTCTGTTCCATATCTCAAGGACGGCAAGAAATACAGAGACTGTCATGCTTGCAGGTAAGTCCTTTTCATTTTTTTATGAATCTTTAATTGATTGTTATCTTAGTAAATCTCACAAATGCCAGGTGCCATTTGTGAACGAAGTGACAGCATTGCGCCGACATCAGGAGGCTGCGCATCGGGTGAGTTTTTGATTCATATTTCTACGTAGTTATTCTGTATATTATTCAATGGTGGGTATCAACTCCCCACGCTACCCTGTGTGGGCATCACTTGCCCGCGACTTCCTTTCCATAATGGCAACCTCTGTATCGAGCAAGCAAGCTTTCTCGTCCACAGGGATCACAATTAGTAAGCGACGTAACTGTCTGAAACCTGATATTGTTGAGGCACTTCAGTGCCTCAAATGCATGATCAGATGAGGGTTGTTGTTTCGCGAGGATCCTTCCATTGTTACTGAGGGTGATGGAGACTTGGACCAGCCTGAGCCTCAGATGGGTGACTTACTGGATGTATTGGGTGAAGAATTGGATGATGAAGAAGTGCAGCGAGATTCTGATGACGAAGATGTATTTGTTCAATCATTAGACATGTTGTAGCACTATTGTGATATGAAGCCGAGGCCTGAGCCCTAAGCCGAGCCTGACAAAGCCTGAGCCATTGGGGAGGGCCAGGCCTGCAATCTGAAGGAGCCTGAGCCCTATCAAGCCGAGCCGAGCCAGGCCTTGCACATCACTAAGCACGAATCTGCGCGATGTCGTCCTCGCTTTCCTTTCGCATAAGTTTGGCTGAGTGCGAGTTGTCCTTGGTTGGTTTGAGGTGCCTGTAAAGTATTAGCACTAGACTAACCAGATAGAAAAACGTACCTGTTCCACCATGCAAGGGTGTCTTTGACCCATGGATCATCATCGTCGTCTAGCATTTCAATGATGGCCCAGAGGAGCTCATCCAAGTCCATGTCGCTGATACACCGTGTCCAGTGCTGCGTGCTGCTGATTGTAAAGTATGTCTATGGGTTCATGAGAGAGGTATTGATATCAATAGCAAAAGAGCTAAACTTACGATAATATGAACATATGCGATGATGTATTTGTTAACAGCCGTCAGTCCCCATGCACAATTTTTGGATGGCTTCGCAGAGTTGCGAACATTTGATGAGTCGTTCATGATGGATGATGGTCCAATAAAAAGATGTTTATAAAACTATAGTAACTTCGTTATAAATAAATGACAGTGTAAAAATGAATATGCACCCTCAGAACAATATGGTTTCGAAACAGGCCGTGTGTCTTCTCAGCAGCATTGTAAATGTTGTGTTCATAAAAGAATGTTGGCCAGTTGTGTGCCGTCAAGGTGATTTCGCCAGCTTGCAAGGCAGCCATAGCGCTGAACATAGTGACATTAGTACAAACAATGAAAAGTAAAACATACATACGAATCAGGATCCTCATCAAACCAATCCAATTTCTTCCGAGGGCAAAGTAAACAGGCCAACTGCGGGTGATTGAGCCCACGCATTGACTTATCCTCGATTTCTGGAACTGGCAGGTCAAGAGCATCGGCCTTACTATACATATTTAGCCCAATGTATTGCAGGCCCTTGTGCTTGACAGAGCTCAGATCTGCGGATCTGCCATCACTCATACCCTTCGATACCTGCCATGCAAAAGATCAGTTGTTAGGGTCAGATTTGAGTAAAAACAAGCGCATATATGCGCATATAGTCACCATTGCAATGATCACATTGAGTTTTTTGCTTGATATGTGGTCGAGCTCGCTGTCAAGACCAGGAACATAGTCGATGACGCCATTGTACAGTAACAAATGCCGATTGGTGACATCTTCAGGTCTGTAACTGTTACGACTGGGATAGTTCTGCTGTTGCCGGTCAAGATAGACCTGTCGGGCGAACAGTTTGTCGGCCTTCCTAATACAAGGAAGGTTTCTGGTGGTTCCTACTGCACGAGCCGTGGCTTCTATGCAGGATCAGCGGCGAGTGGTTTTAGCACTTCTACCGCAATCAAGGGTTTCAGGCTAAGACAGTGAGTGACTGTCTTAGAATCAGAGTTCAGGCTACTAAGGGTGGAGACCTTAGTAGATCAGGTTTCAAGGGGAGAACCCAGTAGATTAAGTTAAGGAATATAGCTATGGTACATGGGGTTTATATAGGTAAAAGAGAGCGGCATAGCCGTGACAAGAATGGTAACAGAGATAGGAAAAAGAGTACAACCTATCAAGATAGCAAAGATAGGTGAAACCGCCATGCAGCGCAGGATAGTATCTATGTTACAATCAAAGAGAAGAGAAGTGCGGATAGCCCACTTGATAAGAGAATAGCCGAGTCTAGATGAGTCTAGAGTCGGCAGCATGGTTACAAGAAAAGAAAAATAGAATAGGAGTAAATGTTATTGTAACAGTAACGAGTTAGCTGTATTGTGAGATAGATATAAGGTACATACTGTTTTGGGTCGTGCTTACCACCTCAGTCAAATTGAAGACCGGTCTTGAAGGCTGCAGAAGGTATGCTGAACGTATCCAGAAGGCTCAAAGCCTTCCTTCCTGCATTTCGGTATAGCTCTGTGTCATCTGTTTTCGAATCTTCATGTTTCCTGCCACCAAAGGTCAAAATTTCATCCCACAATTCAAATTACAATACCTTGTTGTGTGCTTCCGAGAGCCTGACGATATGGAATTTATGAGGTCGTTGGTGCTGGTGTCACTGGAGGACTGCCTGTGCTTGCGTTTGCTGGGCCTTGATGGTTCTGGTGACTCCGACCATTCAGGGGGATCAGAGGAGCTTGAAGATGTGTTAGGATGACGACACAAAGACATGATGTGTGAAGGGTCAAGGACTAAGGGGTAAATATGTCTTATTTGACGTGTTGTTTGTTGACTGGCATTTGCCAGCTGACTTTGAAAAACCATATGCACAATTCGCACTTTGTCGTCATCATCATCATATCGGCAAACTGGTGCTATATAAATTTTCTTGCTAACTCTACATAGGGCTCACATTGAAGGTTGCATCGAAGCTATCCAAGAACACCTGGCCCGCTTTAACCCCAGCCAGCTCTAGCTCCACCCACATCTACTCTTGTGCCGTCTGCACCCACTGATTTTAGGAGTGTCCTCGAATCCATTCACATTCAATACCTTCGACAATCTCCTTTGCCTGCTTCTTGTGCTCTTCCATAATGTTGACGAGTCGTCGTCGCAGCCCAGATGCTTCACTAGTGAACACTGCTAACTCTACATAGGGCTCACATTGAAGGTCGCATCGAAGCTATTCAAGAATGCCTGGCCCGCTTTAACCCCATTATTTAGCCAGCTCTAGCTCCACCCACATCTACTCTTACTCCAGAGGAGAAAAAGCGACAACTAGAAGATCTTTCAGCACTGCTGGAACGAAGCTGACTGCTGACGATCATTAATCCTCGCGCATTTCAATAAGCATTTTGATTCCCACTACCTGATTGTACTCATTTCATCTACGACCCAACCCATCCTGTGATTCAGGCCGCATGTAAATTACTTTAGAAATAACAGAGCTAATTTTCTGAGCTATCTTGTCATGCACTGTTGTCAATTACAAGTCTGCAAAGCTATCCTCCTCAAACTCGTTCATCACATCCTCCCCATCTTCTGGACCAAAGTCATCAATCTTGTTGGTGTCTTCATCTGCACCATCCTCATCAAGGACTTGGTCAAGGCCAGAGTATCCATATTCATCCATCTCGTCGGCAACAGTGTCGTCTACCATCGCTTCAAAGGTAGCTGAAATTTCATCCCCATCCTCGTCATCCATGCTGTCTGTCTCCTCCCCGCTATCATCTGTTTCCTCCTCGCAATCATTGCCACTCCCCTCATCCTCATCCATATCCTCGTCTTCTTCAGAGCCCTCATTAAATTCTGATCCATGGTGCTCTTTCTCTCTTTGGAAGGGGATCCTATCCAACTCATCACGATCATCAAGCAGGCATGATGTCTCTCTTCACGTGGATTTGTGCCCCACACCTCCTCCACGGAAGCGCATGAACATGTCTCGGTCAACGAACCTGCTAATTTATCAGATTCGATTCATGTTGTTAGTGGGAAATAACTGACATGTTGACGCAGTACCAGTCCCAATCCTCATCATTGTCAGCTGCTTGACGTGCAATGGATGGTCCCAACAGTGCAGTCGTATGTAGATGCCGAAAGGCTGGGATAAGTTGAACACCGCGAACGATGAGGTCAGTATCGAGGAACCCAAATGCTGATTCATCATCTCCATCGTAAAACCCAACTCATGGCAGCCGTTTTGCTGCCCAACCTGTTGGTGCAGTGATATCGCGGGCAAACCAGCGGACCCACAAAAAGTCGACACACTTTATAGAGGGACGTGCACCTGGTCTCATGTAGCGGATATTGACATGAAACACTCCAATAACTAGAGCATACCAGTATGGATGGGAGTCTTCCTGGTCACAAGCGAGAACCATGATGTCTGCATGTGTGCGGGGATTGAGGGAGTCCTGAGCACGCCGCAAGTCATAGGTAGTGTAGTTGACACAAAGCACTTTGTGACAATAAATTCGATTGTTGATAATTGCAACAGAGTTTCATTGCACTGCACTAAATGAAGTCTCATCTCCATCGTAGTCCAGTCCTGACAAGCGACCCAGCAGGTGGTCTTTGAGACGTGGAAGAAAATTCTAATTACATCTAGTGAGCAAATACATTTGTCATTTTACGAGTTTCAGAGACCTACCTTTGTGGCCTGGTCATTTCTGTTCTTTCTGAGCCAGGAAGAAATATCCCAGTAATGTTTCTGTGACGAGGACATCTGGTAGTGGATCTCTGGTGAGCAATGTGGCAGCGGCTCCTGGTCAACGAAATGAAGAGATGGATGGAGATCTTCAGTCTCAGGCTGTGCGTGATTCTCTTGTGCAGCTGCCCTTTCACGGTTCACCTCTTTCATCCTCTGCAAAATGCGCTCGCGACGCTGAAGTCTTGCAATTCCTTGTGTGAACTTGTTCTTGTTAGTCCGTGCATAAAATTGCTTCACTCGTCGATGCTCAAGTTCACCCTAATTCCAACATTAGTAGGTGAATGTATGTGATAGATTCCAATACTTGCTACTTGTGTAGAGTAATTATCCGTGGTCCCGTATAACCAGATTGACCTGACATAGTCTCCAAGAGCATGAAGTTTATAAGTCGAGAGGTTGAAAATGTGTTGCTTTGAGGGGCCATCACCTTCAACATCAATATTGGTCCTTTCTGACCTTGCATTCTTGCCTTTAGACACTTTTGGACGCCGACGCCGTGCACGAGCAGCTGTTTCGCGTGGCAAGTCATGAGTGGCAAATTTTCTGCATGTGTTGTCACGGAATTGCCGGAGAGCTTTTCCTAGCCGTGTCGTACAGTTATCGAAATGATAGAGTGTTGTCTCTGTGTGCATGCGAAGCTTCCCAAATGCATGCCAGGTGGCCAGCTCAAACAGAAGGTTGAGGATTGAGTTGTTGAACGGTTCCGGTAGAAGACCATCAAATACTGGCATTGCACACTGCCAGCATTGATCAACATGACAGCAGTTGTATTACTTATATTCCTACCTGAAGCAGGTCTTCAAAATCACGCGCTGCAAGTTTCGTAAGACCTGACACATTGTCACTAAACTTGCGGATGGTATCGCGTCCAAATGTCGGCACGAGACGATACCTGAATTATGATGGACACGCATATGTATATGAGAAAAACGACTTACCGCTCATTGAGATCTTGCACAGCAGTACCTCCATATGAATACAAAATTCGGAGAAGATGAGTAAGGGTTGCCTTCCATACTCCCAACTCAAACTCGTGCATAAAGTCAGGCACAAGCATCGAGTGGAAATCGAAACCGAACTTGGAAAACTTCTCTGAAAAGGCATTCTGATGCTCACAATTAGTAAACTTTGAAAGCTCGATTCAAATCATACATACACGAATAGGTGCCACAGAGGTGGTACCGACGATTCTCTCAATTGCAGCGCTGACTACACTATAGCCTTGAACAAATATGAGTTCACGGGCTCGTTCAATGAAACTACGCCGTGGATGATTGTCGACTCGAGAATTTCTGGTGCGGTGTCGTCGATCGAACTTTGTCCCTAATTTGAAAATGTTGTCCTTGCTAACAAGACACCGTGGGCATGGACACCTTCCAAGGAATTTCATGCACGCAAGTAGAACCCTGACATTGTGGAGATTAGTATGGTGCGATCAAGTAAGATGTAAAACAGACTTCTCTGGATAATCAGCAGAATAAGTAAAAAAACGAGGAAACACGCGACGAGAGACTCCATCAGGGAACTTGACAACAAAGCCATGTTGATATGCATCTATAAAATCGGCATCGAGTAGGAAGTGCCAAACGGCCTGCATTAATTCACGTTTGCAGTGTGTGAGCACTGCTCCCGTCGCACTACGACCAAAAGTCTTCTTGTAGAAATCTTGGATAGTATCTGATAGCTATACACATAATCAGTTCGTGTCTCGAGTTCAAATAGTAAAGACATGCCTTTGGAATATATGCGAGATGATGCGCTGCGAATGATGTTGGCTTGCCGCGAATATACTTTGACTGATTGCCAATAAACAAGTATATCGGCCACAGAGAAGCGTTTCCAAAACTTGCTAGATGAGTAGAGTCAGACCAGAGCATGATCGCACCAATGACAGTTTCCAGGTTACAGCCTGGTTCATTTGGCTGCGAGTCGAGCTTCTCATGCTCTTGAAGCATGGCATCAGATGTGTACAGCTCGGTAATGATCCTCTCTGGAGGTTCGTCGTCGTCAGGTTGCCAGAATAGTTTGTATGGCTTTGTGTGAAACGTCTTCGCTGCAACCTCCTGGTATGCAGATTTGAGCACTTCCAATGGCTTGCGGTAATAAAGCCCATTAACTTCAAATTCAGGCGCGCAATCTTCAGAGGAGAACTTGTCTTTTTCACAAGGAAGTCGGATCTTCACCGAGGTTTCATGCCATCCATCAGAGGAGAATATCGAGGAGGCAGGGTCATGTTGGGCCTTCTCAAGACGCGATGCCTCCCTAGATGCATTGAAATCTAGCAAATCCTCTCGGCAGAAATCCTCCGCTAAAATGACATCGTTGACTAAACAATTGAGATCTTGCAGTGATTTCGAGATCGACGAGTTGTAAAACCATGTCATGAGCCGAAAAACAGTGGCATTAAGGAATGGTGCGAAGTAATCATGGTGGACTGCCTCGAGTGATTGTCCGAAGCCAGCATACCACGGCCGTTCGTAATCGGCGTCCCCATCAACATGCTGGAATGCTGAGGAGTCACAAAGTGCGTCAAAGTAGGCTGAATGTTCGGGGTCATATGTTGGAAATGAATGAGGATATTCACGAAAAAGGTCGAATGTGTCTGTATCAGTGCAGAACCACTCGGGATGCTCTGCATGGCTATGATGTGATGATCTGTCATCAGAGTCCATCTCAATATCTGGTGGGTCTCCGAGCGCTGATACAGGCTCGTCCCGATCAATGGGAGGTGGGGCCGGGATCGGTAGGACTGGGACTTCATTACGATAACGCATGGGGAGGCGGATTTGTCGATTTGGACGCCCTGATGGCCGTGGCTCCATTTCAATATCCGGCACCTCCTGTTCATATGCAAATATTTCCATGAACATCAGGTTCACATCTAATAACACACAACACTCACATCCACTCGAGGCTGCCGTAGTTGCCGTAGGTGCTCCCACTCTTCTTCACGTTGTTCTTCCTGCCTGCGTTCATCTTCCAAACGAGTAGCTTCAGAAATAGCTTCCCCGCGCTCGCGCCGCTCAGCGAGAGCTGACGTGGTGGCTATATCACGTATCTTGCAGTATCGGCTCAGGTGAACGGACAGGCCGCGATTGTGCACCTCTACATTGCAGTTTGGACACTGTGTCATCAAGAGAAAAGTGAGTAACAAGACAAAGATTGAGTGGGGCAGCATGAGCGACAGCGGAAACACGCTGTGATCGCGGCCTTAAATGCAAGTTCCTCACAACGAGATCCACAGATCGATTGCGATAGGATAAGGTCCGGGCAGATAACCTGGATGACGGCTGAGATCAGTTCACAATCAAGATCCCGTGCTCCTGCTCAGTGACAAGATACCAAAGATAGCGCTCATCTCAATATGTGGAGCTAAGAGAGGGTCGAGTTCATTCTAGAACCAATCATCCGGACCGAACTGCACGTTTCACACCATTGATGAGCAAAAACACTGTATATTATAGTTATAGCGCATATCGTGAATCGGGATCGCACAAACGTTTATGACCTCTCAGGGAGGCAGCTTGAAACTTTGCAAAATGAGATGACACGAAGGAATAAACATAGGACATACCTGATGATGGGATCCTGTATGTTACACGGCTTCAAGTCGAGTAGGGTTGAAGTAGATATCGAAAATGTGTCGTCCACGCAACTTGGGAGTCGAATGCTTGGTGTGGTCACTGAGGTTAGTGGATATCAAAATATCAAAATAACATACCATTGCCCACACAGATAAAGTTTCCCTCGCATCCACATACTAGACAGTACCAGTCTTGAAATGCCTCGCAAGACTGGCGTGAGGTTGAGGGAGTCTAGCAATGCCTTGCGAGACGAGTAGGCACATCTTGCACGTTGTCGAACGAATTGATTCACGCCTCAGAAGGCATCACGAGGCCGTGGGATATTATACGGACCTTGCCGGCCCTCGCCAGATTTGGGCGCTTTTGCTGATGTAGGAGTCCGACGACGCATCAAGCGAGCCGAGGATACCCATGAGGATAGGAGGAGGATGAACACTCACGTGAGCTGTCTATCATCGAATGCGGGGCATTGTGTAGCGCAGGAACTTGTCTTGAACTGCTGGTGTTGCTTGTAAGTAAGGCGCTAGAATCTGAGCGTGGTCTCTGAGGTAAACTTGAAAGGCGTCGCTAGCCCACCGTCCCATGGTTTTGACGACGTTGAAAGGTACGTTTCTGAGCAGGTACTCTAAAGTTGCACCTATCCTAATTGCGTGACCTTGCAGTGGATCGAGTCCAGCGCTCTTGGCAGCGCGTGCGAGTCTTGCGATGAATTTTGTTTTGGTCAGAGGCCGATGAGAATTGCCAAACTTGTAGGAAAATAGAGGAATGTCGATGGGGGGGTCATTGACGCGAAAGTGGTTGATTAATGCTGCCTCTGGGTCAGTGGGGCCATTCTGCTTTGCCCAGAAAACATCTTCTCCAGCTTGGGATGTTTTCGTACGGGGCAAACGAAAAATGGTTGTTGCAAGGCCGTTGCGATCTGTTTCCTTGCAGATGTCGGATCACTTGACATGAATGGACGCGTCGAAAGCCGATAGGTTTCGAACTGTGAATTCTCCGGCTCTGGCTAAGGAATAGAATGCTGTTGTGATGCAACTGCCCACTGCAGCATCAAGAGGCTCGTTGGGGTTCAGATTTTCCAGGACGTGGACAATGAAGGCCACTGTGTAAGGTGGCCGCTTCTTGCGTTTCGACGACGCAGGTGTTAAGTTCTTGGCTGCCTTCAACATGGCATCTATGGTATTCTCGTCCAGTGACCATGACTTTCCATGCAGAATGTGCCATGCACGGACACCATGAATGTAGCTGGATATGGTCTTTCCAGAATACGAGCCTGCTAGTTCTGATATGAAAGCTGATATGAGTTCTGATGATGCGGGAGCACGGAGGGTGTCTTCGATAGATTTTGAATCACAGTATACATGAAAGGTGAGAATGCCACTGCCATATGCCTCCCTCGTGCTACTTGCCCAGGCATGTACCATGATGTCTTGGATGCGCTGTGCATCAGCACTGGGAATTGCTGATGCAGTGGTTCCATTTTTAGCTGGGATCCATAGTAGAAGTCTGTCTTTAGCAGCGCAATGAGGGCGTAACACATATAACTGCGGTGTGAGGTTGCTAGAGTAAGCTGTGGTACCTGGAAACAATATTGTTTCGTTTGTGAGGAAGAAAGCTGAGCTCAGATGTTTGTGCACTCACGCTTTTGTCACTTCGAAGATTTGTTCTCCTTGATGACAGAACTTGTCATTGAGGTCACTGCATGATTCTCAGGAACAGGAGAGGAAATTGATGAGCGGAGACGTTTTGATGTCCTTGTGATGTGCATGGCTTCTAGGAGGCACTTCGGGACTGTCGAAGTTGACGACAAAAGCTTGGAGAGCTTGGGGGATGAGGATTGGGGGAAGTAATAGGCTTGCTGGAGGATAGATGCCCCTGGATGGACCATCTGCTGGGTTGTGTGCACTGGGTATGTAACAGGTGAGGAAGGTGCACTTCGAAGATGCGGAGAGCTGATGGATCTGTTTGAAGATGACATTGGTGGCCTTGTTGTGGCTGCGCCCTTTCCACCAACCTTCGACAACGCCCCTGTTGTCGCCGAAAAATTTGATGCAGCTGCCCTCTGGGCATTGGCTGAGGAGAGAGATAGTGAGGAATTCCATGCCGACGGCCTCTGCCCAGCCAATGTCTCGATTTTCGGCTTTCCAGCCAGGGAGGAGATGCCATGCCCTCCATCTGCCTTTGATCCAAATCACGATCCCAGAACCTGAACTAGCATCTGAGTAAGCCTTGGGTTCAATGACTTCGACGGGTCCTGGGATGGGGCGAGAGACAATGGATTGCCTGAGACTGGCTTTCCACCATCAAAGATCTTCGCCTGTGTGTTTTGGGGGGGTACAAGGCATGAAAGGATGATCGTGAAAGATGGAAAGCATGGTTTCGAGTGATACGAGATAAGCGCGTCCTTCAGGAAGGACCAGAGATGCGTGCAGGAGCTTTCCATATAGTTCTTGGACCTCTTGCAGGGTGTGTGAATATCGGGCTTCCCATTCTTGGATTGCTGCCACATATTTGTCTTTCTTCTTCTGTGGGATCAAGACTGAGCGTGTCGTGATGTCCCAGAGAAAGCTGATGAAAGGAGCGCACGACGAGAAGAGAATGTCTTTGGCCAGCTCCCAGGGTATTCCCAGGGTTTTTGACAGACGGTCAATGTCATCGAAACAGAACGTGAAGAGTGCATCTTCTGGTGAACGTGGGGATGCTGCTGATAGATCACGAATGGGAAAAGACATGTCCTCGTCAAATTCTTTGATGGTGCCATCTGGCATGGTTGAACCACGGTACCATTTACGTCCCCCGTCCACAAGCATTCCTCCATTCCTTGCGATGATGATTGAACGAGCTCTGTGGAGTTTGTTGTAGCTCTCAAGGTGTTCTCGGAGAATGCGGATGAACAAATGGTCGTTGACCCATTTCGATATGGGCCCAATACCTTGTGATCGGAAGATATCGGCCCCAGTGTCAGCGATTTCGCCATAAGTGCCTGCGGAGGCTGAGAAACCAAAACAAAAGCTTGAGTCAATAGCAAACTCATCCTCCCCCGTTCTGACAACCAACCCTGGCCACTGAGATGGATGGAGAGGGACTGTGCGATATGGTTTCCCCAGCTTGGGAACCATGGAAAGTGGGGCTGTTTGGAAAGGACCGATGAGTTTTTCTGTTTCTGATTTAGATAATGGACCAATGTAACGACCAGTGGAATATTCACAATCCAAAATAGCTGCAAAAGCATCATGGTAAGTGTATAGTGAAGGATTATTAGAAGGGGTGTAAGAGACAGATATGTTGGGAACGCTGCCCAGAAAACCAATGTGTAGTCTGTTGGGAATGTGTGCATATTTACGTATAAGATTCGAAGAATTAAGAAAGTGCAGCCAAGCTTCGGGTTGATAGGGGGTGAGCGCCTTAGATGCTCTTGCTTTGAGGACATTCTTGAACCCCGTGATCCTTCGCTCCGCATCCGGAACATTCATGTATGTGTGAACGAGTGGTACTGGAACATCCTTTTGGTCGCTGCCAGTCGTAGCACAGCTCGAGCCCTTTGGGGTTGACTAAGTGACCCTCTGCGTTGCGACGACAGTGAGTCTTGGTTCGTCTGTCCCACAGGAACTCGGAAGAACATTTGTGGATGGGATGACGGAATCGACCCAGGCAGAGGGCGCAAGCTGAGGGGCCAGGTTGACTTGCGCCTGCTTGAAAAGACTGCAGGCCCTTCGACATTTTCTTTGTGGCATGGTCCGTAGGTCGGTACGGGTGATAACGGTTGTTCCCTGACGGAGAAGGTGGTTCAGCGCGCTTGCCCCGGTTCTCGCTAATATCCCTTCCTCGATGACGAGGAGGGGGGTTAGAAGTAGCAATAGTATTTTGGAGCTGTGCAGGGGTAAGAGATGTAAGGAGTGGTGATACAATTTAAACAGGTGTGAGCATGATGGAAGATAACATGCGAGTTTGCTGATGTGTTAGCCATTGGAAGTATGGTAGATTTAGTAAGCAGAGATATATGCGTAGCGGAAGCATGATGGAAGCGATGTTGATAGCAAGCAAGCAGCGCCATGAGCAATTTTCAGAAAGTGAGCGTTAGAGGACAGCAACAGCAGAAAGCGAGGAAAGACATGCATCAAATGATGATACAGATAGCAAGTGGGTTGATTTCATTAGTATGATGTGTGAGGCTCAGGAGTGGGGAGATAACGCACCAATTTGAGGCTCTCGTCGCGCTCGGTCTCCCAGACATCGTCTGATATGGAATTGTACAGGGCATTGTTGAAGATGCCGATGTTGAACCCCTGGTTCTGAGTGAGCCGATCGTGCCATTCACGACGTACAAATCCTGCATAGCGGAGGAGGGTCTTTTCCCCTCGAGGGTGCATTCGGTGCTCGTGATTGGTGATGAGAGTGAAAAATAGGGCCAGCGCTTGTTGATGTTTTTCCGGCCATCCAGTCTTCTCTATGTGAACAAGGAAGCTCGTCTTGGCTAAGTCAAACTGGCGCCAGGATAAGTCATGGTCCTGAACAACTTTCTGCAAAGCCTTAAAGGATGCTATCGTTTTCAGGGCAACCATGCCATCGACCCTTGCAAAGCTGAAGGCGTCATCTGAGTCTGAGGTAGACCTGGAGGTGATAGCGGCTTCACAGCAGCCATCTGGACTAAAGTACCAAAGCTTGACGTACTCCATGTTTCTGACCTTCTGAATGGTGTATTGGGACGGCCTGGGAATGATGACATCTGCCACGGCCATTTCAGTGTTGAAGTGGTTGATTTTGGGCTTCTTCTTCTCCGCTTCACGGCGCTCTTCTTGCTCCTCAATTTCCTTTGCAGCTCTCTCGCGATCTATGTGCTCTTGTGACTCACGAGCCTCTTCTTCCATCTGCTGATGCCACCGGTCAACCCGCTCTTGGCGCTCCAGTTTCCAGCCTTCCGCCATCTGTGCAAGGGCTTCTTCCCTAGTTGCACCTCCGTCTGTTAGGGCATCGAGCCAGTCCTGGTACGCTGCTGATTCGAAGTTTGGTTGAGCCTCTAGCGCAGGGTCTGTTGTGATGCACTCCATTGTGCCTAAGTCTGAGAGGTAGAAAAAGCAAAGCGAGTTTGTTCTAATGCAGTTGATGACACGAAGGAAAAGAAAGGACGAAAGGCAACGTCGTTGAGGACGACTGAAACGATCTGAGGGTGCGTGGTCACAGTACGAAGAAGGTTCGTACTGCTCCCGACGCTTGCGCAAAGACCTAACTCTAGTTCTATGCTCATGCCTCGCTACGTAATAGAGTATCAAATCCTCGAACGCATGCGGACGTCCTGATGCTCTCACATGAAGATGACGACAACCGACACCCTTACTGGTACGCCCGTGTCATCAAGATTTTCCATCTTGATGTCTGGTATCATGGCCAGGGTGCCACCGCACGGGTGCCAATTCGTATGAATGTGCTTTTTGTTCGTTGGTTCGGGTGTGACATTGGATTCAAAGCTGGGTGGTCAGCCAAACGACTCCACCGCATTGGCTTTTTCAAGCGCGATGACCCTGAAGGCTTCGGTTTCATAGACCCTGACCAAGTAATTCGGGGTGTACATCTGATTCCTGAACACGGACGCACTGACACTCGACTGGGCCTTCGTTTGGATGTGCTATGGAGGATGGAAGAACAGACTTTAAGTATTTCTATGTGAATCAGTATGTGTTTTCTATATATTGGCGTCACTCTACTAATCTGTCTACCCAGTTTTGTTGACCGCGACATGTTCATGCGCTTCCGAGGAGGTGGTGTCGGTCATAAAGTAACACGAGAGTGGGACGAGTTTTTGCGGAATGATGGTGCTGTGCCATCACACGAGGAAGAAGTCATTCAGCTTGAAGAGTCACAAAAGGATGACATGGTCGATGAAGCTATGGACGATGACGACAGTGATGGGAGCGCACCTGAAGACCTGGACGATGACGATTCGGAGGAGAATGAATTTTGGGTTGATGAGGAGCTTGATGATGGTTTGCTTGCGCGTGAGGGATATGGTGCCTTGTAAATTGGTGAGGACCATCCTTTCATTTTTTTGATTGTCGCAGACACGCCTTTGACACAAATATCCCAGCAGATTGGTTCCTGCCTCAACACTCGACTCTCGACACGCAGTGCATGCCTAGCCCATCCAATCTCCCAAAGCAGTCTGGTCTGATGAGCTTATACCTGACTCCACCGTGACACTCCACCACTTCTCCGTTACATAGCGCCACTAGAAGAGAAAGGTGAGACCAATCTCTTCATGCACGAAATTTGCCATTCCCACTAATACCATCATTTGCAGCATTTTGCATCTTGAATTCCCTCCTTATCCTACTCTGATTCAACAGTCACTACAAAGCTGCCATTCTCGCTGCGTCTATCGACTCACCAGCGGCCTTACACTAGCTAGCTCCGGGTATATCAGACACTAGTCAGGCTGCAGGCGACATATCATAGTACATCGTTTGAACTTCATTATGACAGCTGACTTAACATATACTCATCAGCCTAAACATCTTCCGTCTATTGCATGATTCAGCCTGATCGTAAATATGAGAATGATATTTGGTGATCTGTACTTGCCATATGTGAGCTAGACAACCATGGGATCAGAATCTTAATCAGGTGGCGTCAGGTTTTTGGACTTTTGGTGATGCTAGGCATCAGAGCTTCATAGAGGGGCCAATAAATATGATCAAAGCTATGGAGAGGGAGGGAGAGAATTAACAGTGAGAGTACACAAGAGGCTGAACAATACGTGCGATAAGGCCGCTCCTCGCACCACTATTAGTGACTATTGGCCACGGAGAAGAGCATCAAGACAAAGGTAGGCGTTGAGATCGTTCGTTGTCATCTATTCTCCAGCAGGTAAGGTAGATAGCACCAACGATGTGTGGTGAGTGAGTCGGTCGGAAATGTGAATTTTCAAATGAGTGCGTGATCCAGGACGAAAGTCGGACTCATAATATCGTGACATTTGTACAATGTGCGATATTTCTTGATCATGACCGTTCCAGCTCGCCACTCTCCGAACTTTTGCTGTAACATTCGGTATAACACATGCATTCCATTTTGTTGTTCCCTAGGTTAAAAAAACTATCGATAGATGCATAACTCGAACACTTATGGAACAAGGTTCAAGTTGCTGCCGGCCAAGCTCAGCTTTTTTCTAGTCTAACTGTCTAAGTAATAATTTTGCCAAAAGCATCTATCAAACGCATCTCCTGCCCGATTCTGTGATGTGAGTGACTTCGCTTCTGTCCTTGTTGACTCATCAGTGTTTCTTCCTTTATATTTGTTCAGGACTTTACTGCCGTGTTTTGTGACCTCCAGCACACGTCTTACTCTCAAGTTTCAGTTTGGATTCCATCATTATGGCCCGTCTTCGACGTGTCTCCTTCGGGTCTTCAAGTTCATCAGAATCAGACTCTAATCCAGACTTTTCTCCAGCGTCATTGCATAAAAATTCTTCAGGTCCTCCACTAGAGAATTCTGTTCCCAGCGTCGAGCCCTTAAAAGGCACAAAATATGAGCATGAGGACAACGACAACAAAATGAAGGGTTCGAGACGTCCACTATGGTAAGTTATTGTGTTGCATGGGGCATGTATGAACTCAATCTCGTGTTTTCAGGCGAGAAAAAGATGTCAACAAGTAAGAGGCTATATGCAGCACTTATTGTTTCAATGCCTCAGTGTGCGCCTTGTAATTTAGTGAGGAGTCTGGCCACCCAGATCACACTCAGGACCTAGGAGAGACGCACATCACTGAAGTACAACAAGTTGTCATTACTAGTATGTGATATCAATCGCCATTCAGCACGTATTGACTATTTCCAAGCCATTCGTGCAACTGATCTCACTCTTGGTCTCCGACAGATCCCCATTGGCTTCCATGTAGTAATAAATATTGATGGCACTGAATGCCAGACGAGCAACAAACCTGTACACATAGATCAGGCTATCGTTGAATGGAACGAGCCTATGCTTCTGTAAGTTGCCCTTAAGTTCATTTTTCTTGCAGGTATTGAGGAAGACTCTAGGTCGTGTGAGCCAGCTTCTAAAGTTCGGGTCAGCGTGTATGCCTCCTCCGAATTGGGTCCCATGCTCTGTCACGGAGAACTCCTCTGCACATTCGAGATCTCTGTCAGAGAATTACTAGATCGCAGTCAAAAATCGCATCGTCAGTATTGTTCATTGCAAATAATGCCTGACGGATGTTAACGAGTATCACAGCCGTAATTTTTCAGCCCAAGCAGGGAGAAGTCGTATCCCCATGTACTTCAATGTTCATGACGCTGAAGCAGCGACTTTCTGATCAAAATAACACCGCAATTCTTCGGCCACTGACTACCGTGAGTGATCAATGCAGTCGGGCCTTCTTACGCTGAGAGTTGTAATGCATAGGTTACATCCGACAGCATATGCGCATTAACACTAGAGACGGATGCCGGACATCGTCTTCTCGCACAGTATCGCAGGACGCAGAACAGTAGGGATCTTGACCAATCTATAAATCGCTTTGAACACACCTTGGATATCTGTCCTATGGATCATCCATGCCGCCCTGCAGCACTATTCAACCTAGTCAACGCAAAGCTTGTTAGTTGCCAGGCTAATGAAACATACCTCGACCTCGACATCCCTATCAATCTGTTTCAAGATGCTCTTTATTTACGTCCCACTGGTCATCTAGACCGACCCAATACCCAGCTTCATCTTGCTATTGCTCTACTGTCTCGCTTCACAAAATGGGGATTTCAGACGGATGCTGATGCAGCTGAAGAGTTACTGGGCGAAGTTCTCGATGTGTGTCATGCCGACAGCCACATTCACAGAGCAGCTTTGCTTGCAATCGAAACATCCGCTCAACAACTGTCCGGCAGCACTGCTGCAAACAGCCTTGGGCAGAAACAGCCTGCTGCATCCATGCTTCATTTATTGTCTAATCAACTCGTTGATCGAGCAAACCGGTGTGAGCGCATAGACGACCCCCATGACTAAGATGAAGTGATATCACTTCATTATGATGCACTGAAATACTACAACGACGTGGATGCTTGTCGAGGGCAATTACCATCTAATCTGGGTACAATGCTGCGAATTCGCTTTACGCGCCGAGGCAATGGAGAAGACTTGGATCAGGCTATCACGCTTCTGACTAAGGCGTTAGCTTGGAGTCCTGTCTGTCATGTACATCGGTCCTCGCTATTGGATAGTCTTGCAGTTTCACTTTCCGCCCGCTTTGATTGCCAAGGCAAAGACGAAGACTTGAATCAGGCCATTGCACTTTCCAGGGAAGCGCTAGTTTTGTGCCCAGTCGGTCACACAGGTCGATCCGAAGCATTAAATCACCTTTCAATTCACCTCTTCTCCCGCTTTCGTCACCGAGGCCATGTTGAAGACTTGGATGAGGCTATCATACTTCAGAAGGAAGCATTGGCTTTGCGCCCGGTCGGTCACAAAGATCGGTACATACCATTAAACAACCTTGCAGCTCAATTCTCCTCCCGCTTTGAGCACCAAGGCAACGACAAAGACTTGGATGAGGCTATCGTACTTTACAGGGAAGCGCTAGCTTTGTGCCCGGTCGATTACAAAGGCCGTTTCATACCATTAAATAACCTTGCAATTCGACTCTCCAGCCGCTTTCATCACCGAGGAAATGGTGATGACTTGGATGAGGCTATTGCCCTTCAGAGGGAAATTCTCGCTTTACGCCCTGTCGGTCATCCAGATCGGTATATGTCATTAAATAACCTTGCGATTCCACTCTCCATCCGCTTCAAGCACCGAGGAAATGAAGAAGACTTGGATCAAGCTATTGTACTTCACAGAGAAGCGCTGGCTTTGTATCCTGTTGGTCACTCAGATCGGTATGTGTCATTGAATAACCTTGCGACTTCCACTCGCCATCCGCTTTCATCAAAGAGGAAATCGTGATGACTTGGATGAGGCTATTGTATTTCAGAGAGAAGCGCTGGCGTTACGCCCTGTCGATCACCCAAATCGATACAAGTTACTGGGAAATCTCGCAAAACACCTCCTTGTCCGCTTTGACCACGAAGACTTGGATGAGGGTATTGCACTTTGTAGAGAAGTGCTGACTTTGCTCCCTGTCGGTCACACACATCGGTTCCAGTCATTGGCCGACCTTGCGGCGCAACTCTCCACCCGTTTTGAACACCGAGGCAATGAAGAAGACTTGGATGAAACTATTGCACTTTGTAGGGAAGCGCTGGCTTTATGCCCTGCCGGCCACACAGCTCAGCCCTCGTTATTGGGTCACCTTGCGGGTCAACTTTCCAAGCGCTTTGATCACCGCCGATGCAATCACGAAGACTTGGATGAGGCTATTGCACTTCAGAAGGAAGCGCTGGCTTTATTCCCTGTCGATCACACACACCGGTCCCAGTCATTAAGTAACCTTGCGGAACACCTCTCTAAGCGCTTTGTTCACCAAGGCAATGACGAAGACTTGGATGAAGCTGTTGCACTCGCGAGGGGAGCGCTAGCTTTGCATCCTGTTGGTCACATAGCTCGGCCCTCATCATTAAACAACTTTGCAAAACAACTATCTCAGCGCTTTAAGCACCGAGGCAATGACCAGGACTTGGATGAGGCTATCACACTTTGCAGGGAAGTGTTGGCTTTGCGCCCTGTCGGTCATGCAGATCGGCCCTTGGCATTATATCGCCTTGCGATTCACCTCTCCACCCGCTTTGACCACCATGGCAATGGAGAAGATCTCGATAAATCACGAGAGAATCTCCGCTGTGCATTGACCCTAATGACCCAACATGATCCTCGTCGATTATGGGTCCATCAGTTGCTAGCTACCGTCTACGTGTCGTCTTATCGACATGATAGCACTGGCCTGGGCGAAGATATTGACAATTTAAATGCTGCCATGCATCATTTTAAGGCAGCAACGAACATCGTCCCTGGAGGCTTGCTACTTCGCCTGCAAGCAAGTCTACGCTGGGTGCATCATGCTATTCAATATTCACATAGTACTCAACTGGACGCTCATGCAACTTCCATTCAACTTCTGGACGCTTACACGTCTGTAACAGCCTCAGTATCGTCTCGTCGTGATGCTATGAAGGAATTCCGACGTTCACTTGCCATGGATGCTGCATCGTGTGCTCTTCGTAGTGGTGACGTGTGTCGCGCTGTGGAGTTGTTAGAACAAGGCAGGACTGTCATCTGGACCCAGATGACACGACTCCGCACACCTTTTGACAGCCTTCAGATTCGTGACGATTCGACAATGGCCCTGATGAAGAGAATCAAAGACCTCAGCTCCCTCCTTGATAAACCTCCTGCGAGCCATCCAGAAGACACCCCAAGAGTTGATATAAAAGCAGAAGAAGCCCGTTACAGACGCCTGATGAAGGACTGGAACGGAGCTGTAGAAGAGATTCGGAAGATCGAGGGCTTCTCTCGCTTCCTACTTCCCCCCTTGTTTTCCGATCTTCAAGATGCAGCTCGTGATGGGCCCATCATCGTGCTCGTTGCAAGCAAATCGTCTTGCGATGACATTATTATCCCGCACAAACAACCCCCGATCAGCATTCAGCTCCCTACCGATTTTGAGAAACTCCTGAGATTGATGCTCGCACTTCGAGAGGCGATTGAAAAAGAGGCCGGTCCTAAAGGGAATCAACCAGCGCTGATAAAAGCTTTGAGGAAGTTGTGGGACCTCGTCGTCCGCCCGGTGGTTGAGAATCTGGGCAAATTTGCACGACGAGGTTCCCGAATATGGTGGTGCCCGACGTCTGTGTTCAATTTCTTGCCGTTGCACGCTGCTGGCGAGTACAGAGCAAATGGAGAGTCCCTTTCGCAGCAGTATATCTCTTCATACACACCATCGCTTACCGCGCTCATGAGGGCTCGCAGAAGTCTTGAGAGGTCACCGTCGGTGTCCTTCGCTGCCATTGGTCAGGATCACCCCGCTGGTGATTCGTTCACTTTGGATTGTGTGGAGCCTGAACTAGAATTAATGCGGAGTCTTTTACCCCCTCCCCCAACTGTTTCCTTCACCAAGATAACGAGCGTTGATGCCACGAAATCTACAGCACTGTGCGCATTGCAAAACAATACTTGGCTCCATTTCGCATGTCACGGGACACAGAAATGGGATGAACCCTTCAACTCAGCCCTTCTCATGCGCGATAAACCGCTTTCACTCCTCGATATCGTACACATGGATTTGTCTCGACATCAATTTGCATTTCTTTCTGCCTGTGAAACAGCATTCGGTGACTATGGTACTCCTGACGAAGTGATACACCTAGCGGCTGGTCTGCAATTCGCTGGGATTAAGAGCGTCATTGGAACATTATGGAAGGTCAATGATAGTACTGTGCAGCGCTTAGTCGAGGCATTCTACAAAAACTTGTGCGGGGATGGCACAATGAATCCCAAGCGAGCTGCCCGAGCACTGCACCGAGCGGTCCAGTCGTTGGCTAGCGACAGGGACATACCCTTGGACCAGCGCATAGTGTTCGTGCATATTGGCATATGATCAATTTCGTTCGTCCTCCTTTTTTTGAAGTGTTCTTGATACAATCTAACCGCTTCGCATGTAGTATCCAGCTGTGGCTACGTTGCCAAGGACTCGAAATTCAATATTTCGGACTTTGAGACTGTATACTTCCACGATATGTACGCCTAATTTCGACTTTAATATGTATTTTCCAGTTTGTTGCCTCGGGACTAAAGGTGGCCGCTTCTAAGGTGCACTGCTTTGTGTGAGGGTAAAGCTCAACATTATACCTTTGGTTCGAACGCGGAATCATATCATAACGGCAGGACACAATCACGATGGACATGATAGTCTTGGTTCTGAATTTTGCGGTTCACAATTGATCTTGCAGCGTCAAAAGCGTCTGACTACTGTTGGCGTACTAGCATATACGTGCACTTGATGCGAACCCGTCGGTGATCCATTGTTCATAAACGAGATCAACTGTTTTATCGTTAAGAGTGTTCTCGAATATACTCCTAGCTATTGTGCGACCAAAGACCCAGTGCTTATCAAAAGCTTAGCCCATCAGCGAATACAGATCAATGGTTGTTCTCGCTATTCATAAAGGATACTGAACGCATGTATTTGTGTAAAGTAAAAACTCAGATCAAGTTATTACAAAGTTTCATCAAGGCATATTAATTCATACAAAGAATGGTGTCGTAAAATGGGCACTGCGTCAGAAGAGAAAAATAGATGAATGATCTATACATTGTACGGTCAGTTGCCATCTTGCAATGATGTTCTACAAAAACAAATAGATAAATGATCTATACGTCACACAGGTGCATGAGCTCTGCTTAGAAGAAAAAGGTAAAGCAGCTTGCAAAAGAGGTAAGAAGAGTAAGCGTTAATGCGATATTCTTGATGGGAGAAGGAGATCCAGAGCTCGTGCTGCTGCTGCTCGAGGTTCCACTGGAGCTCGCGCTCGCGGAGGTACTGGTAGGCAGAGGTATCAAGCCAGTCACCTGCACCGGATTCGGGTCGGAAGATCCGGTTGACGAGCTCAAGCCACTGGCAAGCTGGGCGAAGCCAACGGCAGGGGGGCTAGCACGGAAGACGGAATACACATTCTTTAGGAAGGTATCACCGACTATCCAAGAAGGAACGCTACCAACACCAATATCGAAAATACCACCAGCACACATCTGAGAAGTAATACTCGCGTTGCCGGTTACTGTTTCGTTGAGGGTACCGATGTTCATGTCTAGGGGACTGATCGCCCAGTTTGTACCGCCGAAGGAGATGTAAACTGTGACATTAGTGTCGCAAGCTAGAGATAGATGAGTCTTCTGCAAATCCTGGAGTGCGCACAGATACTGACGGAATGCATATAACCCTTGCCAATCACCAGAAAGCTCTGTAGCACCAGGTACTTGGGCCCAAATACTTGCGGCGATGGGTGTGGGCGCCCCAATGAGGGTGGTGCCTGTGTCGATGGCAGCAAGACCACTAAGTGGATCAATAGCGATCGTCTTGCCTTGTACAGTGACCGCTGTAAATTTGTTACCATTAAGCGTGCTGATAACATGACAGAATGACAGTGCTGACAGCTAACAGTAAGCAACCAATACGATGGTGGACCAGTCAAGCCTAGGTACTCGATAGAGCCGTTGTACAAACTCGAATTCGTTCCCCCGAGAGTGAGCACACCGCCCGGAGCAGCACTGATCTGATTGGCTTGGTTGACATAGCGTTCCAGGTAGAAAGAGAACAAGGGTTCAGATAAATTGTTGGCATTATAGAGGGCTTCCCAAAAGGGAGTGGTCTGAAGTGCAGAAATTGGGGCAAATCCAAGACCCATGATACCTGAGAGTCCATCGCCAGTCAAGCCAGGGGTAACGCTAGTAACAGCAACTATTATCAAAGTAAGGTTAGGTCTGAACCAGCCCAAGTCACCGAGATAGACATACGGAGTTCTTGAGACATTTCGAAAGACCCAAAGGTGACACTATCCTGGGCGACAGTACCTTGTGCTGATCCTGAGCCATAATCTATCTCCAAGTGGGAGGAGGTGGCCTTGTATGTCGACGACTTCGAGGGGTTGAATTCAGGTAAATCTGATCCACAAGAGGTGCATGCAGTTGTTGCAACCCAAAGGTCGGAAGACCCAGTATCGAGGACAAGATTGAAGTTCTGTGGTCTTCACATAACTAATATTTGCGAATGATGCTATGTTTCAAACTTGAAACTTACGGAGTTCCAATGCTCACAACGCCTGAGTAGCTGGAATCGTTTTCCTAATACAATGATGATCAAATCCGTGAGCTACGTGAAGAATCGAGCTGCGAACCTCGTCCGTGATAGGAATTGCCGCAGCGCTGGCTCGCTTCGAACCCGTGCTCTTTACACTCGTTGATTGGATACCATACTTTCTCCGCAATGCTTCGACAGCGTTTGGTAAGTTCGCAACTCGGTTGGAATTACTTCGTCGCACGACTGGGACATGAACTACACCTCCATCTAGTTGTTCAGCAGCGAGAGCAAACGGAAGGAGTGCGATGACTACAAGCGGGAGAGAAATCATCGAAAACAGGTGGACAGGAAGACCGTGAGGAGAGACAAAACAAACTAGCGATCTGCGGGAAACGAAAACTTGTCCTGTGCCTCCTCGGTCCCGCCAAACGGCTATACACAGGCCATAGTCGGTGTTGCCGTTAAAGCGAATAGCGTTCAATTAACTAAATCTTAAGCTTTAGTTTCGAAGTTTGCTCGGTCGTCTCGTTCAGGAAAGGGCGGGTCGTTGCTTGTAAGATATTCAATTAAAATCCTCACACTTGGCTCCTGGACTTGGAGGTCCCTACCTCAGACTGCTTCGATCCATCCAAACCAAGGGCTTGAACCTATTCAACGTTCTCCGCATGTCAGCGTGTACCCATTACGGAACAAATCCACCGGCCTAATTCTGAAAAATCATTCACAACGAAGGAATTGAGATACGTGAATAATGAAACGCACATCGGAATCCGCAGAGAAGGCGAAGAGCACTAGAATCACAGGCATCACAGGCCTGAGTGCCGCGGCACCGTGGTCCAGTCCGAGCAGTTGTAAAATAAAGATCACATAACCTATTGTCAGCGAAAATCCGAACCGTACGAAGCCCAATTACAGTCCTTCCGGAAAGTCTTGACTCACGTGTTCGAAATGGTTCAAAAATAGTAGAAATGTTGAAAATTCAAATAAATCGAAAATTCAGCAAACTTGCACCACTCTCCTTCAAAGTCGAGCAGAAAAGCATAAGTGTCACTCTTTTGAATGTTAGATTATGTCTAATACAGTAACTGAATGCTCCGACGAGGAGGATGCCTCTCATTCACAACACTCTGATGATGAATCTGTTGATGGTATCCATATGGAATCTGGCAACATTTTAGACGAAGAACATGGTAATCTTGGTGGTATGGAAGACTCCTCGGGCGAATATGGTGATGAAACCTATGGGGACGATGACTCGGAGTTAGAGCTTGCTCCTGAGCTACAAGCAATCAAAGGTTACCGTGACTACCTCCTTGTTACTCAACGGGAATAAACTGACACCTAGGCAGATGCAATTTATGCCAAGCAGCCTGCACTGAAGATTTGGATCCCTGGTAGTAAGCTATCGAAGTGGAAATATGATTCCGACTGTGCCGTAGATACCTTCACACATCTACCATTTGTTAAACTCTGATAATCTTACACAAACTTCGTAGATATTCATACCCGTATATTGTTACCCCGTAAATGCAGCTATTAGCTACTCCCCTCCGCGTAATATTGTCCGCGCTACAGATAGCCACTATGCATATACCAGCCTCGAGCATTTTCGGCATTTACGGCCCTGAAGCAAGCTTCACGAAGGTCCTGCTCAGGGAATTGGCTGTGTTGGAGATCTCTCCAATGCTGTCGAAGCCACTTCTTCACTGTAGTGGAAGTGTGAGCGACAGAATAAAATGAAATGTAGTCGAATGTACAGCAACTGAAGATCTCCTCGATCGGATTGAAATCTGGAGAGTATGGCGGCAGAAATATAAGTAAACAACCTATGAAGGTGTAAGGTCCCTGATGTTTTCATGGAGAGCTGACGTCGATATAGGCTGATCGTGGTATATGGCGAGCCATTCACTGATCTCATCAAGTAGCAGTGACGGGGTTTCAGCTAGCAGCTCGTGGATCTCGTCTGTCATAACTTGATCCAGCAAGCGAGGGCGACCCATGATTGGTGTAGGAGGGTTAACATGACCATGTTCATCATAATTTACCTTCCACCGCTCTATGCTTCTGGGCGATACTCCGAGAGCAACAGCAATGTGCTCAATGTCCCATCCTTCCTCCAAAAGCAGGTACAGGGCTCGTTCTTTCCGATCGCGACTGATACTCTGGTAGACCATGACGAGTCTGAGTGACAAACGTGTGAGATATGATATCTTTGAAGCCGTTCAGAGGCATACAAAACTCGAAAGTGATTTAATTGAATTTTCAACATTTTCACTATTTTTGAACCATTTCGAACACGTGAGTCAAGACTTTCCGGAAGGACTGTAGTAAATCTGCCCGCTAACGCTTGATAGTTGTTTTTTAAAGTTCTAGTAGGAACTGAAACATCAAAGTCCTTGCCATGAAGTCTTTGGTTAAATAATTACGAGTGCATCATGAGTAAGGACGTTAGAAATTCGATGACCTTGCATTAATGTCCCGAGTCTACTGCAAGACTCCTTCCGAAAATACGACTGTACCGCAGTCATTGACCATTCCCTACGGGATATGCATATGGAGGGAAACTAGGACAGAGTCCCGGTCTATTCAGAATTTCGGAGCAATATAGAGTGATCCGATTTCAACATGAGAACGACAAGTTCGAGTTCAAATCCAAACATGAGATCAACACTTCTCAATTCTGAACGAATACATGAAATTACAAAAAATGTCTGTCCCAAAACTACGAGCTCGACGAAAAAAAGCCGCCGACCTCAACTCTGCAGAGACGCATCTGACCCAGCCACCTGTTGACCTGCTCAACTTCATAACGAAGCCTCGCAGCAAGCGGACCGGACCAACTTCATATTCCACGAACGTAACAGGCCCCCACAGTGAGATACAAACGAGGGCCTTGACTTGTTTGTGGGGTTGGATTCGAGATTGTCGAAGTTGTCGAATGCTGTTGGATATGACTTGTTTAAAATGTCGCGCACTAAAATTGGCGAGGAAGAGTCTTGTTACGATCGCGAAGGAGTATGCAGCATCACATTGACTTCCAGCAATAGAGGCGGTACCGGTATTGTTAGGAAAACAAAGAGGTTGATTTGATGTGGAAAACTGAGGAACTGTATAGTTGCTGACAAAGCTATCTCACGGTCATCCTCGGGCATTTGGTCACGGCATCAGATATAGTTTACAGATCAGCATCCGTGGTCGAGGCCTAAGGACCCGCCGCCCAACTGAAACCCCTCTTTGCATGACTGACGGAAATGAATCGATTCAATATTTTATACAGCTTTACCGGTGAATAGCTGTCCAGGCGGCATATCGATAATCGCACTGCAAATTGGATCTGATGATCGCCGTTTGGCCAACTTTATACGCGCTTTCTGACATTACGCAAGAAATTCTACGTCACCATCTTGATCACCGCTGTGCGCAGCGCGAAAGCCATGTACTACAGGTACCTGTTACACAAGGGGTAGACCGTCACGTTTATAGACTCTGCCACCTTTCATGACAAACTGTATGCTTTCCGCGGATACCGCGTTTTCGAAATCTGCCGCAAAGTTCCCCGGTGTTGCAATCAAGTCAGCGATGAACCCTCTCCTTACCGCCCCAAACGGTACCTCATTATCACCAACAATCCTAGGGTCCTCCTTGAGATCACCTACCTGGGCGAGACGGGTCTTTCCTGCCTCGCCTTCCCACATCCTTGATCGTATGCATTCCCAGCCACCTAAAGTCGCCCATCTTAGCACCTTCTTCCAATCAGCTCCCAAACGAACCATGAGCGAGAGCTCCAACGCATTGGCTCCGTGAGCGAAAACCCCGGTATCGCCTCCACATGAAATATTATTCAAGTCCAGTTCTAAGGCTGCCTTGAAAGAAGTAACAGCGCGATCCCAGATCTCTCCTTTCCCCTGGGTCATTGTGTAATATGCCGCGAGGGTAGGAACATATTTGGTTTCATGGCCTACATATTCTTCGAACATTTCTACCTCACTTGAATCAGGGGTGGCCATATCATACGCGTGCTCAATGGAGTCCACCCCGAGACTCATCAGGGGTAGGATGGTTGACCTATTCGTTGCATGAGCGGCGACCTTGACCCCATATGCATGGGCAGTGCAAATCATCGCCCTCAGCTCATCGTAATCGAATGTGGCCATGGACGCAGCCCCAACCCTGCGCGAGACTTCAGAAGCCCGCGATCGAACGGCGTAGTCTAGGACAACGTCAACGGAGATGACCGACAGATCTAATCTAAACAAAGATTCATTTACCAGCATAGATCTGAATAATGTTGCAATCATAACGGAAACGAGCGGGTTTATATGAGCGCCTTGCCAAACTCATTATAACAGAACGTGACGATCACCTTGATCCAATCAGCGCCCGCGCCAATCTGCCTTCGGACGGCCTTGATACATTCTTGGGTTCCATCCGCCACATCAACGCCAGTGACACCATCGACACCTTCTTTGTTTACATAGAGGGAACTCTTTGGACCTGTTTCAGGTCACTCGCATGAGTCATGTGCAAGATGGAAAGCACGTGTATAAAATATATATAACACAACAAAAAAAACGAACCATACGCTCCGGTGGGTGCAATTGCCCTTGTGACACAAAAATATCTCGGGCCGGGTATGAGAGCAGGGCTCGATAAACACTTGCGTAGCGCAATATCTGCGTCCCCTGCGCCCTCAGTACCTAGATCGCTAGGAACAGAACGCCGATGTTAAACGGAGAACTACGCTAGAAATGCTGATGGACGCACCGCACAGCCGTGAAGCCTGCCATCAAAGTACGCTTGGCGTGTACTGTGGCCTTGATGGTGCGCTCGACGATGCTCTCTTTGGTAACCTGGTCCACCCATGAGGTCTCCGAGTACGGATGCAAGAAGACTGACAGCAAGTGGCAACCTGAGATCACCTCCGCTCCCGGAAATGAAGGTGATGCGCTTACAATGAACGTGCGTGTCGACGAAACCTGGTAAAACCGTCAAGTTCCGCAGGTCTATTACTTCACCATCAAAAGACGCCAAGCCGTTTGCTGAAAAGGGCGAAACGTCGAGGATCATTCCAGAATCGTTACATATCGTTATGGCTTGATTGTCAAGAAGTTCGAGCGTGTATGGATCAAACAATTTCCCAGCGAGAACTATCTTGGTCGCCGCAGCAGGTTGTGCTTGATCTTCTAGCGTGTTGGCGGTTGCTGTGAGCTGCATTTTACCGGATGAAGTTTAGCTGGTGTCCGTGAGGCGTTCGACTAGGAGACAAGGAACCCCTGAGAAATAATTTGATGTTCAACCACATATGGCGGCCGAGCACAAGGACAATGCCGCGGTGTGTCCGCGACATATCATTACTAATTTACCATTTTCTCTCCAAAGGACCTAGCACTTTCATAGACACTCCAATCTACTTCGGGAGTTGCCGACGGAGAACTTGGTTGCCGCTTGGTTTTCGAGAGTTACCGGTTACGAACTGACCAGGAGAACACCTCATCTGAACATTCTACTTTTGCGTATTTTATTGATACCGTGGCACAGACACCAGTGGTCGAAATGCCATTGGGCGAATGTGTGGCTAGAGAGAGGTCCGTGCAGCCTACATACAGACTCTCAATTTATTCCGTGTGCTTGGCGAGGTAACTTGGAAGATTACCGTTCTCTGAAATACTCATCCAATTTCCAGAAAGAGACAATGGAGGTCCCCCAGATCTATTCGGTGTATAATATATATAAAAAGAACGTCGTATTTATAGCTGTCTGTCGTGGGGGGGCATCTTGATAAACGCGGGAACGCAAGTACCGCAACTGGTGCCCTCGAGAATATCAAATTGGATATGTTTCTATGAAGTGTTCCAAGGGGCTCCACAAGCGAGCTTCGTGGCGTTTCAGAGAGAACCTCGAGGTATGGCGTCGAATAGAACATGTGGACGATACAAATGAGAACATCATAATATTATATTTTTAGGAAATGGCCTCACCTCAAAACATTTCAGAAGTTCATCGTCGAAACTGTCGGTTTATTCCGGCTGCGGATGCTTTTGAGCGTGCCACGGGGATATCGATAAGTTCTTGTGCAGGGCTGGCAGCGACCGTCTAGTGCTCAGATATTCAGATCAGATTACTAATTACACATCATCGAAGTCGAAGTGCTCCATGAAAGAGCTCCTTTGTGGCGTTCAGAAGCGCGGTGGTTCCAGTTCAGTGCTCTTGGTGATTAAATCAGTCATGTCCTTGACAACCATGAAAGAGAGCTGCATCGCTGGTAACTCATTTGAGTCGGTCTTTCTCCTCGGATTTTCGCCAGGGCTAGTGCACGCCTTTTGTGGCATATCACAGGAAGTGGCGCTGGTAGTGTAATCTATGAATGAAAGAGCAGAAGAGAAATCGCTAGTAGAACTTCGAGACGCGTAAAGATACTTGCGTAACTTACACCGTAATAAGTATGTTAACGATTTTATCAATCTTCCATCGCCTGCATACAAAGTTCTGCCTCCTCATGCCGTAAATACGTACCTTTTATGGCCTATTGAAAGAAGGTGCGTTAATATCAATGAGAAGAGACGCGAGGGAATGCACGAATAGAATAGGACGCACGAGTATACCAGACCCAAGAGGACACGCAAAAGATACAGCGGAAACGGCAAGTGCGAGGCTTGTCCGTCTACACAGCATCTTCTGCACGCATCGTAGCGCAGCATGTATGGCGTATTAGCGCTATAGTGCCATAGTGCCAATGATCCATCATACAATCCACGCATTTGTACGTACGTACGAGCGGCCGGCGGCAGACAGATCCACCAAGAAAGGTTTAGCAGACGCGCCTGCCATACACAGCCGGCATCTACTGCGCGCATGGCAGCATGCCTCTATAGGCATCCGTACGTACGGGCGTGCGCATGATCAAGGTTCCGGCGGCGGTTGACAGATCCGTCAAAGAAACTCAGGGTCAAGCACACAAAAGAACAGCACAAGGACGAGTTTGTCTAACTTGGGTCTTTGTATGTATGGAGTCTGGACCGTTTCTCTCTATAAGCATGTTTTTTTTTTTTCCCCAAAAAGTCGTCATTCCGACCCACCAGTAGCACTTTACTCGCAACCTTGCACGGCCCGATCAACGCACGCACGCACGCAACTGATAACGAGGCTCGACTCGGAGTAAAATTTGAACCTGCAGCTCCATGTACGGTACCTTGAGGACATATGAATCGCAAGTTTCACGCACATTGGCCAAGCTCCATGCGGGTAAGGAACGAATGATGGGAGGGATACTATAGAAAAAACGCGTTTGGGATCGTAGCTCCGACGCGACTTCGACTTCCCAAGGCCTAGACTCGTGAGATAAGACGGGATGTGACGTCAATAGGTAGCATTGGCTCCTGGTCCAAGCGCTCAGTCCTACTTGCGGCAGGCTTAGGTCTCTTCGGGATGGGATTTTCCAGTGACTTGCTTATATGAAACAATAGACGAGGAACGCGATGGCGGTTAACTACTCGTCCTAGCTAGCAGAAATCGACGATCAGCGTCCAAAACGTTGGATGACAGGGAACGTATCGACAGAAGGCTACTCGTTCGTAACCTACTGAGCCTAACTAGTCTAGGACGTCGACGATCTCATCGATGACAGTCCTGCATTAGCAAACGATGCGAATGTAAGATTACCAGTATTAAAGACGCCAGCTCGATGCACCTCGGATCGGAGCTTAGTCAGGCTTAATTGGGGATTCCCCAGGGAGAGGACATCCCTTGGCCATGGTTTCCCTAACTCTCCTCCGAGTCGGACAAGTTCATGATATAACGTTGCTACTAGTACCTTGCTTCAAGCTTCAAGGTCCATATGATCCTACTACGCCAGCTGGGATAATGCACAGAAGCTTCTAGCCGTGACGTGATCATCAAACTTGAATTGAAGATCGAATCACAGTACTAAGTACCACTTACCGACGCGAGATAAGTAAGTCCAAGCTCAAGAACTCCAAGTTAATTTAGACGCCGGTCGCGGATGCGAAGCTTGTCACGGCTACAGCTTTAGGCTGAAAACTGAACCCACGTTCAATATTAATGAAAGAGCTGGCATTAGCTGCCGTGAGGTGACCAATGTGCGTGGGTAGCAACGCTGTAGAAGTAGAATGCCGGTATGAGTGAACTGTTCAGAAGCGAGTGACGATGCATGAGTATGTGTACCAGTCGCTGCCGCATGACTCACGCGTGTGCTCGCTGTAGATAAGATATGACTCATGAACGAGGACAAAAACATCGTTTGATGAACTACTAAATCAACAAGGTGTAAACTACAATTAAGGAGGAATGGTACAAGAGTCTCGAAGTGCGCGTGCGGTGGTCAGAGTCAGAGTCGTAATGCGATGTAAACAAAACAATCAGCGAGCGAGCAACATGTGAGATAGATGCGGCATGTGCAAAACAATCCAAAGCCAGGACGAATGATGACGAAACATGATATGTACGTATATATGCAGTGGGAAAAAAGACGCAAGGATATATCTAACATCCGCGGCGAGTCGACATCGTTGATGGCGATATAGTACAGTGTCGGCGTAATCGGAATGGGGGTTTTGATACACACAGCGCTACGAGGCGAAGCGAGGCGTCGATAGAACGCGGGACATCGGGAAAGAATAAAGTTAGGTTTGTGCTGCGTCAGGTCAGGTCAATGGATGGCGTGGCGTGGCGTGTCATGATGTCTTGATAGTCCTTTGTTAGTCTTGGTTCTTGAGTCCTGAATTGTCGGCATGCGGGGTATGAGGGGCCATGGAAACCTCGGTAACGTAGTGCAAACCCATCACCCCCTCACAACCCCTCCTCCCTCCTCGTCATAGCAAACGCACTCTCCAGTGTGGGAGTAACGGGACCCACATTCCCCAACACCCGCCACGTCCCCACGAAATTTTGTCCTCCGACAACATACCCGCTGAATATCCACAAACCGAGTCCAGCACTAGGGTGCGGGTTCTGGTGTGCGGGGATACGAACGAGCGCGACGAGTCCATCCCACTCGCGAACGCGGCCATAGAATTTGTAGTGGTTCCATGCCTGGCCATGCTTGAAGTCGGTCTGTGAAAGATGAGTTGAGTGACAAAGGATGGGAATGGGAATAGGGCTTACTTCTCCTACGAGCGCGATATCAAGCACGCCATTACATTTCCTCTCTACACAATACTCCTCGTCGCTCTCATCGTCAAACGCAAGATCGGTATCTGTATCTTCGTCCATCGCTTCGTCGTCTTTTTGATGGAATATATCATTGATGACCGAATCGTACCGCATAGAAGCATCTTGTAGGAATCGATCGTCGTCACCCACATCAGCGTCTGTATCGCTCTCGTCACCCTGAGGAGATCGCTCCGCCAAGAACTGATCATCGTGTTCCCTATAAACGATGTTAGACGTCCCACGGTATTGACATCCACGACAAGTAGCTTCGTCATGTGAGTTCGCTAAGCCTGGGCGATAAGCTTCGTATGTGTATGTGCGGTCGTGATGTTGGAATCTGAGTTTGCCTTCGGACTATGGTCGATTATCAGTATTAGGACTAGTATCACATTAATGAAAAAAGCGACTCACCAAATCCTCGTGTATCTGGACACCCCTGGGTATCCATGCGTTCGAAATGCCATCATCAAACCCATCATCTGCACCACCAGCCGGTACAGGGTCCTGTGGGTCCACGCAGTGATATTCACGAAGACGCATGAAGAGAGGATAAGCGTTGAGGAAGAGCTGATGTTCATTGAATTCTTCTGGCATTTGTACATGCTGGAGAATTGCGTTGAATACGTTCTCGGTGGGAACTAGGATGCGACCTTGCCAGAGACCTGTTGCGGAGCCGTAGGTGTAATGAGTGTTTTTGATGGAAGACTTCTCCATTGAATAGATACAGTCTGTGAGGCGATACCAGTCATCGTCGAGTTGGGAGCTGGGACTTGGGGCGGAGTCTGAGGAAGTAAGAGGAGAGTATTTGACGACTTTATGTTGATTGAGTTCGTGGACGTCTTCTTGGGTGGGGCCGATTTGGTCGCCGAAACCGAGCTGGATGGCGTGTTGACGAGTGAGTGGGAGATGGATTGGGACACCGATAGGTGTTACTTGGCGACGTGAGAAGAAGATAAGTTTCGCTGCCATCGAAGCGAGTGGGATACCGATTTGGAGGTCTGTGCGGTCGTAGAAGTGGGTTATATGGGCTCTGCCGTCGCGGTAGAGTGGGAATGTGCCATGAGCGGGGATAATGGATTGAGGGAGGCCGTTCGAGTTTTCTGTGAGGGGCATGATGAAATGGTTGTGGGGAGCATGCGCTGAGGGGTACTAGGGAGGGGTTACGAGGTATAGTTGGATGATAAAAAGCGACTTACGCGAAAGGGAAGGATGACAAAAGGGAGGACGAGTCTGATCATCTCGTTGCGTCGGACGGTGGTCTCGGCTTTTAGACGCTCTGAGGGTGTATTGTAGGAAAGGGATTGAGGAGGATAGGGGAGACATACCTTCTGTACTTGTGAACCAAAGCAACCATAATGCAAGACTGTTGATTGGAGATTCGCTGGGCCAGCCGTTGGTGTTGACGGAGTCTTCGTATAGGCGTTTGCGAACGAACTCGTCGACGAAATCTGGGAGACCTGCCGCTTCGAGAAGATGGCGATTTTTTCCGTCGTTCTCAGACAAGAGTGCGAAAGAAGCCCAGAAAGCGTCTAGGACGCCCTTATCGTAAACGTCTGCCCTTCTGATGCATTTTAGGGCGTTTGAGTACCAGACTAGCTGGTGAGCGAGATGGCGAGAGTGGTGAGTGCGAGTGCCAAGTCTTCTGACCGAAGCGGATGAATTGAATCTGTAGCGAAAGATGCGAGAGTATAGATGGGTATTTTTTGAAAAAGCGAGGATATGATTTATTTGTTTGCAAGTCTGGAGGAGTGGGAGGATGAGGCCATCGATTGAAACGAGTTCTAGTACGATATTCTCGAAAATTTCTTCAGGTAGATTGCAAAGAAAAGAGGATTGGACGAACATGATGAGGGGGGGGTATATTGTTTTGTGTGAGAGTAGGATTTATGTATTATATGTAATATAAGTAGATAACTGAGATCGGGGAATCCGATCCATTTCGTCATATGGGCGTCTGTGACCCGTTTTTGAACGCCGTTTCTTCTCAACCAATAATAATCCTCCTTACGTCCATAAACCCTGTACCTTGCACACACATCTCCGTAACACCGGCCCCGGCTCAATTTAGAGGCCGTATATCCACGGCGATCACGATCGGACCCTCCAGCCCTGTCTTTTTACCCATTTCAGCTCTCTTCTTCGGCTCCTCTCCTTCCTCCCCCCTCCCCTTCATTTCCGCCTCTCTCAAAAAAGGCAACACTGTACAGCTTATCGCCGGCGGCCCCTCCTTCACTTTGTTATTCAATCTCGCGTGGCATGCAACTTTGTATCACTCTCCATGTAATCTATTTATCCGATCTTCCTGGGCTGTACAATTCATCCATACATGCCGTCTTTCCGCGATCGTTTCGTGCCTTGCATTCAACTCAACTTAACTTACCTCCAGCATGTACTGAACGTGTACGAGCTCGATGCTCGATGCTCCACTCACAACTCCACATCTACCATTCAACTCCACTCCCAAATTTGACGCAGATCACCTCACAATTAACTCTCAACTCCGCTATACTCGTGGGCCTGGAATCGCATAGCTCCCTCTACCGGGGTTCCAAAACTAAATCAACGTTAGAGTTGAGTTGAGCTAAGTTAGGTATCATCATAATCAGCCCGCGCTGAAGTGAACAGCCCTCAGGTCCTTTGCCTACCTTCACTTAAATGTTTTCCCGCGACGGCATGACAGTGCTGCTATCATTTATATCTTTCCCCACCGTGGTTGAGCACTGAGTGCTCCCGTGTTCTCGCGCTCGGGACGGGTGTACCGTCACTTAGCTTTAAGCATTTGCTTTTAACGCCCGTCCTTGGCGGCCCGGTTTGTGAATCCGTACACGTCGCAGCCTTTCCCTGGTTCTAGGCCTGATGAGTGAGATGAGTGACGAGTGGTGCAAGGGCCATTTGGGTTTGGGTTGAATTTCCCAGGCTTTGGAGAACGATGAACCCTTTTATCGCCTTGTCTCTCTGGTTTGTCACCCACTCACGGTGTCTAGTATCTAGCAGTACCAGGATTTCAAATCTTCGGTGATTACTGGGGCGAGGAGCAAGCCTTTCTTTCCTGTCCATTATCATCTCAAGACTCATTCCCGTCCAATGCCATCTTCATCTCATCGCATCCCATTCCCGTTCCCATTACTACATCCCGTCACACCCTGTTCCCGCTTTCATTGCCACTCCCGTTCCCGTCGCCATCCTATGATCTCATTCAAACCGTAGCGCTTTTCGGTATCACAACATCGTTCATTCCAAACCAAAGCCAATCTTAAATGCGCGTTTTCCACTTCATCTCCGTCGGGCTCATCTTCACCCATGCACCTTCCGTCCGTCGGCAGTCCATATGGATCGATCATTGATGTACATCCCGCCGCTAATGACGTACACCTCAGTCAGCATTATGCGATTTTTGATTTTTGATTATCATTTTACGACGTTTAAGGGTGTATGTAAAAAGTATGTATGTATCGTGATGGGTCTCTTGACATCTCCCATTAGCGCCGTTCACGCTGACGAGAACAGTTGTATTGTCTCTATAGGTCCGAACCCGCGTACGTGAGATACCCGTTACTAGGTCTAGATTCTGGGCCTTTAGTCTTAGACTTGGCGTGCACATCACAAAATGGCGCAGACAGTCTCCGTTACCCAGAGCATTCAATCAGAATCACGGAGTGCAGTGTTGCCTGAGGGAGGCGCAGTCTCTTGATAACCGTGTGAGTTGTGATCGTTCCGCACCCGCTGTGGCGTATTTGGACTATGGGACCTTGCTGCCTTCCTTCTTTCCTTTTATGCGTTTCTTCCCTGTTTATATCCTTTTTTTTCCTGATGTGTGAGCTTACCCTATCGTCGGCGGGCATTTCGTCAACTTTATGTATGATGCGTACAAACGGGGCTTTCGTTTATGTATTGTATGATACCGCGTACCCTGTACCGACGGCTATACTGACTTACTACTTTCTATTACTAGGTCCTATCGATATCGGCAAGGGCTTACCGTTATGCGGCAGTGGTTGGTGAGATCTGTCTTGACTTGGATATGATTCGCTGATGCCCGTGACTCACAGTGGGAATAAGTCAAAGTTCTGTATGAAGGTTAATTCGTGTTTGTTTTTGTCTTTAGTGCTTAGCCGTCGTTGATGTTGGCGTTCTAATGGGGCGGGGTCGCTATTGTTATTTGCTGATGGTGGTGGTGGCGGTGGCGGCGGTGGGTTTACAACCATAAGACTCCCTTCAAACTCGGAGTTCCCCGGAGTATCCTGTATTCTGATTTGCGTGAGGTGATTGGTGGGCTTGTACCTGGTCCTCGTTGTTTGGCGACGGTGGCTGACCTTACTAGTAGAGACGCGTCGGTTCGGGGTTTCCCGGAGGCAACTCAGCGTTTGCCTGTTCTAACTTCGCCGCCATGACATACACGCTCCTATTTCCTATCTCCTCCTTACTGCAAGGGCGGCGGGTCTTCCCGTTTGCACACCCTGTTATTTGGTGAGATTCCGATTTGGCTCGCCGGGGATATGCGCAAAGGCTAAATTCGTGTTACATTGATACAGTTGTCGTTGTGCTATTGGACGACTGTTCTTGTCTCTTGTTTGGCTCGCGATCGCGACGTGCGCTGTGTTAAATTGATCCGTGAGTCGCCACTACATAGGCGCGAGAACAAGGTGCGTGGTTTTATCATGATGTGAGGAGATTGGTGGGCTTTTACTTTTGGGCTTGGGGCTTGGAACTCAAGCCTCAGGCTTCTATTGATATTACTGACCGATGGGGTATTGTTGCGTTTTTTTTGCAAGCGGCTTCGACTTCGACTTCGACTCGGGTTTTCCCGAGTACACATCTTGTTTTGTTTTTGTTTTGATCTGTTCGTGTAGGTGATTGGTGGGGCTTGTATGTACTTCCTGTGCTGCTGACCATCTGTAGAATTGTCTTCGGCTCATTCCTTCCTGGGAGGGTTAGTATCTGATGGCTGTTCACTCTCATACTCCCGCTGCTTCCTTTTGGTGGAGCTGAGATCATTAAACCTTTGCTGAGTTGGTGGCTGACTTTGGATTCACAGATAAGGCTTTCGTTCTCAGTTTCCAGCCATTCCCAGAGACAATCGATGGACGATGGTTTTAATCTCGTCTCCAGGGAGATGGTAGATTGAATCATCTTGCGCCGGCCGATATATCAGACTGTGCTCATTGCGGATTCGGATTCATCGATGACTATCAAGGCTTTCAGTCTGTTCCAGAATCGACAGATGGGGTTTAATGATGCTTTGTACAGATTCCTGCAAAGACTCGTTGTAAACATCGTCTGTCGTTTTGGATTTGTTGGTGGTTGTCAGGGCTTTCAGTGCGTCGGAATCGACAGATGAGGTTTAATGATTCTTTGCAGAGAGTAATGCAAAGACTCGTTGTAAACATCATCTGTCGTGGATTCATTGGTAGATTTGGTGACTATCAAGGCTTTCGCTCTCTTTCTGAGTTAACAGATGTGATTCGATGATAAACCCATCGTACCCATCGTCTGTCGATGGGATCAGACTGTCGGTTTTCTTGTCAAATCCGTCCAGATTGGCGACTGTTGATTCGTGTGGATAAGACTTCCAGTCTCAGTCCAGAATCAAGAGACGAGGTTCGACGATTCTTTATATAGATGCATATGCTCATCTTAAACATGTCTGTCGATAAGATTAGACTGTTGGTCTTATTCGGCACTGCCTGAGACTGCTTTCACCCGCGGAATATGGTGGGCTATATATACACTCGTCTCTAAACGCGTTAAAGACTTGTCTTTCCCAAGTCGAATGATGCATCGATGAGGTCTGGTCAATCGTGGTTTAGATCGATGGTGCAGTGAAGCGCTTGTCATTATTTGTCGACGGGGTCAAACTAGGCGGGTTCTCTCCGTCAAGATCCTTCTCTAGCATATAGGTTCTTTCCTGGGAGGAGGATTTATCATCACTGACCTCGTGCTGATTGTTAGCGACTGACTGCCAGTGATTGAGTCCGAACATAGTAGATAAGGCCTTTTGTTATCCGTCCTTGACTGTTCGTTTTACGGATTTATAATGTAATGGTGCATTGGTGTCGTTCGTCGGTGGATTGGATTGCGCTGGTTGACGCTGGTCGTTGCTGTGGCTTGCTTCAGAGCATAGCCAAGAACTTATCTTACGGCTTTTTTGTATCGACCCTGCTCTTGAAGGACTTATCTTACGGCTTCTCGTATCGTCGCCGTCGTTCTCTGCAGATAATAGCCAAGGAATTATCTTACGACTAACGCAGCCTTCATCACTGTTGTGGTTCGTTCTACAACACGGTTCTTTCCTGCAGATGTGTGAACGCCAATTGCCGAGCGATTTGTACGCGTGCATATGGCCATGGGACTTGTTGCATAGAAATCACAATATATATGTTCCAATCTGATCGTCTCTTTCAGGTCCCTTGATTCTTGTGCTTCCCTTGAGGTTGATTGTGATCTTGTGAATGATCGATGGCCTAGGTGGCATCGTACCGACTGCCTGAGGCTGAAAAACACAACCTCCCACAGCGTTTTGTATGTAGGATGGATGTTGTCTAGTGAATAATGCAATGCCCTGAGAAATGAACCAGTGGACGTACCTCCTATATACATCTAATCAGTGACCGGAATTCTTGCTGAATGCCTGTCAAAAGGTGTGGCGGGATCGAAGCAGAAGAAGCTATTACCAAAACGGGTCAAATCACGTTCGAAAATGGAATGTGACTGCTTTCCTTGACGTCGTCACAGAACGCGGGGTCGATGGGCACATAAAAACTCGTCGTCGTTATCTTTCCCTCTTTCTTTGTGTCCAATATCATCCACATCCTCCCCCCACCTACCGTCATGCAGAGTACTGATAATGCCCAGTCGTTCATTTCTTTTAGTCATGAATATAGTCCACCGCGCTCCAGAACCACTGCTGCGTCCATCTGGGCTCCTCAGCCTCAGCTGCTGGATTCGACTTGGCCAAAAGCCATAGACTCTTTCTCTCGTGATGCTGAGAAGGAGCAGCAGCGCTCCGGTCGTGTTCCCAATGGCCGAAACTTCTTCGCCCCAGGTAATGGAAGTGAAGACGTCTTCGGTCCTGTCGGCCTTGTCGGTATGCCTCGCAAAAGAGACATAGGTGCGATCGGCGACGGTAGGAAAAAACAGAGCCTTGATTTTGACGATAGTGTGAGTCGATCTTATCAAAATAAAGCGCATATATGCTGATAAAATCGACTAACTAGCATGTCGAGCAGCTCTTGCGCGCTCTTAATCTGAACTCTCCCGCTCTTTATTCTCAGCAGCCTTCTCGTTCACAAATTCCTGAATCCAAGAATGTATCGACCGGCTCTCCGGATTTTTCTCCGAGCTCTACTGTATCTGCGCTCCTTACGCCTACAGACCTTTCTCCTGCGAAAACTTCTTTTGACTTTAAGATCAACCCACCTCACGAGCTAGCTCATTCGCACTCTTCTTTGTCTCCTTCGTCCCTTCTGTTTGACAACGGCTCGCCCTTGAGGGCGCACGATTTTATGTCTCATAATGTACACCAGCGTTTTTCTAGCGTTCCTTCTTCGAACCTTTTGCCCCCCTATCCCGTTGCCTTATTTTGAGCAGTCTTCTGAGAATTCTTCTCCAGCTTTGGGCTCGCAGCAGTTTTACGATAGTGCTTTCGTTCATCATACCCATCCAGACTTATCAAGAGGTTCTTGGCGGCAACCACAGCAATTGTCCGCCTCTTCGGAATGGTTGAGGGTTGAGGACAAGGCAGGCAGCGACTATGCCTCCGGCGTCACTGTCGGGGAGGACTCTTTCAGGACCTCTCCGTCTCAGCCGTCGTTCCCACCTCGTCAAAACGGAGTTCATGGTCACGAAGTAAGACTTTTCCGCCACTCTGTTTCCATCGCATATGCACTTACGTTCCCTTCACAGCCGATCAACTTCCTTTCGCTTTTGCATCCGTCATCATCTCCCCCATACAACGTATTTGTGGCGCGCATCATAAAGTCATCTGACCAGCAGGCTTCTATCTTTTTGCAACAGAAGCTCAAGGTTGCCGATCTTGAGGAACGTCACAAGATTGTCGATGCTATCTGCGCGCGCGGCTTTGAGATGATGTCACATCGGTTAGTGTGCCCTAACCATATACACGCTCTAATTAAACCTGATATTGATATGCCTGACCGCTAGTTTCGGCAACTGGGCGGTCCAAAGATGTCTTGAAGCTGCGGCGACCCCCGAAGAAAGGAAGAAGATAGTCAACTGCATGAGGTATGCTCTCGGCTTACGACTACCTCCGTTGAACCGTATCATTAATTGTAAATAGGGGGCGGATCGTCGACCTTGCGACCAACTGTTATGGATGTCATGTCCTTCAAAAGGCACTTGATTGCGAAGAGGATATTCGCCTCCTGATCGTTTCCGAGCTTCTCCTCGGGGACCCTGCATTGACTTTGGTGAACAAGCATGCATCTCATGTCTGGAGCAAGGTAAGAGATTCGTTATGACTCGTATGCCGTTGGAACCTGACCAATATGTATCCAGATCATGGAATTGACATGGACGGCCCCCGCGCCTCCGATTTTCGCATTGTCAGGGTATTTCTTGCTAGATGACCAAAACCGTTCTGACAATATTATGTAGCGTTAACAAGTCCCTGAAAGGGAAATGGGCGTCTCTCGCTTGCCATGAAACGGGATCACTCGTTGTCCAGGTGAGGATGCCAGCGCATGTCACGTAGCTTGTTTCTCATGCTCTACAGCATGCGTTTGAGAACCTCGAAGAGTCCGCTAAAGACGGCATAATTGATGAGCTGCTCAATCAAGGACCTACTGTGTTCGGTGAGATTACAAAGAACCAGTGGGGTTCGTACTGCATTCAACATAGTCAGTGCTTCTACTATTACGACCCCCTTCATGGTTTCTTACTATTGCTTCTCTTATCCAGTCCTAGAGCACGGCTCTCCGAAACACCGTCAAATGTGCCTGGACCATATTATGTCTGACCTCCTGGATTATGCCACCAACGAACAGGGGTACAAGTCTGTTACAAAGGCTCTCAAAGAAACAGGACCCGAAACTCTAGACAGGATCGTTAAGCGGATGTGCGAACCAGCGAAGGGGTACGAGCTCTGTAATTGCTTTCTATTACGATACTGATTATACAAAAGTGGCCGCCGAGCGATGATCGTGGACTTAGCGCTGTCGGTCACCGGTAGTCAACTGATTGCTAGCACGTTGCCTCAGGTACGCGGTGTTGCCGTTAGTGTCTATCATATCGGCCTCATGTTCTTTCGTAGGCGGACAAGGACCAGCGCACCACACTCTATGACTGCATTCGCGGCCATATCGTAACGCTACGCGGCTGTAAGACAGGGTCGAAGGTCATCTGGCTCTTGTAAGTTTCATTTATGCATTGCTTCCTTCTTTCTTGATGTGAATGATCCCTCCGCAGCGATAGAATGGTTCGATCGTTCATTTCCACCTCTGTTTTTTTTTGGTTCTAACTCGTGTCTAGCGCGCCTATTATGGCTATTGAGAGGATTCCCTATCTTGCGTTCTCACCATTCCGATTTTTTCACATCCACTGCAATATTCTCTTGCCATCTCGTCTTCATCCACGGTGTCCTCGCTCCCTCAATCTGAAAACGTCTCTTATAACATAAACAACACTCGGTCCATACCTGGCTGGCTTATCTCCACCATTAATCTCGGAAAAGTACCAGAAAAAGCTCATCTGTCTCGCATTCCAATAACAAAAGCAGTCCTAATCGCATCAACATCAACATCATCAGTTTCAAGTCGCATCCGCAATTTCGCAATCGTAATCGTATACTACGCATCGTCGTCTCTATCTCAGTCTCACTTGCACGAACAATCTTCGCACTCAACTCTCTCGATATCGAATTTCACGCCTGCTTATTTGCGTCGCCATCCAAGTTCATCGCTTCTTCTTTCGAACATATATACCATGCACATCAACTTCCGTTGTCAAGCCTCCTGTTTCCCGGCTCGCTGCTGCTCTCAGTACGGAATGGAGAGCGGATCGTGTGCGTTAATCAATCAAAAATTTCGTCCTTATGTCAAGCCAAGCTAGAATTCCTCGCATGATCCATCAAACAGCAGCTCAGTTCTATTGTAATAACCTCTTTTACTTTTACCAATCGAAACGCATCATCGCATCTGTAACCGTTCTACGCCCACCTTCATTTGTAGCATCACTTTGTCGTCGCTTTTGTCAACAATGTTATCAGTCGTTGTCCAGTTATTGGACTCTCTGTGCGAACATTAAGAGGGAGCGGTCCAGAATACTCGCAGATATGCGTCAAAGTCGTAAGATATGATATAGGATATGTCAAGCGATGATAATCAGTTTGGAGCGACGGTGCCATCTATCAGATACAATACGCCGTTCTGTGCCTGTCGAGCATAGAATCAATAACGCCGAACGCAGTACATGAAAGATAAATGAACCAACCTCCTTCATCCCAATGATGCGCACTCCGTCCTCCAAAGTCACCCGCATCCATTCAGACGAGTCAGGCTTTGCGTCGGGAACAGAATTGAAAGTAACAAGTTTCCCATCTTGCAGCGTTTCATACGAAACAGGGGTATCAGATAAAGAGATGCGAGACTTGAACAAATATCTATGAGGCAGGATTCGGAAGGCGACAACAAATAACTTACAGGAATGATGTGGGCCGAGACCCATCGCTCTACATTTCTTTTAGAGCTTTCGTCCAACTCCTGTTCCGAGATTCCAATATGAGGCTCCACCGACTCTGGACCTTGGTGTCTACCGAGTCACACGTGAATCATGTCCGTACACACAGTCGTCACTGGCATACTCACGGTTTATGTGCCAATGCCATGACAGCCTTGTTCGTCGGTACGAGTATCGTGAACCAGACGGACTCAGAAGAGAATCTAGACGACCACTCCGTTTCTCGAGCATACGAGTAATAAATGCTCGCTGAGGGCTCGATAGTCAGCAGGTCTGCGAGCGTGGGTTGGGAGCTGGTGAACGGTGACGCGATGGATTCCTCATTGGTTTTCGGCATCGGTGGGATTACGATCTGCTCCTGGACAGAAGCGGATACTGCGAAGGGGAGGATGAATGCCAGGAGGAGCGATAGACGCATGGTGATGAGTTTGGTAACTTGGCTGTAAGGCCGAGAGGGATGAATCGATCAAGGGTATCGGAAATTGCCGTGGTGCCCCTGATACCGAGCGCAAACTATGGCCAAATTCATCTCAACTTCAAAGTTCTATTCCATTCTCTATGGTTTGTCTACTCTGTCAGGGCCAAACGCTTCATAAGTACTAATGGATTTCGGTGCTACATGGCGGCTGGGAAGACATCAGGAACGCCCTTACTGCGGCGACTTACACAAAACTGTAAACAGATTTCGTATGATCAGACACGAAGAACGATCGTTTCGTTACAAAATCGATGAATTGCTGACAGGTCCGTCTTGATCGCAAACGCACAGAAATTTCCACTATTGCACCGTCCCGATCTAGCTCGCCGTGCGTTGTACCCTACTTTGCCACCGGGTGATCCAGTATCAAATTATTATCAGCGCCTAGAGTCATAAACGCATGTTACGAACCTGCAATGGACGACATGCCGCAGGTATATTTCCATACTTTGTAGAGTCACGCCCTATATGTGTGGCCATCGAGTAAGGTTTCGCGCCTTGAATGTGAATAATTCTTACCTACAAAGCACCGGTGCACATTAGGAACAGCCGCATTTGGTTCCGAAGCGACAGACTGGGGAATAGATAAATTCGGGACTAGAAATAATATCAGATTTATACGGGCCCAAAGTCTGAATTGAAATTTATTTTCTTGCCAACCAGTTGCGCGTAGCCACGGGTGGACGCTACACGCAGAGTGCTTTAATAAATAATGAAGGAGGACGCACACGATTGATCATGCGTTGAACACCATGCGCTGGCCAAATATCATGTCCCCGTCAGAAGCCAATGACTGGACTCCTTTGCCTCTATAAGTACGGAGTCATTACAGACAATGTTAGTTGTTCTGGGCCTGATAAAATATTCAGAAACATGTCTTCGGCGCGCGAGGACCTCCAAGGACCGACGCCAAGCCGTGAAAAAGCTCGTCCTCATCTGGATCGCCCTTCATCTTGAATTGAGCTCCTCATGAACAGGTAATGGATGCTGGGATCCCGCATGCCACTGGCACTCCAGTCCACCTGATATCGTATGTTTATCACGAATACTGGTAGGCTCGCTGCGTCTGTGGAACTGAATCAATCGGACAAACGTCTGCATAGGTCAACTTGCTAGCTCGGAGATATTGATTGACCGTCCGTAAGTATATCAGGACGTTGCAAGGATCATGTCAAGCATTGAGTGTAAAACTGAGCCACAATCACGTCGTGTCACAGTGTTAGTGACACTCCCAAGCATTACATAAATCAAAATCGATCTACGGACTTGATCAACGATTCGACGCACAACTAGGATGCATCAAGCTCTACTTGTCCCCGAAGTTCTCATACGTATCTTCGAGCATGTGGATAAAATCTGAGGACCATTACATGTCCAGAAACCATTATCTCGACAAGCTCTTGCAGCGCTTGCAATCACATGTAAAATCTTTCACGAGCCTGCAATGGATTTCCTTTGGTCCAATATGAATTGTTTAAAACCTCTGCTAGGCTGTATAACAAGGTTACACCCAATAATATACCCTACATCTCAGGTTAGTGCAGACGAGTCCGTACGAGCCCTATGTCCTGTTCTCGTCCATCATGATTCGCTCACCGAACATCTCAACACAGCGATCCTGGTCTCGGGGGATCGAGCCATTATCTGAGCTCGAGCGCAGTCAATTTCTCCGTCATTCTGTCCGTGTGCGCATCATGACTGTGTCATCCGAGGACGATTTTCACCTCCTTCGTTCCTTCCCCTATCACATATGCGTGTTCTCAAAACTGCTTTCATTATCCTGGATGGTTGTATTCACAAAATCCTTGCGCTTCTTCCTGTCCCCTACGCTGCGCAATTGTTATATCGCAATAGTTCAACCAGATCTAGCTCGGCACTCTATCGGGACCCGTTGTGCTGCTCTGGAGGGCTTGGACATCGACACAATGGGGACCATAGCACAGGCTCCACATCTGTCTGAAACCGTCCGTTCATGCAAGGCGCTCGTACGTCTGCAATGTCCACCGCTGGACTTTCCAGCATGGAAACATCTCTCCACTGTCCCTACCCTTCGCGATGTGTCGATATTTCAAGAAAGCTTTTCGAGTCCCCCGTTCAGATTGGATACGCACAATTTGGAGTCTTTAACTTTCCTCAACGTTACGACTCTTCGTTTCTCTTTTGCACCAATCACAGACATCACCGCAATCATACAACATTCAGAATTCCCATCGCTCAAGGAATTCGAGTTGGCCGACCACGTTTTACCTGGGGCAGAACTTCTACTGCTTTTACGAGCACTGTCACAGTGCAAAGCATGCAATACCCTTGAAAAAATTTCCATCTCCGATGATGATCCAGAAGTCCAGGAGCCTCCAGGCGAATCATTTGCAGTGATTAGCGAGCTTCATTGTTTCACGCAGCTGCGAACCCTCCGGATTTATGTTCGGTGCTCTATCAACCTTGATAACGGCCTTCTTTTCGAAGCCGTGTCAAGTTGGCCACAGATCCGCAGTTTGACGTTATATGACCCATATCGTCGACCACCTAAAGTTACCTTCCGCGGATTTTTCGCAGTGCTCAGTCAATGTCCCTACTTGCAAGCCCTGCATGTAGGAATAGATGTTGTGGACATTGATATCAATATCGAAGCCGAGTCATTCCAACACACCTCCTTGAAAGGAATGAGCTTCCACTACTCTCCGGCAGTAAATACCGAAGCTGTCGCGCGCATCATTTTCGCCATGCTCCCTAACGTCCAGCTTCCGGAATATGACAAAACATGGGACGACGTTAAGACGCATCTCGAATCCCTCAAAGCTTCTTCCAGTTTGAAAAGTGCAGACAGCAACTAACGAGTGAAAAGGCGTAAGAGGGGCAAAGATAGGCGACAATATCATCGATTCGGTTGACTTGTAAAGAGTGTCCACATAGTTCCGATAATTGCTCCAGCTTCACTAAGTAGGTTAGTTTCGTGATTACTTTAGAATTATATATCAGATTGCGACCCCACAGCTGGCTGGAAATTATACGAGATGACGGTCGTTCAAACTAGTTCGTCTGAAAGGCAGCCTCACGTTCAATACTACGGATATGGATACGAGGTGAGCCCACGATCTTGACGCGTAAACATCTCATTTTCAAAACAGGACATACTTACCACAATCTTAGATACTCCGTATTTTATCCAAGCAAATCTCAGCAAGTACGGTACACGGCATCATGTTAAAATGTTGCATTGAGTATCGCACGGAAAAATTGAAGGCTGATTTCAGATGCGTTCTTAAAAACCAAGGAGTACGCAATTGTTTTGATAGCCCGAGGTAATCATCAGTGCAAACTTGAACACACGATATCACCATGTATTAGAAGATTCATGGTATACATTGTCAGGCAGTGTCTATCGGTCCACCTCACTAAATGGATATGCGTTAGCGAACCTCGTGTAGAACGAAACATTAAAAACACACCCAAATACAAGATCCTGTTCGGCAACAGCCATAAGCGATGGAAATAATAAAACCACGAGGTACATACCATAGTACCGATGATGGCAACAGCGTCAGCAAGCATGTGCTATAGAAAGAGAAACAGTTAGTGCTTCAATGGCAGGACTGTATTTGTTGATCTTACATCTAGAAAAAAAAATCAGTCAATGTCTTGAATCAGGGTGTGAACAACCTACGTCTCATCATGAAGTCTGAACCCGCAAGATGGGCAAAGCCGGGAGCACGAATTTTGCATCGGTATGGGCGATTGGTACCGTCCCTGAATGTCATCCGATTAATGATGTTTAAACAGAGTGTTAAAATATCACGCACGAGACGAGGTAAACAGCCATCTCTCCTTTAGGAGCCTCAATGGCGTTGTAAGTCTCACCTGGTGGGACTGAATAGCCTTCGCTGAAAAGCTATGAAAACAGGTGATTAGCAGCAGCCAGGAGTAGTTGAGTGGAGGAGGTTGCCTTGAAGTGATGAATGAGTGCCTCCATACTTTCTTTCATCGAAGCACGGGGTGGCGGAACGAGTTTGTTGTCGTCTACCTTGATGACGCCTGTCGGCATTTTGTTCAAACACTGGAGGTAAAATGGTTGAATCTAAAACAATCATTTGACCAAACCTACGAACCTGATGTATGATGCGCAGGGACTCGCGGAACTCCTGGACTCTGCAAAGGTACCGGTCGTAACAGTCGCCGTTCTTTCCAACCGGGACATCAAATTCAACCTGTGACACAGAATGAATAAACGTGGCTGTAAAGCACGAAAGTCATACCTCATCATATTTGTCATAAGGCTGCACTTTCCTTAAATCCCATGGGATACCACTACCTCGTAGCATGACACCCGTGAACCCGTAATCCAGAGCTTCCTTGGCAGTTACTACACCAATTCCGACAGTTCGCTGCTTCCATATTCTGTTGCCAGTCACGACTTCTTCGATTTCATCGACACGGGAAGAGAACTGCGTTGCCCATATGTGTATATCCTCCAGGAGACCGTGCGGGATGTCAAAGGCTACACCACCAGGACGGACGTAGGCGGCGTGGAGTCGAGCACCAGAAACACGCTCATAGAATTCCATGAGTTTTTCGCGTTCTTCGAAGCCCCACAAGAACGGGGTGAGAGCACCAACATCCATAGCATGGGACAAGACGGCCATCAAGTCTAAAACCAACTTTAAGCACAAGTTTCGTGGAGCGTTCTGTTTGTGACATACGACTAAGGATACGCGTGATTTCACCAAACATGGTACGGATCCACTTTGCACGTTCCGGAACCTCGATATTAAGGAGTTTTTCGACTGCAAGCGAGTAGCAAAGTTCGTTGGTCACTAGAATGGTCACTTGAGCACTGGGCAAGTCTCTCGTCATGAACCTCACTCACTCATGGAAACGTAGTCAAGCCGATCGAAGTAGGGAAGAGCTTGGACATATGTCTTGTACTCGATCAGCTTTTCAGTTCCTCGGTGGAGGAGGCCAACATGCTGGAGTAAGATTAGCAATCCCGCTCAGGCACTTGTACTGAAATGCATACTGGATCAGCGCGAAGAATTTCCTCTCCATTCAATTCCAAAATCATTCGCAACACCCCATGAGCAGCAGGATGTTGGGGGCTAAGGATTCAATCAAATTTTGGACGCATATCATAAAAGACACTTACCCGAAGTTCACTGATCGAGTGGGTTTATTTGATTTAGACAAAATAACATCCAGAAGAAATACTCACCAGTAAAGTGCCGCAACTTCGCATCAGCTCTGGTCCCGGTCTCTTTCAAAATTTCTGCCGCACTCATGCCATGCAAGTCTTCTACAGTATGAGTTTGATACGTTCCATTGGTACCAGGTTGTACAACCTCTGGCTGACGACGAGCGACTGAGGAGGAAAATGAGCGCAAAAGAGAGCGCCTCGGCAGCGCAAGTTGCCGCCGCAAAAGTGTACTGGCCATAGCCGTTGTCGATGGAGACTATGGGTGACTTCTCGCAGGAAGGAGATTGTGTTCGTCAACGAAACGCGGCGTAAATCGGTGAACTGAATAGGTCCCACCCCCATGCGAGGGGTCATGCCACAATATTCACACGTCTGCCCATAACCACAGTCGGTGATGAGCTAGTCTTGCTGCTGCACGATGCTTTACGCCAATGGGCTGAGCGCTATGATGTGGGCTATATCCATATTCCTTGGATCAAGCCTTATGGCGCTTGCAAGTGAAACTCCATGCACTTTGCACCATGAAGGCAACTACTACAATCTGAATTCGTTGAAGGCTAGGTACGCTTCAGGCGTAATCATGACATTGCATATGTTCAAGCCATTTGTTCTAATAGTCAGGACTACGAGTTCAAGACACCGGGTGGACATTCTTTCTACCTGAATGTCTGTCGACGCTGTGACCACTGAACCATGGAGTCCCGGAGTTCCCAACAATGTTGACATTGCTGGTCTAGTGCGGAAAGACCACCACGACTTTGCCGTAGGGTTCGTAACGTGCAGTTCTAACACCATTTCAACAGTTAACCAACAGGATGCAGACTTGTTAATACGACCCTGGAAATGAGGGATACGGGGCTGATGTTGCATCTTTCCAATGGTTCACCCTGCCCTGGGGAAGACAACTTATACGGGAGCTCTTCTATCAGATTTCTTTGTGACGCATCAGTCTATGGAGCTGGTGGGGTGATATATCTCTCAACGAGGGGTGTAGCGATTGATGTTTCATCCAGGCAAACCGGTGGTGATATCCCAATTTCCGGAAGACGACAATCAAGCCTGCCAATATATGGTCGAGTGGCGAACACATGTACGGATTTGTGCACGCTTTAATCTTCTCTAACTATAGCTTCCTATTGTATAGTTTGCTTGTCCCACAGGCGAGAGGGGCCTTATCTCAGGATTAATTGTGTTCTTGGTGATCTCGTACGTCATGTTGACAAAAACATATATTTATTGATGACTGAGTAAAATTTTCTCAGAACGATGATCGCTCTGATGCTGATAATTGTTTCCAGCACCTTGTATAATCGCTTTGTCCTCAAAAAACGTGGCTTTGATCAATTGGCCCGGCTTTCCAAACCTCACCTGGTCGAACTCATGGATTTTTGCATGGAGCTCTTCCGGTCCGTGTTAGACAATGTTCGCTCGAGCGGGAACAGATGGGCGAGATTGACCAGGGACCTCAACCCTGCATCTCACCAATGGTCATCAAGGGATGAGGAGCAGGCGATGATGGCCGCTGATCCCCTTGAAGATGGCCATGATCAGGAACTGCAAGACACTAATGTGCGAAGAAATGATGCAATGGATGATTTGGGACCTATACGATCATGACCGGAACATGTGTACGTTATACGTTGTATCTTTAGGACGGGACTTGTCGATGATTATGCCCGAAACATATTCCCTTTTTAGCAGTGTTCTGCACCTCGCGCCTTTAGGTAACTCGCGATAAGAACTGCAAGTATGCTTAAGCGAACCCACAATTTTGGTTGCCCTGAAAACATGTGAACTGTTGTCCAGAGATGATTGGTGTTCGCAGTCGACTCCGCAGATAAACTTTGTTGGTACGGAGGCGATAGATCGCCAACTAAACTCGTCAAGCATCTCAAGCCAAGCATCTCTTTTGAGTAATCATGACAAGGACGCCTCATAGATACCCCTGGTCTCTGATCCATCCCACTTCGTGAAGTGAGGAATCCATACAAGTCAGCTAGCGCTGACACTCGGCTTACCCGAAGAAGTAATTGATTGATTCTCCCGTTTGTGCGTAAATGTATCCGTTAGGATGTTTGATGGGCTGTCTCTATGGAGTGATCTAATGACATGGTACTGGCTTATTTTTTGCGAATTTCAACCATGATGATTACTGGCAATTATAATAATAATGCCAGAGGCGAATACAGCCGCTTGTTATAATACTACCTGCTAAAAGAAGCAACACCTTCCTGAATGGGAACTGCCCAGATCATCAATTCTTTTCTGCTCATCAACACCCGACAAAAATGTCTGGTAGGGTCAAATCATCCAGAATATCAAAGCCTGGCCCATCCAAACTCAGAAACTCATTGAAAAAATCTAATGCATCTGGATATGCTAAACGACAGTCACAAAAGTCATCCAACAAGGGCAAGGCTACTGTATCATTCGCTGATGTGTACGATTCGTACGAATATGCACCTTCAAAAGTCAGGCGAGCGAAGATTGGCTTAGAACTTGACCGAGAAGAGGCCACTGACCGTCATAACTATGCATCGGACGATGGTATCGACCTTGGAGGCATGGGTCAGGAGGGGAGAGAAGGTCTAAGAGCCAGATTATTGGGAGAAAATGCAGATGACGAACGAGTGGACAGTGGAGACGATGAGGAAATTGAGAGTGATAATGCGTTTGAGGAGAGCGATGAAGAAAAATTTGCTGGGTTTGATTTTTCCAGTAAGGTGTGTAACGTTCTTCTCTAGAGGGTGTTCATCGCTCATCCATAGATAGCGCAGTAAAGCTGCTGGCACTTTATCGAAGAAGAATGCTCGGAAACTACCCAAAAGCCTTCCTGATGTTGATTTGAATGAAGATTCGGACGACGTTGTCTCCGATGCAGCTTCTGAGGACAAACTTGAGGAAGATGAAGATGAAGAGATGGAAGACGGAGATGCCGAGAATTTCTTTGACATCCTGGAAGTATTCGATGGGAAGGCAGACGCCGAGGATGATGCACCGACAAAGCAAGCTACGGAGAAGATCACCATATCAGCTGTATCTGGTGAGATCGGTGAATCGGAGGACGATCAGATGCCAGAGGATGACCATAGCGAGGAAGAAGACGCCGTATCAGCATCAGAGGATGAAGCCTCCCCAGAAGCTCTCGCAGAACTAGAAAACTTCATATCAAAACTGGATCCGGCAGGAGACAAAAAACGCAAATCAAACGATGTCTCGGCCACGCAGTCCGTTTCGAAAAAACGTCGCTTGATGCAGGAGCGCACTGAGGCTGGGGATGAGGGAGAGTTTGGCGTCTCTGCTGGTGGTGAGTCCCAACCCACGTTCCTATGCAACTTTGTGTTAAGCACGAAGGCCACACGCAGGCTCTGGAGCACTTAAACTAGATGACCTTCTTGCTCCCCTTGCTTCTTCAAGTGCACTCACAACGCTCAAAAACTCCATCAAGGTTCTCACTTCTACCTCGAACAAAACCAAAACTCTGTCGGCACCACTTCCTCAGCGAGCTCAAGAACGTCTTGATCGCGAAGCCGCTTACGAACAGACCAAGGAGGAAGTGGATAAATGGAGTGCTACGATGAAGCGTATCAAGCAGGCAATGATTTATCCAGTTCACTGTATCTATTTCGTTACTAACTCGCGATTGTAGGCAGAACATTTGAGCTTTCCGTTGCAAGCACAGCCAGAAGGTCGTGTCTCCAACTTGGAGCTTGCAGCAAAATTCAAGGTTAGTCCAACTTATGCTTATTCAATTCACGTTATTTGACCAGTAGAACATTTTTAGCCTTCGAATGAACTCGAGTCTGCTGTGGATAATCTCCTGAAATCGGCTCAACTTCGCGATCAGGACATCGCCGGAATTGAAGCTCTAAAGATGGCGCATCTATCGGTCGAAGAGGTCGCGGCGCGGCGCGCAGAATTGCGCATGATGCGCGAACTTGCATTCCGGGCCGACAAGAAGGCGAAGCGAATAGCGAAAATTAAGAGCAAAACGTACCGCCGCATTCGAAAGAAACAGCGGGAGCGATTGGGTGGTGAAGAAGGAAATGACGATGTCGATGTCGAAGATGCAGGAGCGCAATTGAAAGCTGAGGTGGAGAGAGCAAAGGAGAGAGCGACCTTGAGACACAAGACCACTGGAAAGTGGGCAAAAGCCATGCAGGGACGCGGGGAGCTTGATGTGGATCAGCGGCAGGCCATTGGAGAAATGCTGGAGCGCGGGGAAAAGCTTCGCCGTCGCATACAAGGCGAGATGAGCGGCGACGAGTCTGAAGAAAACGAGAGCGATGACGAAGAACAAGACGTAGAGACCATCAAGCAAGGTGCATTCGAAGAGCTGTCTATGCTCAAGGCCTCCGAAGTTCTATCTGCAGACGTCAACAGTAAGAGTGTCTTCAATATGAAATTCATGCGCGATGCCGCGGCAAGGGAAATCCAAGAAGCGGACGCAGCTGCGGATGACTTCTTGAAAGAGATGGGCGAGGTGGAACAAGGAAGTGACGACGACACTTCCGGTGGCAGAACAGTGACAGAAGGCCCATCAGTCCAGCGCGTGGGCGGACGCATGATATACCATCCTGGCACGAGTTCTTATGTTAAACCAGTCGACTCGCACGCATCGGAGACTTCTAGTGTTACCCTCCAATCCGCCGATCTGGTGCAAGACAGCCCAAAGAGTTTGAACACTGTTTCTAGCCCAAGAATCTCTACTCCGGTGCAGGAGAGCAATCCTTGGCTCGTCACGTCATCGTCATCAGGCCCATCTCGTAAGAGAAGCGAAGTCCTTGTGCAAAAGGGTTCTGACGCCCTTGCAAAGTCCACCAACAAACTTAAGAAGCGGATTGCCAAAGGGGGAGAAGAGAAAGAACGTATTCAGGATGACGCAGTGCTGGAGATTGATACCAACAATGTTCTCACCGCTCTTGAACCAGACTCTACGCCAGCTGTCATGAATACCAAGCATGAGCTGAAGGGAAAGGGAAAGGAGATACCGAAGAATAACAGTGTTGCCGTTCGGATATCACCTGTCGATGCTGATGACTCTGATGGACACAGCGAGGTGGACGAACAGGAGCGTAATCTGGAGAGGAAGCGTCAACGAGGCAAAAGCAAAGGAGTGACTGCATTCAAGCAACGAGAATTGGTCTCTCTCGCTTTCGCTGGCGATAACGTCGTTCAGGTACGAAAGCTGTCGTAGGGTTGGGTTTGCGCAGGGTACTTATTTGTTCCAGGCATTCGAGGACCTGAAGCAGGCAGAGATTGAAGCAGACGCACCACGAGAAGTTGATACAACTCTCCCTGGATGGGTAAGCTGAAATTGATCCTTTTTATTTACCGAGCTCAACGCATGTTATAGGGCTCTTGGGGAGGTACAGGTACCAAGAAACTTCCACCAAGACCAAATTTGATTAAAAAAATCGCTGGCGTCGACCCTTCGTCTCGAGCCGATTACAAAAAGGCACATGTCATCATCTCTGAGAAGCGGGACAAAAAAGCGGCCAAGTACCTCGTCAAGGAGTTACCACACCCATATACCAGTCATGCACAGTATGCCCGTAGCATGGACATTCCTATAGGTGCAGAGTGGAATACTAGAGTGGGTTTCCAGAGAGGAACTCTGCCTCGTGTTGTAAAGAAGGCGAGTCATCTTGACCCTATTCTTATATCCGGTTGGGTTGCTTATTTCTCTCTTGTTCTTTTAGATGGGTGCTGTTATCGAACCCCTAGTCAAATCATCTTGACGGCAATTTGTCGTTGATCGTTGTAGATCATAGTCAACTTCAATGAGGATGTGTATCATTTAGTGACTGAAACAGATGGAGCATTTACGGTCACGAGCAAGCTTCGCGTTTTCAAGAAGTTGACTTGAAAATGAGTTCATTAATATCACTACTACATGCTAGGATACGACTGACACGATGTCAGCAATGAGAGTGGTAATGGGAACAATACAAAGTTGAAGGATAAACATTAACGAGAGAAAGGAAAGAGTGCGGAAAGTCCGTTATATACATCTCGATGACGGCGAAGCTGAGCTTTGATTCACTGCCTTTTGGCCTAATGTAACGTTAGTCGAGGGATGACTAGTGACTACTTACCGGCCGGAACATTATTATTCGGCTTCAAAGTAGCTCGGTTCTATGCGTCGGACGTTATTATCGACTCTTCGCCTCTCTTCAACTCGTTCACCACTAGCGTTATGAAACCATCACTAACGGCTTATTTATATCTTCCAATACAGCGGATCCGGCCGGGGATATATCATGTGAATTCCAGTATATCTACTAAAAGTTGATTGCGATAGCTCGGGTGCACATCGCAAGACGTTAGGTTCCTTTCCAAGTTCCAACCGGTCCAGCAAAAGTCTCTTCCTGAACTCGCATTCAGCGGGATACTAGTACAAGCTGTCAGCTCGCCCGATGGATGTCCCTTCAGAAACCCAGCCTCTCCTGCGACCAGCGCCTGCCAAAGTCCAGCGGAAGGTGATCAATGACATTCCAGTGGAAGGGTATCTACCTGTGCAAGATGAGTCCGGCCGTAGTAAGTGCTCAGGACTCGCATAAATTGGACATCATTTAATTCACATCTCCGTTTCTTCTGTGATACAGACATACTTGACGATGTGCCTGATGAAAAGAAGCAGATCGGTAGGCATTGTTATCGCATGTGTCGCCGGGGTATGAAGCTGACCCAATGTACTTCAGGACTCGCTAGTGCAGTAATGCTTATATTCAACAGGGTGATTGGAACTGGGTTTGTCATAATAGGAGCATCCTCCGCGATTGGGGGAGCTGATTTGAATGTTCATCTCCAGCGTTTTTGCAGCGCCTAGTGTTATACTGCGGTCATCGGGGAGTGTGGGAATGACTTTTGTTATGTGGATACTCGGTGCACTCGTCGCAGCTGCAGGTACTGCTGTTTATGTAGAGTTTGGAACGGTCAGGGACTCGGATGGTCTGCTGCTATCCCTTCTTATTTCCCCCCGCTCTAGGGACTGCCGAGGAGTGGTGGGGAGAAGACCTACATGGAATACATTTATCGCCGACCGAGATTCATGATCACTTGCTTCTACGCGGTATACGGAATACTCATAGTAAGTCCTTATTCGTCCTACGAATGATTGATCATTATCACCATCTGTAAGGGTTGGATGGCCGTAAATAGCGTTGTTATCGGGGAATGTAAATTTCACTCCTTCTGTTAAGACGACTCCTAACCGGTCCTCCTAGATACCTTGAATGCCCTCGCAATCCAGCCTACCACTGTTAACGTTCGAGTGGTCGCCTTTCTGTGCTCGACATTCTGTCTCATCGCCCACGGTGCATTTTTGAACTATGGGCTGAAACTACAGGATGCATTGGGTTTTTTCAAGTTATTCGTATTACTCATCATTACTATTTCTGGGCTCTTCAGCCTCGCTGGTGTCCCTGGATTCGCTGTACGTGCCGGATACGATGTTCCACATAATTTCACGTGGTCATCTTTTTGGGAGGGAAGTGACATTGGCCTAAATGCATTCATCACTGGAATGTATAATGTCGTCTGGTGGGTTTTATCTGGTCCTGCACCCTCGGGCCTGATTTCAACTTCTTTACAGGGCTTACAGCGGATACTCTAATGCCAATTATGCTTTATCTGAAGTGCGAGATCCTGTCCGTACCATCAGGCGCGCTGCACCTCTTGCCATGATTCTTGTCGCGGTCGCGTTTTTGTCCGTGAATGTTGCGTACTTTGCTGTGGTTTCCAAGCAAGACATGCTTGGAGGTGGCACTATGGCGGCGTATGGTTCATTTATCACGAAAAAATGTACATTCACGCTGAGGCAAACTCTTTCAGAGCGCTATTATTTAGGAACATCTTTGGTCCTGCTACAGAACGGGTAAGTAACTGTAACTTTGCTAGTCGGCGGCCTTCTTATGAAGCGTACACCCAGATTTTAAGTGCTGTTATTGCACTGTCGGTACTAGGAAACCTTATGAGCATCCTGTTCTCGCAAGGCAGAGGTTGTTCAACTTAACATGTACATGATCATATGTGCTGACTATGATATGGCACAGTTGTTCAAGAGTTAGGTAGAGAGGGTGTTTTACCACTTTCATCTTTCTTTGCCAGCAACAAACCCTTCAATGCACCCTTTGCTGGGCTCTTCACTCAATGGCTCGTTTCTATGATCATCATGGTTGTTGCTCCTCCTGGAGATGCCTATCTCTTCATCGTAAATTGTTTGTGCCTCATCACATGATTTTGGACCCATCTGACCACAATCTAGTCTCGTTATACCCCCTGACGATATTTAATCTACTGATATCGGGTGGCCTCCTCCTTCTGTACACCCCTGCATTCAAATCCTACGAGTGGTGTCCTCCATTCCGAGCGTGGAAGTCCGCCGTTCTATTCTTTTTCTTATCCCATGTCGTTCTTGCTATCTTGCCCATGATCCCGCCCTCTCCAGGATCCGACACTTATGAACATCTCCCATATTGGGTACGTCGCCGCTATCTTTTTGTGTGCGTAACTGATGGTTTAACATACAGTCCCACGTCGTTATAGCAATGTCAATCGGTCTACTTAGCATTATATACTGGTTTGTTTTCTTCTACTGGATACCCAAGACGCGTGGATACCGTATCGTGCAGGAGATTGTCTTACAGGATGACGGGGTCCCGCGGAACGTCCTTCGGAACATACCAAATAGATCAGGTGATGAAGGACATGCGTAAATGTAGATGCTCTTTGCAGGGCAGAATACCCCCAGGATGGCAAAGGACTTGGGAGTTTGCTGCTTCCGACAACGTAGATTTATTGATGCTTCGTACAATTTTGTAGTTGTACAAGATCATGATCAAGACAACTGTCTACTGTGCACAAAGCAGCCGAGGCCTACATGTAGGCAGACCCAATGACCGATTGAGCCACTATAAACAACTACAAGGACACCCCTTCGGTCTGCTCTTCAACGACGCGTTGTGTTTACAGTAGCAAGTGAGGAAATACGATATTTTGCACTGTCGAGTCTTGTCCTTCGTTCGGCTCTGCAAACAAACACGGCGTATCTCTTTGCAGTCCTTGGCAACCATTAAATGTAGTCGCGCACGCTGCGCGCGATAGGGTAAATTTGTCTCAACGGCCCTCACAGGGTCTGGGAAAAGGCAGCAAGACGAGATGGTCGTGGGGTGATCAATGATGTCGATATTCGCTTTGGAGTCCAGCTGCAGAGGGAAGACATGCCGCTTGGTTTCGTGAATTTTCGTGAACCAAATTGGTTATGAATGCCTCCCAAGTCCCGAAGGTGATGTCTTCACAAATATACCTCCTACAAGTTGACATGTGTGGTATAAACCAGACATGGTACCCAAGCCTCTTTCTTCCATTCAGGCAAGGTCTACTGTGGCGTTTAGAAAACGGTACACACAAGAGAGCCGATTTTAATTTTTTAGAATAGACTTATTTCAGACAATAGAACTGTCCAAACTAAATGTTATTCGGTGGGGGAAAGATCAACTACCTTACAGCATTTAAGGAAAGATCAACTACTCTGCAGTATTTAAACGGATGGTTTAAATACTGTAGAGTAGTTGATCTTTTCCCCCCGAATAACATTTAGTTCGGACTGTTCAAAGTATGTGGCATTTAGATGTGTACCGTTTTCTAAACGCCACATATTTTGAACTGTCTGAGCTAAATGTTATTCGGTATGGGAAAAGATCAACTACTCTACCAGTAGTTAACGGATGGTTTATATACTGTAGAGTCAGGAACACTAAAGAATATGAGAGAAGGAATGAAATTTATGAGTCAGTAGAAAGCTAACAACGAGAATATTAATATTGGTTGCCATCGCCAATATTCAACGATGGGCGTTACATGTACGCATGACGGAGGGTCCGTATTTTTTCCGGACGCTCTGCAAAGATGACGGTGCTCGGAGGGCTATCAAGCATGCAATTGAGAGCGAATTCAATATGTTACTGTAACTCTGCAGGAATCTATCACGCTATTCCGAGTCATTTTCCTGGCAGATCTAGAAGTCAGTCAAGTGGCCGTCAGAAACGCATGAGCGCCATCAGGCACAGGTTGAAAGTCCTATTTGAATCAACGAGTGAGCAAAAAACAGAAAAAGGGAGAGATCATGTTGCATCATTAGCAAATAAGTAGATGAAGGGAATGGGCAGATTTGCCCTCATCATCAATATTCGGACCAATGTTGTACGCCATCCAATAGATAGATGTCGTCTTCAGCTGAAGCAGAACAGTTCACACCAAATGTCTTCAAGTTCTGGAGTAGCAATGAATCCATCGTATCGCCAAACGCTCTTTCTGTCAATCTGATACCGACTTTCATCTTGAAGACCAACAACTGCGTGAAATAAAGCAGGCGTCGCCATAGTAGTAAATAAAGAAGAGCAAAGAGGAGACTCGCAGCAACACAACATGACGTGGTGGATGCAATCGCACCCGATGCCAACGGTATCTTGTGCTTAAATACTGTAGATGACAAGAATTGTACAAAATATCCACTCCACGCGTGATTGATGAATCAATGAAGTTCCACCAGGTTCCACCATGGCTCGAGACTTCATACAAATCGGAGAAACTATATGGTTGCAACCTGCACGATAGAATTCGGAGGATGCATACTAGCATATGCTCTCAACTTATCCTGGAGGTGCATGAGAAAGGAAGTATAGTGGCATACTCCAGAATCGGTCCAGATGTGTACATCGTTACGGAACTGGATCGCTGGCTCCGAGCGCCTGGTCCGAGTGTCTTGAGTAACGCAGATATTGGACGGCGCGCGTTGGCTGGTGAGGCAAAGATTTAGCAAAATTCAGTAGCCATCCGACAGGAGTAGTCATCATAGGCCACAGCGTGAATATCATGACTATTGACCATCCAGCACCCATCGTCCCGAGCGTTACGATATCGCTGGTATCGAAAATGAGGAAAGACAATGCGAGGCCGAAGAAGACCATCCTGACGACATACTAAGGTCAGAGCTCTGGGATAGATATGCGGGGCATCGGGACATACGCCCATACAAGGAGTGCATACGGCAAGCTATGCATCAATGCCAAGTTTTCAATTCCAGGGATCGCGTTGGTCATCATGGACATATACAAAGCCTGGATATGTGATCAACGAGACTCGTTAACTGAAAAAAGATCGCATACCCCTTCTTCGGCAGTCTGATAGTCATGGCTTTGGTCGACAAGCAGCACAGCAACCACAAGCGAACCCACAGAACATAGGGCCGACATGTATACCGAGATATTGGACGATGTCTGCGAGGACCCACCCATGATGCCAGGCACTGCAAGGAGACTGACATCAACAGCTAACATAACAGTGGACTCCAGCGACGCTAAGTCTTCAACTGCACTCAATATGTATCGAACACTTACATAGAGCGTGAAACCCGTCCACTCGGTATCTAGTTGGGTGATAAAGTCTTTCCAGCGAGGGGCATTGATGATCTCGTCCACCCATACTCTCTGTATACGCTTATAGTGTTTACGTGGCCCATACCAGAGGATTAGGTTGGAGAGCCTGAATATGAGTGTTTCGCGCTCGTGGCCCTCTTTGTAATAGATGGATCTGTCGACATCAACGCGCACGCCAGGTTGTCCGCAGAAGTTTGTGTATTTCACTTTGGCTGAGCGTCATCAGTATTTTTCGTTGATCGAAGGATAAATCCGTACTGAAAAATCTCATGAACCGAGCTGTAAGGAGTAGATCAATATATTGCTGTCACCACGAAGAAGAAGAAAACTCGCCTACAACACATACAGAATGAGCATGCATTTTATCGATGCTGCCTGATTCAGTACTTAGTTCGGGTCAAAAATACGTGGAGCAAGTCTAACCCTCAACACGGTCCATTAGATCTAGCATCTTCACCAGTTCACTACTATCAAAAGGGGCCAGTGATGTATCCGAGGTGATGGTCTCTATAATCATAGTAAGATTCCGTTCTTCATCGAGTTGCAATCATCAGCCTACCTGCGTTTGCATGAATAATTATTTCCATCAGCTCTTCAAAGATTTGCCTCGGAAGGTATCGGTTGTGAGGATAAAGCTCGCAGTGATACCTAGAAGACTGTCAGCATCGCCAACACACTATTACGTGCAAGTCAGCGAAACTGATCAAGACTATTTATTCACAAGGCGTACCGATCCCTTGGAGAGTACTGGCCAGTATTGCGATTCCAACGAATATTCTAAAAGCGTGTGTTTAAGGGTAATTCGTATAGTAGTGAACCACCCACTTATATGACTGAGTTTCTTGGCTGCCTTGACGTTGCACAGAATCTCACCATCTGGTTGGCAAGTGTACGGATGTGCCCAAAATATCACCCTCGCCACGTGATCGACGAAATAGTAGCCACAAGATTTGATGATGCTAGTGTTACCTTTTTCGAGGCCAAGTTCGAGTACCAATTCTGTTTCATCACTGATCCTGGCCCGTACGTCTGGCTGACTGTTTGCACAAGCATTGAGGAATCTAGCCATCGCCAAGAGCTTCGCCGAATCGACCTTGCCTGGACGCATGTCTGCATCCGTGAAAACTCTCTACAGAGTGCATGAGCATTTGAACAATCAACCTCAGAACATGTGCTAACCGTCTCGGGGTGGTAATAAACTCTGGGACCTTCCGGGTGCACGAAATCATGCCACCCAGACTGCACCTCCCTAGATGCATATATTATGAAAATAGGATACAGAAACTGTTGGTCAACGTGTACATACTCCACATACTTGCTATCTTTCGGAGTGATGACGATATGATTCGGTTCAATCCATTTCCTTCCGTGACAGTGTCACTACGTCAATAACCCTCTAAGGACGAGTGAGTGTCTTACATTCTGATGTTTCTATCATAACGTTTGACGTCAGTCGGTATGATTGATGCTAGTGTGATGGGCTGGAGTGGCGTATCGGCGGCATGCCCCAGGAAGATGAATTGTAGCTTGTCTGTTAATGGGTCCGGTTCTAGGAATGCTTGAAGCTCTCCACTGCCAACGTTGTCATTTGATACTCGGACATCGTCTACTGGTACTGCGAGTGTACGATGTGGTGGGTCACTAGGCTGGTTGACATCTGTCGGGAGTGTATGGATCGCAGGTAAGCCACTCGCACATATCGCAGGACGCAACTCTTCCTGGAGTCTAGTCGAGGAGGTACCATGGCCGAAGCGACCACGCATGCGTCCTAGCTTACGAAGCAGAGTATAGAAAATTCGCAATGTCACATAGCATCCTCGACGAAGCGAAGATTTGAATGAATGTGCAAAGAATCTAGCAAATTTGCGCAAGGTGTCGGATGAGAAGGTGGCCATGAAGATGTCACCATGGAAGCAGTCCAACGTTTAAGAACTGAAGCTAAAGCGTGAAGTGTCGAAACCGCAGTAAGTGCTGGTACTTAGTTTAAAGTGGCGCGTTGGTAGCGTGCCAGTGGCAGCCAGCCAAAATCCACCAATGGCGTATTAGTCATCAGAGTAGCCCAAGTTGCCAAGTGATTTGACCTACCAGTTGTGCTAACTGCCGTTGCACCGCACCCTCTGCAACACGATGTCTGGGCAAGAAGAACAGCTCACCGAATTGCTTTTGACGCTCAAGGTCAGTGCTAACAACAACTACACCCATTAGCTCATCACGCAACTTCCAGAAAACAACTCCAGAGCAAGCACGCGTTATCCTCGCGTCCACACCACAGATCGCTTATGCCCTTATCGGTCTGATGGTGAAAATGAATGTTGTAGATGTCCAAGTCCTGCAGGTATGCTGTGCTCGCCCTTATCATTTGGAAACCCTAGATTGATGAACCGGCAATTCCAGAAAACGCTTACGGCCTATTCGGCGTCGATCCAGCAACAGCAACAACAGAACGCCGGCCCATCGACGGCGTCTGCCATACAGCCTGCTCCTGCAATCCCACCTCACCTACAGCAGTACCGTACACCAACACCGCAGTCGCAAACGCCGCCACACGTGCCATCACACACACCTACTCCTCCTCATTATTCCAACGGACAAGGGCAGGCTCCACAGCAAAACTTCGGCTATGGGGCGCCCTCCCAATATGGTGTGCAAGGAGGCTATAGTGCACCGCAACAAGCCCCCATAGGTGGTGGCATGATTCCAGATGCCCTGGCATCAATCCCCGAGGAGCAGAAGGTACGAGATATCCAATCCCACCAATTGCTTATTCCGAGGTCCAAAAAAACAGGCTATGATAATGCGCGTCATAGCTATGACGTCAGACCAAATCAACATGCTCCCGCCGATGGAACGCGCAAGCATTATTCAGCTGGTAAAAATATTTCTTTAATCTCGTTTGACCCTATCGTTCTGATTAAAATCGAACCTGTTCCCCTACTTTCCTTACAGCGCGCAACGCTAGGGCTGCCGTCATAAGGGTCTACGCCACTCATATCTGAATGACATTGATTACCCACATGGGTAATCTGCTGGGGCGTTCATCTGAGAACGTAAGTGATTTTCTTCTGGCCCGCGGTGTATCGACAGGCAGGAGTGAATTTAACCCAGTGGAGATGGTGACCAGAAAATTAACTGAATCGATCGTGGCGAGCAACACTTGATGAAATTATAATTTACGATTCAATTACTCCATGTTTGAATAATAGTGGACCGATAGTGCAAATGCAATCCCGAGGCTTACAAAAAGACTTGGTAGATGGGTAATGGTTTATCAGCATCTGCCCTGGCATTCCAGTGCGCAATAGGTGCCAGGACCTAGCGTATAGACTTTCATCGTGTCTGTTAGGTCAGCAACTAAGCAACTCTAGGCTCCTGGAAAGGTCACTCATTACCGAGGAGATTGTAGTACTGGAGAGTCACGATAATATGAATGTCGTACGTGGTATAAGATACATTGCCCATCTGAAATTTATGGATATTGAATGATTCAACTTGTACGACATCACTACGCCAATCACTCGGTTCTCATGAAAACCTTACGCCTCAGACTCGACAAGCGCCTTTACACCAGATGCGCCCAAGCCTTCCAAATCGGAATAACCTGGAAGAAAAATCCGATAGAATCAGCCTTCACGCAATAAAAACGAAAAATATAAGTGTACCGCCAATTAGTTTCTTGTCTTTTGTAAGAAGATCACGACATCAGCATCACACGTCAAGCTAGACGATTCGTAACTCACTAGCAAAAACCCGAGGGAATGTGGCTGCAGAACCTGGGAGGTTGCCAAGGTATCTGATAATAGCCTGCTGCTCGCCGGTTTCACTAAGGCTGTTCGCACTCGTCAAGATGGTAAGCGTCCCGATCAAGTGCATCACCTACTCGATTGATTTGCCATTGAGCTCCGGATATTTTTGCAAGAAGCGGAGAGCTTGCTGGCAGAAGTAGCAAGGCGGCGAAGTTCGGATGAAGACCACGAGGCCGTTGTCTTTGAGGTTGTTCTGTGAAGGTATGACTCATCAGTAAAGTGTGGTATCGTTGACTTGGAGGCCAGCGGAATTGATTACTTCAACAAACTCTTGGATTTCCTTCGGATTCATTCTGGATTCTGTTGATGTGAGAGCGGAACTGGACAAGGAGGGAAGTCTAGATGAGATAGCTCTACAAATTTGAGAAAACATATCTATCCTACGGCAATCGGCGCGTCCTCAGGTGACCAGTGAAGGCAGTAAACCTCAAACAGTTTCAAACCCCGGTGGTTGAAAAATCGCCGCCTATCGCATCCGCACGCACCAGTTCCTTGACTCCTAATCTTAGTCGACCGATTTCTACTATTTGCTCAGGCTATTAGTAGCCATGTGTGCAGTCCTATGACTTGTCTCGATTGCTGTTAATTCTCTCAGATTCCCTTGGCATGCTAGTACTAGGTTGTTATATTTGTGCAGGTTATGAGCTACTAGTATATTTTAACCTACCGTGACTTCGTGTATTTATTTGACCGCCATCGTATTTCTATAGCCTGCAACATCAACCACGTGCGCGGATGTGAATAACCAGACCCTTGCACCTCTGTGTGCGGAAGCTATTGTTGAACGCGGGACGGCCACTCGACGGCGGCCTACAGGTGGACTCTGACAAGATATCAATATAGCGCTAACACGCAGCAACACACTAAGGGTAACTTAAAATGTCCAAAGAAGCGGCTGACATAGCGCTGAATTTGGAGTGTGCCTCTCGAAAAGTGTGTAGGACTTGTTGGCCTTGGGTCCACGCTTGTTTTTGGAACCGAGCACCAATACAACGGGAAAGTACGGCAGATAGGTGGTGTGTTCTCGCCATAGTAGATAGAGGCTAGGCCAGATATTGATCCAACATTGAAAGCGACACAGCCACCAAAAGGCAAGAAACGGGTAGGGCACATAAGAGATCTTAGGAGTCAGGTGATCTACGAATGTGAGGGGAAATAAAGAGCACCATGGTAGGACAGGTAAACGGTTATATCACTAGGAGCAAGGATAAACGTGCTCAACAAACGCCCGAAGAGCAAACGCGGAAGCTTTGCGATAAATACGGTCTACAGAATCAAGAGGTGTGGGATCAAGACATTAACCAATTATAAGCATGCCGGCTTACCTGATTTCCCAAACTGTCGCTGATACTGAAAGCTTAGCTTTCAGTATCTCACCTTTTGGTCCAACAGTTTTGCGCGGGCGGCGGTCTGACCAAGTTACACCAATACAGAATGTGAGCCAGCTCGTTGGATATCGCGACTGACATTCAAATAAAGCCAACAGAAACGCCGGACATGGTGTTGCATGCAAGAGAGATAACTCATTCGGATAATTGAAAAAAAAATGAAAGACAGACCAGAGAAGGAGTCGAGCAGAACGCGCCAGTGATGGACGAATCACACAACACAAAATGGGAAAAAGGTTCGCACACATGCTTCGTAATAAGGAACCTCTCCCACTAATTGTGGGAGTCGGGGATCACAATCACCACATAAACCAACCACAATACTCTGATTTGCTTGCGGCTTCATTCAAGGTTGGTCTTTAAGTGACCAAGTGTGGGTATCATACTCTGCAAGAATGTCCATCATAGTGAAAAGCGTGTGCAAGGCGTTGGAACGAATCGCACCGCTCCGGCTTGCTGAACCATGGGATAAAGTCTGTACCATTCGCCAGCAACGCCGTCTGATACCGTGATCTGACACGTCCGATTGGCAGGTAGGCCTTATCATAGGTAAACACCCGTATATCAAAGCTCGGTATAACTCATCCAGTGTTACAGAGTCTCCCGTCCCAAGGTCCGATGCAAAGCGCGTAGTATTGACGATCGAGTAAGTGGAATGCATCAGCAAGGATTGCTTTGCAATCAACATGCAATATGTAGTGACGAGGGTCCTCTAGCCTGACTACTGCTGTCCTTGAGGAGACATTAAAAGTACCTACAGCGCTGGTAATAACCTACCACCCACCCCTCTTTCAACCCGTTACTTCTCTCACATTGGCAAACCCACTGCAAGCATCTTTGCTCAAGCTTTCGGCCGCAGGGACATCAGTCTTCTGCCCTCACTCAAGCCTCGATGCGACTTGGGGTGGTATAAACGACTGGCTTGCAGAAGGCGTCATGGGTCCCCAGAAGGCCGCTGCAAAAGTCGACATCCTGGGAGAAGTCAAGGGAAACGAAGGTGGTGCCGGCCGGATCGTGAAGCTCGATGAACCGATTCCTATCGAGGAACTCGTCCAAAGAGTAAAGAAGCATCTTCTTTTGTCACAAGGTCTACTGCGCATCTCCCGTGCCTTATCACGAATGTCTGACTATAATGAACGTACAGTTGACGTAGGACGGCCGCTCGTTCAAAAATCAATTAAATCGGTTGCAATTTGTGCTGGTTCCGGGGGAACTTTACTGTCAGGAGTCGATGCCGATGTGTATTTCACGGGAGAAATGCAACATGTATGGTTAGATTCCTTTTGCATTTGTACGTTCCTAATCGTGATTGCAGCACGAGGTCCTTGGAGCAGTTGCAAGGGGTCGGTACGTCATACTATGTGAGTTGACTTACGCGTGACGGGAGTCTCGTCACTGGCTGAACGTATGATATCAAGGTGGACATACAAACACCGAGCGTGGGTACCTCCCTGTTCTTGCAAAGAAGCTGTTGGATGGCCTCTCCGAACTCGTACGGGACGAGTCGCCTGATGGATTATCTCCAGAAGAAAGAATTGAGATCGAGAAGTACCAGCTGGACATCCACATCAGCGAAGCGGATAGACACCCTCTTGATCGCATGTAAACAAACACGGTGCACACGGGAAGGTTTGAGTATTTGATTATACAAGTACTATATATAATATGGCCGAGCCTTCTTTGACGAGGCAGTATGGTCAAATTTGTCACCTGCCGGGAGCTCGAATTGGCTTCATCAAATTCAAAGACGAGAACATGAACAGAATACACATGGTATCCTTGCCCTAAGAGCTCTTAGCCGTCTATGGCACTCGACCCTGCGTTTGGCTTCCCCTAAGTTTACTATATTTCTTAGAGTTCAGTTACTTATAACCCACGGAGTTAGTTTTACTGACTAACGGACCGAGGACGAGCCGTTCGAACTCACGATGTGCTCGCACGTTGAGCTCAGACGATTGTGAGTGTTAACGCCACTTGAGCTCAATCAGGCGAGTATTGAACTATTTTTGATTCGAGAGCAAGCTCATGACTGGGGTCGAATTTCATTCTCGGTGCCTGGATAGAGCAAGTGACCACACAATATACAACTTGCCAGCGTCAAACTCCCTCGCAGATTCCCCTTCGAGTCAACCTTACCCACAGATAGAAGAAGACGTGCGAGGGAACCGGTGAAAGCCAAGAGAAGTTATAAAGGAGGATAAAGCCTTGATAAATGCACCGCACACTTGCGAAGAAGTACGGTTACGCAAAGAAGATGGTCCAGTGATCGTCATTGTATTCAGTCAGCGACGTCGGCGGACAAAAATTGACCCGCGAGCATTTTGCCCGAAGAGGTGACAGTGAACGGCAGGCATTTGAATTACATTGTGGGGTAAAACTCGGATGCGTTCGTAGAGAAAGGAAGGCGAAAGAAGTTGCTAGCGCGTGCGAACCACAAAGCGGTGATATCGCATATTAGAAACAGAAGTCTCAAAGGGGAGATGGAACGGCGAAGTCGAGGGACATGTTTCTGTCGGAAACACTTATGGAGGATGGGAATGCTCATCGCTCAGCAGACATGGTTGGATTGTGGGAGTGTCGTGGCGTGGTGCGGGGAAAGGTGGGAAATGTGTATAATCGGAGCAAGTATATTGATTCGGCATCTAAGTAATCTCGACAGGATAAGAACTCGGGGGAAGGAAGATTCAAGGTGAAATGTAAACGTTGGCATTAAGCTGTGGTTACTCACTGTGAGATGGTGTGATGCACGCCAAGAGAATGTCTAAGAATCTGGATCCAGGCAAATCTGGACTAAAAGAAATGTCCACTGCAGCCGGAAAGTTAGTTAGGCCCATTGGGAATTCAAAGCCTCGACGTGGTCGTGGAGTGGGAAACTATCGTGGTAATGTCCGATATACAAGAAAAGATCGAGTTACAGATTTGGAGTGTTTGACGAGCTAGTAATAACCTGCCAGTGAGACCGGCTATGAAGCAAAAGTATGATCCTCCCGGGGACGGCAGTGATTCATGGATATGGGTTAGATGGCGCCATAATAATGTGAGAACACCGGTGAGAGCTCAATCACGGTGTGGTTTCAAGTCTGAAAAAAGACAAATGAGATTGTCACACAAGTTGGGCTGGAAAGTTTTACTTGTTTGATAAGACTGAGAAGAAATTCACTAGCATGGAATGGAATGTCTAGAAGCAGGGAGGTCGTCATATGTAAAGCCTAAATAGTATTGATGCAGATTGAAGCAAACCTGAATTGCTCAGGAGCGTTTGCGTTTGACACCAATCCGTCGTGACGGTCTGTCATGTGGCTGTCACAGTCGCGTCAAATCAAGTGCACGTGTTGTTGACGCGTCAGAAATAATTCACACGCCCTCTCCTTCTTCCGACGTACCACGTTGGAATTGTTCAACGCCCCAAGTTTACACGCACCATGCCACCAACGGCCAACACAAAGCAAAGCACAAGATACTGGCCAGATCTCTCTGACACATCTCTCTCTTTCCAGATCCCCGTTGATTCCTCATCCGCGGAGTTTCTACTTGCAGATCACAGCAGTGATCTTGATTTTCTGCACGGAGCAGGCGCCGCCAGTTTTGCCACCATTGCTCCTACTCCAGCCCGCGGACAATTGCAAATTAGTGATGTTACACCCCAAGTCACATCACAACTGCTATCAAGATCACCTAGTCCAAGTCTGTCAGTACGCCACAAGAATGACTGCAGACCTTCAAGGTCCAAACGTCAAAACCCTGTCAAGGCAAAAAAAATTACACGCTCTCCATCTAAATTCAAGGATATAGCGCTTGACGCGCCCGCCGTTTCCGAGGACCGCTTGGAGTCTTTGCGCGCAGAATTGGGGACCCTCAAGGATGATTATGATATCCCCATGCAGGTGCAGCCACTAGTGGTTGCACGATCTGTGTCAAATGTTACGGCAGCACCACATTCAAAGTTAAAGCCGAGGACAAGAATCAATTCTGTAAGCCGGCTCCCATTTTCAATCAGTATGAGCTCACACCATCCTGTGGTAGGCAGTAGAAGGCGGCCGTAACACGAACCTAGCAACGCACAGCAGGATCCCTATGTCTACTGCTGACAAACTTGGACCAACGTCGATTGCCGAACCAACTGTGCAGTCGTCTTCTACGTGGATATCTGAGTCAGAAAACGTGGCCATAGATACCGAATTCCAAGTTCCACCCGCAGGCGTGAGTGATGATAGTCACATGGTCTCAAATGTCCGTCAAGGCGTGACTGGACGGGTGGCTGAGCGCCTCGTGTCTTACAGTCAAAAACTAATGTCATCGATTAGGTATGTCTGCTGATACGTGTATCACTGCATTTGCACCGGAACTGATCAGTTGTACCTTGCGCGTGTTCTTCTATTCTTCTTTCACTCTTTCTATATACTTGTGATCGCAATCGGGAATTATGGTTCGATCTCACATGATCTCCGGCGACCTGTCTTGGAAATGCCATCACTTGTATTCCCCAGCATTTATAATCCCAGGACCGAAAGTTCCTTCACGGCAGGTACGGGTACTGGTGTTGCTAGAACGGAAGAACGCGTCGAAACTCAACCTTCACCTGCGGTTGACATTGTGGATGCCCCATCTTCACCGGATGCTTCAAGTCGTAATGATTACTTATTGAGGCTTTCAGAAATTTCACCGCAGAAGCATCACTCACAAGCTAGCGCCTCCCCCGGTCATTTATCCACAGGAAGGCGGGAGCTATCACCCATGAGGCCGGCAAGGAAGCGCCCGGCCACCGAGGAACATACCGCTTCCCAACGGCCAAGTGGCAGCAAGAAGGTTAAGGCGAAACCGTTAGCATCAAGCGCAGAGGCCAAAAGTGGCCCGACTGTTTTGGCAGGGTCATCCACCCGAGTTCTTCGCACCTCTACCCAAAAGAACCATCCACATGCTAGCACAACGCTTATCAGTCGGAATTCGCGGTGTCCGACGTCAAATTTTCCAAGCGCGCGAACCAAGTATAAACCCAGACAGAACTTCCAACGCCAGGTGCGGTCTACGTTGATTGCATCATCGTCCCTGCGGAGCCAGACGATCTGCAAGGGACAAGACAAAAATATTCAGGGGCAGGAGGGGGTCTCTACTAGCCACTCGGTCGTGCAAAGCCGAACCTCGGGCAGTTCCCGGGTTTCCCTTGATGCAAAATATGTTGTCAGTAAACAACCTACGGCAATCACAGCGCTCGAGCAGTCAGGATCATCTAGGCCTAGCCTTGTGCCACCCTTCGAGCAGTTCGAGCCATCTAGACCTGGCTGTGTGTCACCCCTCGAGAAGGCGGTACGTGATTAATTAATGGAATCCTAGTCTTATGTGCGCTCATTCAAGATTATTTCTGCGTGGCCTGATTGATGTGATTGTTGGCTGTGATATTCGAACGCATAGAGCATCACGTTGCCACCTGCCAACATAACAAAGCCTATCGCGTTTACGTTTCATGTGGACGCGCGCATTGAAGCGCGTAAAGCTGAGTTCGAGAAGCCTGCGGGCTCGGCTAGCGAGCGAGTTTATATGGAGAAGGGGCACCAACAAAGGCATGCTGTGCCCGATTTCAAGGTACTACACGAGGTCCACCAAACATCACTTGGATGGCGTAAGGAACACGTCGTCCCAATAGTTCCCGCACCACCGATAATCCTTAACACCGAAATTCGCGCCAGAGAGAGGGAGAAATTCGACCGAATGGTGCGAATAAAGGAAGAGGAGATTCAACGAGCTAAAGAGGAGCGCCGAAGACAACGAGATGCGGAAGAAGAAAGGGAGATCAAAGAGCTTCGCAAGCGAGCAATTCCCAGGGCGAATGAAATTCCAGAGTGGTATGCTGACATGCCGAAGAAAGGTGGTGTAGGAGGATCAGGATAGTGGAGGGCGTCATGCGATAGTTGCCAAGTGATGGAGATCGAGAACATGTACGCAATATTGTTCGTTATCAGTGCAGCATGGCCTTTTACATCATCCCGTCATCCCATCCACGTCCATCGCTCGTACACAATGCCGGTGATACATGTACAATCAAGTTTATTCTAGGATGTTTGAACGGGGTTGTAGAAGAAGTCTGGGAAGAGCTCGCGTTTAAACGCATTATAGCCGGTGCAAAGTGCCTTTCAAGGCCTGAGAAGGCTTGATGGCATGATGACCGGTCGCCCCGGAACCTTGTTGTGTCTTCTGTTTCGATAATATGTTTAGATGTGTCATTCCTCCTGAGTAACCTGCACTGCGGGTCTAAAATTCAGCCGGCTGTGCAGAAAGGCAACATTGATGATACATGCCACTAGTGGTAGTATGGTGCCAAGTTTGTCGCTGACCGTTTCAAGTTGGATGATGGACAGATTGAGGAATGATATCTCCAAAAGCTGCGCTGGCTTTTAGAATATGCGAAATTATGTGAGATCTATTATCCACTTGCCAACATGAGGTGGGTGGTCACGTCTGTGAGTGCCTTGAGCGAACGGACGCGCTAGCCAAATCTACTGAATTAGACTTTGGTATGTGGGCATGAAAAATACTTTCCGAACCATAAGTGCGCATAGCCCCATTCAACCTAGCCACCATGTGGTGGGGGTTGTAGAATTACTCTGGTTCTAGAAGTCGGATGTAATGAAAGCTTGGGGCCTACGGCATCGCGAACGAAAAATTCTTAGTTTTGCGCTGATGTTGAATACGTGAAAAAAAAAGTTCCCGATAATACCTGTGAAGTTGGTTTCAAGGTCTGACAGTTGAGTTCTGTCTTTACGATCGGTTAAATAATAACGAGATTTGCAATATAGCGCTATGCAGGAACGGTCACATCATGTTCCTGTCTTCATCCCCCACGCGATCGGGATTGAGTGTATTGCCTGGTATAGCATTGAAGAAACGTAGTTGAGGAAAGCGGTGCCGTACCGGAGAGATGGTTGATTGGCGGGTGCCGCAACGTGTGAGAGAGAAATATAATTCTCGAGGGGATTGTTGAAAAGTAAGTAAATTGTCAGAACACTGCCAAATCTCGGGGCCATTGCTGTGTCACTTGAGCAAGCAACATGTCCAAGTTGAGTTAGATATAGATGAACTTCCAGTACTCGATACGTTATCGTGTCAAAAAGACAGGTGGGAACCGAAAGCAGGGATCCGGTGCAACATGGCCTCGAAAGGTTATCGTGGTGGATTGGATGCCCTGGGCTGTGAGCGCTCAATGTACGAAAATGCTTGATTGGGGGGTCGTTCCCCGATTGCCTTTTTTATCTTACGCTGATATTACAGATTTGGTCCATCAGTGACGCCACAAGTATACTCTGGCCATCGGATGCGTTTTGTCTATGTCTACAATGCCGATAACGGAAGTATGACCGGCTGCCACAACCAAAATGCATAAAAGGTGCTTCCAATTTCACTCCTTTCAATCATTCAACCTACCAACCTCACAACCTTCTTCACAATGCACCCTTCTACATCTACTACCTCGTCTTCCAAGACTACTACATCATCATCATCATCATACATCTCGCAAAATTGCACGCGCCACTCTCATACCACTCCCGTGTCAATGCGCATTTCATCAGATGATGACTCCTGCATAAACTTCAATGCACCCCAGTGCTGCCACTGTGGCTGGCGCGGATCTCACTCGCCTAGCTGTCCCTTCCGCTGAGCACCCACAATGATTACGTTTTTTGGACTATATTTATTGCCTTTGCTCGTAAGTCATCTTTCTTATTGTCTCACATCATCAACTCACTCAAATGTCTCATCCTAGGCAATTGTTCTCATCATCCATCATCCACCCATCCATCCATGTCGTCATTCGACTATTCGATACCATCTGTTGTATCATCATACATCTATACTCCGTGCATAAACGCACTTTAGTCGTCCAGGTCTATCGCAGTTGTAGGATCAGGCAGGAGCAGGAGGAGGTTGGGCAGGCAGCGGATTCCTCGGGGCGGCAGGATAATTTAGGCTCACAATTTTGCCGTATCCCTTGTATGTATGACTTATTGCGCTATTACTGCAACAACCATCATTATTTGTCGGACCGTAAACCGTGCTGAAACGTCAGTAACACGTCTCAAACGGATAGCACAATTCATTGTAACATGCGTGCTTACTGATGGCCGAACAACAACAAGCTAGCATCGGAGATGAAGTCACTCCCTCGGTTCCAGCTCCAACTCCCACGTGGATACCCATGATGAATTGCGGTTTGCTTATGGAAAACCGTTAGGAACACGTGTCATTCGGCCTCTGATGAGATCCTGGTTCACTTGTTCCGCTGACGGGTGTGGGGAAGAAGGGAAATGTCTTAGATTTGGAAAAATGTTCATTGCGGAATCTGATCCCCAAGGAACGGCTCTAAAAAAACGTGTCCTGCCCGAGTATTATCTTCGCCGAACTATCCGCAAGTATGACGATTTCAGAACTCTATCGTGAAGCGAGTTGGAACAAGGGTTGACAACGTTGATGATGACGCCCTACGCCCATGCTACCGTACGGCTCATTCGGCCGTCCTTATCCGACTTCCATGTGACCCTCGAGAAATATTATCGTATACTTTATTTCTGGTCCAGGACGGGTTGAATTTGGGTGTGATCTTGTTTCCTCGCTTTCTTTCCCATCCCGGTTGTCCGGCAGCCGACAACCCGACTCTATCCGTGTCTGTCGCCAAATCCTGTGCAGGGTCACCTTGTACTGCAAAAGGCTTTCATATCATGTCTTCCGACTGGAACCCGCTAGCCTTGCACCCACCTTCTCATTCGGAGGAACTCAAGGTGTCTTTCCCTCAAGAACATGTGATGCTTATGACACTCAACCGTCCGAGGCACCTCAACGCCATGACACCTCAACTTACCACCAGTATAGCTGCCATTTTAAGTTGGTTTGATGACGAACCCTCCTTGTGGTAGGTTTCGTCCCTCAGCCTATCGGTAATCTCAACGCTCTGTTCCCTAGGATAGTAATCATAACGGGCGAAGGACGTGCTTTCTGCGCAGGAGCTGACTTGAAGGCGTAAGTATCGGAGAGCGCTCGTTCCTTATTGCCTCGACCCTTCATTTTTCACACACAGCTGGCTTCATAATCAATCAAGTGGCACGGCAAATGAACAAGAAAGTGTGGCTTCTTCCGTGCATGGATTTGCGTCCATCTCGCGTCGGCACACTTCATGCAAACCTATGATCGCCGCAGTGAACGGGTCGGCTTATGGTGGCGGTGTCGAAATGATCCTAAACTGCGATATAGTCATCGCAAGCGAAGACGCCGTGTTCGCACTTCCCGAAGTTAAACGTGGCGTACTAGCTGCACAGGGAGGTGAGCAAATACCGCATCAAGCCACTCATTCTATTTCTATTTGCAGCCTTGTCCTCGTCGATTATTTTGGAAAATTGAAGCGGGGGGCGGGCATGTATAAACTTTGCTGATCGGTGATTCGTTTTCTTTGCCAGTTATTCCCAGGTTAGGGAGAGTTGCGGGACATCAGGTATCGCTTCGGCGTGAATTAACTCTCAGGGTATCTCCGCTCACTGAGAAAATCTCGGGGTGTAGCTTGCTTCTGAGATGTTGCTCTTGGGAAATAGCATCACTGCCATCCAAGCCAGAGACAGGTTTCGTTTGTAAGTCAAGCCTACAATCGCCGCCAGTCATAAAGACAGCTTCTTGACACTCATGTTTACACTTCCGGACCGCAGTGTCAACATCGTCGTCGAAAAGTCGGCCGTTGTACCTACTGCTCTGGATATCGCAGCACAGATAAACATGAACTCCCCTGACTCTGTGCAGAGTTCAAAGGAAGGCCTTGTGCTTTCGCAGAAACACCATTTTGAGGAAGCTGTGCAAACTCACTCATTGAGTCTCGTGAGTAAACGCCTGTATCATGGCGCGAACATCAAGGTACGTCACCTCACGTCATATTAGTCTTATGGAGTATGGAGTATTCATTCTTCTTCCCTCTGACGTTAATCTAGGAGGGACTGGCGGCTTTCACGGAGGTATAATGCACAGGTTTTGACATTCAAAATCAAATTAACGTATTCTTTCCGTTCGCTCTTCCGCAGAGGCGCAAGCCAAGATGGTCGAATCCCGCGAAACTATGACATGGTTGAATATTGATCCAGGATATTTAAAAGGTTATAGTATATACAAATGTGTTATCTGTGGTACATAATCTCCTGTGTGATCGTTGACTGCCAGTGAGATAATTCTCGAGACCTGAGTTGGAGAATTTCGCGATGCCACAAATGGATGTGCCTGGCCCTGGATGACCCGAAGAAGTGGGAAAAGTAGCATGTCCAGCGAGAACGACGTTGAAGAAAAAAGTTATTTCCGCTTATCACGTTCTCAACCACAAACTGGCATGCCATCCACGCCACGAGAGAGGGCAAAAAAACTTACCTCGGTTGTATGGCTTAAGCATCCGTACCAACATCTAAGTCAAACATTCCAAACTCAAAATAACCTCTTCTCAAGCCAAACGTGGGCAACATGGAGCGCGCGCTTGATGTGGCTTTTTGACAACGTTATCGCAAGCTTGTTGCGTGCCACGTAGCTTTACCTTGCGCCCGTAAAAACCCGCACAGCCCATAAAGGGATCGACCTTTTTGCCTTTCAAGTTGAATTGCAAAACCTGGCATCCACGATCTAGAACGAGAACTTGAGAAGCGCGCAGAACGTGAGAGGGTTCTAGCGCAAGGCGGGCGCTAGACACGTCGGCCCAGTGAAAACTGTGAATCGGTAGTATAAAACTGCCAAGTTATAGGTCCGAGGATTACGATCAGCTTGCCAAAGGATGACCCTCGGCCTATGTATAGCTGAATCTAGTATAGCACAGGAGCAAGTGGCGTATGATCCAAGGAAGCCATGTTGGTGGTCCAACAGCTTCCAGGAATCGCTCATGTGAGGATTGGACCGTGCGTGCCAAGATCACGTATGTCCGAGTACTCGTCCCTTCAACCTAGTAATCAATTTCAATCAAACGGTCTTCAGCTGACTAGCCGACTCACAGCATATCATATACACCTACATCGCCCCAAAGGGGTTGCTTTGCAATAATTTATCCAAGTTGAGTTTGAAAAGATCTTTTGTGAGGGAGAAATAGTCTTGATATGTTCATTGGGTTCGTGAGGCGCGATAGTCGCGGGGTGAGTAACAGGCTGTCACGGCGTGAAGTTAGCTGTAAATACACAGACAAGTCAGGGTAGTATGAAGTCCGTGAAACGGGGGAATTTATTATCTGAAGGCGGGACCCAAGGAGCGGAAGGAGTCGCCGCGGCAACGGCCGTAATAAACAACCCAGTGGTCGGGTCGTGTACCCTCACGTAATAGATAATGGGGTGGATCAGGGTGGATCCTGGGGAGGAGAGTAGGAAGGGTCGTAAAATGACCTGATTGAAGAATATGCCAAAAAGACAAATCGTCAACTGTGCAAATAAATACACGGCGATATTACTGCTGGTCGCTGCGGGGAAAATGCGCCTATTGCCCATTATTATTAATAATATGATAGATCATACCATCTTGACTTGACGTACCATGTAATCGGAAACAAGGCATTCCGTATGAACGCAGACTCGGTTGTAGAGGGGACATGGGTGAACCAGGGCAACCTTTAGTCAGAGCCAGTCAGCAGGCCAGAGGTGTCAACAAAAGTTCACCGGCAGGGAAATGTGTCGCTGACAAGTACTGCCAGTGAGAGTCTGGATGACATTTAGGAAGCGTCAAGTTGAATCATTCATATTCAGAACCAGTTTTCTTTATTGTCTCACGGGCCACGGCTCACGAGTCTCGAGCTGAGCACGCCGAGATCAACTTTTTGACAATTATTCAGGGAGTTATGTATAGCTATAAGGGCTGTAGAGGTTCGAGGAAGACGCCGATCATGAAAAGTAGAAGCTGCCACTGGTGTGGCAGTAGTTGATAAGCGAGAGCATGCGGCACGGTGGACGACGCGGCCTACGCGGTAACTGCCACCGGACGTGGTTTAAGGTCAGAGCCCATCATCCACGCCGAATACGTCCTAAGATGGTAAGAAACGTGAAAAGCACCGATGATTACTTCAGAGACATATTTTCATTTTAAGCCTGACGCGCCCCTTAGTAAAGCTAACGACCATGCATACCAGTTATACCAATGACCTAGGGGAATAGATGGCACAAGTCTGTATTGACATCGAATTTACAGCGTAAATGTCACATTTATCCATGCCCTATGCCTGTCGTTATGACTGTCTGCTATGCTTTGCACAAGGTCCAGTGCTTGATCGTACGTGGTTGAGACGTGCGCCGCCATGTACTGAACGTACATGAATTCACAATTATTTTCAGAATTGATCCACCAACTTGTAGTCAGTGGTTCTATTTGTTGCCGGAAAGTGAGCACTGCAAGTGGGCATCTCCATGCTATATTCTGTAACGTCCACTGTTCAACGGGGTGTCACCAGGGCTGCTGTATCGCGGCCTCATGGGGGACAAACATACCCGAAGTCCCAATCGTCTCGTCTCTCTGTTGCGGCCAAGAGATCGGGAGAATCAAATGGCGTGAGGTGGGCGCAGACAGGATGCGGGCGCCACTGGCGTTTTGACAGATGTGGGACCGAAGACGTCTACCAAGGGCAGGCCTGTTCGTTTCTAATTTCACAATTGTAGGAGAAAATAGAGGCTCCGGGCAGGGTAATGTTTGACCCGGTCTAGAGAGATGAAAATAGGTTTTCATGCGGGATGCCAATGCGATGCAGAGGTGACAAAACATGCTTATCTGATATCCACCAGAACAGGCACGACAGGAGTGCGCAGCTGCTGATGGATACTGACAGACACCCATGATCACATCATAAGATAGCACCGCGATACTTGTAGAACCGATAGATGAAATCGAGAACATCTGTACTTGCTGTGTTCGAGATTGCTCTGTAGATCATTCACTTGTACTCGGCCTTTTGATCGTGTCGCAACTTGACTACACTAATTTCCAAAAGAACCTAAAGAAGGGGATCCTCAAGTATCCCAGATTAGCCAGACGGTGAACACAACTACAAAACCCACAGAATACCACCAAATACAAGCGTTGCAAACGATGTAGATCAGTAAATAGTGATCATTTTTTATGTTGCAAGAATAATACGCTGATTTCCGAGAGCTGGCAGGCATACCTGGAGATCTCCTGTGGCCCATATCGACCAGATGGTGAACAAAGGCCCGCCCAACGTCAGATATGACCAATGAACACAGCGACGACACTGGATATAGGCGTCGCAACTGATGTGGATCTGAAAATATTGTGAGAGAATGCAACGACGAAAAATACCACTTACTAGCCTCCCGTCAAGTTGTGAATTACAAATTATATGAACCCCGAGTGAAGCACACTTTTAATAGTTCCATTCCGAACATCGAATGCGTCGCTCGAGCCACGAATATAATTCAATCAAAATCCGCAGTAATTGCGGTTCTGTTCGGCCAGGACTATCGACAATCCAGTGGCGAATAGAGTAGATAAGAACGTGGCAATTGTCGTGGCTGTCAAGTGAACGCCGGGAAGTTGAAATACCGGAGAAGCCACAAGTTTACATACTGTTGACTCACCTGGCGCGTACTCCGAACACATGAAAATACCCACCACTCAATTCAGTCCATCTTACTGTAGCGGGTGGTTCTATGTTCAGCCTTGGAGAGGGCATGTTGGGGAGTGCCAGGGGTCGGAGTGTTCAGAGTCATGACTCATAGCGTCGAAGTAGATAGTAGCAAGCCCCGAGACTCTTCTCATTTCTCTTCAGATTGTAATTTGGCCGGTGTATCAAGAATTCCGCGGTTTCGTCGAACCAGACCTCCGTATGGGGTCGTGTGCGCTGCTAGCGGGCCCCAAAGGATAGGGTATGCGGAACGGATCCGACGGGGCTCAGAAGCCATTGTTGTCATAAATGTCCTGGTCCGCATTAGGGGCTCACCTTGTTGGCACGAAAAGTCAAAGAATTTAAGTTTCATTGACCAACGTAAACGCTGGTATAGGAAAAGGAAAGGAACTGAATTGTCGTGAGTGACAACATCATGAAGTTCCTGGATCTACGCCAGAAAAAAGTAGGAAATTGACAATCACTATTCAGCTGAACATGAAAATAAATGCATACTCTGAACGGATAAGAGCCAAACTTTCTTAGGCTAGCCATACCGCTGGCAAGTCAAAATAGAATGAGCTCACGGAATGGATCCAACAGGGCTCAGAAGCCTCGTTCTCGTGAACGGACCAGGTACTTACCTCGTTGGTTGCAAATATTGAACAATATTGCTTTCATTGACCAATTTGAGCGAACGGACATCTTCACAGGGATCAGACAGATTGAAATAGTCGCTTAAGTCTGCACGAAAAAGAATGGAAGTCCACGAGTTAGTCGACCCAGGCCCTCGTAGGTCAGCCATGTGCAACGCTGGCGAACCGAAAAAGATATGACCCACGCCTTGGATCCGAGGGGGCTTAGAAGTATCGTTATAAAAACGGAGGCAACAGTTGAACAATTTACTGTTTACTAACCGATGTGAGCGCTTACACGTTATCACATGTGCCAGACCGAACAGTCGCATAATTCTCTCTGCAAAGAATTGTCAGCGGTGACCGCACTAAGAATTTCATGGATCCGCGCCAGAAAAGTGAGAAGGCTGGCATTTACTGCAAGGAAGTTGGCCGACCGAGTATAAAGGTTAAGATATAGTCCGGATAAAAAGCACCCACACGAGTTGTGAAACCCAACCGATAAACATGCAACTCGTCGCCAAACAAACAAAATAGGAAGTCAACGGTTTAATCGACTCAGGCCCCTGTAGGCAAGCCATGTGCACCGCTGGCGAGCCGAAAGAGATATGATTCACGGCGTAGATCCAAGGGTGCTCAGAAGCATCGTTCTCATAAATAGACTGGTCCGCCTTAGTCGCTCGCCTCGTTGGCGCAAAAAGTCGAGTAATTTCATTTGAATGACAGATGTGAGCAAGCGCAGATCGTGGCATGGGAAAGGAGAGGAATTGGATAGACTATCGAATGAGGCTGCTGGAACATCAATGGGTATCCAAGGTACCTGTTCCGCGTGGTGTTCTTACCGAGGACGCATGTAAAATGGGGGTAGTGTCAGTAGTAATTCCTGGATGTCACAAATGAGTAAAATGCGCCCTACAAGAATAGTCAAATTACCTTAAACCATATCGAAGATTCTGCCATCTCTTCGCTTACAGACGGTGTTAAGGGGAGATCGGAAGTGACATTCCTAGTCATTTGAATCAAGGTAGATCACACATTGTGAATAATTACACGATGCCGTCTGCACTATAATGTAGAAATATTTCTCTAATCAGCCTTTTTGTATTAAAAAATTAAAAAAAAATTGGAAGTGCATCCTAGAGGGGTGTAGTATGGCGCGTTCATGAGCACGAGTCTGTTATCACAACAAATTTTAAGATTAAAGGAGAACGTGGACATACCAAACCGAAATGCGCACACAAGGGACCGAACTAGTATGAGGCTAAGGCGAGAAACGAACAGATATGGCTTGGCTCCATGACCCGTTATACATTCATAACGATCTGCTTCGTAAACTGCTCGTGATGGAACCAAAAAAGAGCAAAGGCTTGTTGCGGCTCCGGTTAAAGTAAGTCGCCACAAGGTAGCTGCGTTCATACCGAGCCAACCAGTCTGATAATATTGGTGAGCGCCAAACATCACGTTCAAAGACCTTTTCAGCGTGGCCACCAAATGCAGAGGCTGGGAATGGTTGCCAGTGGCGCCTGTCACTGTAACTCAAAAGGAGGTGACGTGTCGCGGCTGCGGCGACATCCCAGGCATTTTTGTCTTCGAAGAGTTATGTCTAGCATAGCATGGAAAGTGGAAAAGGATGAATGTGTACAATTGATTGCAAAAATTAGATGGTACAGAACGCGTACTTCCTGTCAACAGGTTGTTCCAGAGCAGACCCTGGTTTGTTGAACTGCATGATTGCAAGTTAGGGCGCAAGGTTCACATGCACATCCGGCTCGGAGCGGTGACGATGGTGAATGTGTCACGTGCCATCACGTCACGCTTTCGTGAAGGGAAAGTCCTTCAATTGATGCGGCGGCCAGCTTCCTTATGCTTCAATCCACGGTCAGTACTTCAGTGACAAGATGCTATGTGCAGTCACTTGTTGCTGGTTTTACAGAATCGCAATCACGTGGTATAGGCCTTGCTTTCACTCCGTTTTGAAGCTTATTATCTTTAAATTGACATCTCCCCATTCTCCAACAAGCCGCTTGCGTGACGCTACGATTAAGGCTAGCGTCTCAGACCTCAACCTTTCATTTGTCGCATGTTTTCATGGCCACATTTGGCATTCTCGTACAGCTGGAGCCTTGCATAGATTTCAGCAAATCTAGTTCCGTCAACGGAGCTACCATCCCTTCTAAGATGCCATACCACGGTCATGGGTTGCATATTCAACACCCTGTACCTGATCCCCTGCGTGCGTGGGGTGGTATTGTCGAGGACTTATGGCAGGCGAGTATGGCGCGTGACGAAAAGGGGGTGCCCTGATAAGCAAGCTACTACATTGGAGAGGTATCGTTGGTGAGGATGGTAGCCCGATGGGCAAATGGGCGAGACTGGAAGCTGTCCGAGTATCTATGTCATCGATAGTTAACTGCGTCCAATGAATTCAGATGGTGTGATAAATTATGGCCTAGAAAATGGTGAGATAAGATGCAGAGGACGAAATATCGAATATCTGTTCTCCCAGTTGATGAGGGTGCATGCTGAGGCACCTAGTGAAAGGTAATTACCTGGTGTCCGAACTTCAGGAATGACTATGCTGCATGGTGTCCTGCTCCATCGATTCGCGTGGCAGAGGAAAAAAGCTTGCTTGAAGCCGACTCATTGTCGTTTCCAAACACAATGCTGACGGGAATGCGTGAGCAAATGATGCCCAAGTCTTTCACCGGTTTGGTTGCACTATCTAGCTCTCTGTACATCGTCTGAAAGTGGAGCTTGGTGGGGTCGACAATTTTACAAAGGATATTGGTCGCATAACACCTCTTCCTCACATGAGGATGATAAGCTGACACCATCGTAGGGTGACGTGCGCCTGGGTGAGTCCAGAGTCCAAGTTTCTGCGAGGTCATTAGGATGACAATGTAACAGAACGAGAAGAAGATGCAGTACGACATACAAATTCAAGACGCGCGGGTCACAGCGTTTGCATCGCCTTCTTGATTTCAGGTTGTGGTACGCGTATTCTCGGGAAGGCCACACGTCTCTTCGTTCGTATGCAAACTTGATGAGAATAAGGCGCAATGGCTCCACGGCCTCTGTAGTTGGACTGAGCTTGGGTTCCACGAGGATGACAAAATAATTTTTCAAGGCCAATTCAAGGTTCTGCAATATGGTTCTAGCACAAGACTCGTGAATCGATAGCGCGCATGTTGTGAAGAATAAGAGGCTAACCCTGCCACGAGAAATTAGATGACCATATGTTCTGACCCCTCGAACATTCCAAATGCAGGAATTAGTGGGGGTCACTTTTCTTCTGACACGTTTGACGAAGGATACCAATGGCTACAGACGCGTACAAGGCAAGGGTTTTCAGCATAACCCTTCGGCTCATCAAGTTCGATTTATCAAGATGGTGAGCGACATTCTGGACAAGACATGAACAGGATCTAACAAAATGCAGGTTGTTCTAGCAGCATCAATATGCACCAAAGGCGGTAAAGGTAAGTCCACATACCAGCTCTCGAAACCGATCGCCTGACATGCACTTTCAGCGGTGCTCTCGCGCCAATTTCACCCAATGACGCGCACCCATATCGAATCCCTACTTGCATCCTTCCCAAAGCTCATCCCAACAAACTCTCAACACACTTCCGTAGAAACCGCTCAAGTCCGCTACGTCTACCAGCCTTTGGAAGACCTTTACATCCTTCTCATCACCAATAAAGCTTCTAATATCCTTCAGGACATCGATACCCTCCACCTCTTTGCGCGCGTTGTGTCTGATATCTGCCGCACTGCAGATGAGCGTGAAATTCAGAAACAGAGCTTTGAGCTGCTTGGTGCTTTTGATGAGATCGTGAGCATGGGTTACCGAGAACAGGTTAATCTTATGCAGGTAAGGAGCGTACTGGAGATGGAGAGTCACGAGGAGAAGATACAAGATATCATCGCAAGGGTCAGTGCACGCCAGTCAGACTATCCGACCCCCCACTCATTTAATGATAGAACAAAGAAGCAGAAGCAAAAGAAGAGCTCAAGCGTCGTGCGCGCCAACTCGAGCTCCAGCGCCGGGAGCAACAAAAACGTGCTGCGGTATCCGGCAGTGGGGGTAGTTCATATCTCGGTGGAGGCATGTCTGGATACTCTTCTGTTCCTCAGCGCTTCGACGCTCCAGAGGTGCCGGCTGCGCGCACTGCATCACCTGCACCTGCGTCCAGCGCTCGCACCCTTCCGTTTAAGAGCAGTGGCATGAAACTTGGCAGCAAAAAGACCAGGCAAGCTGAGCTCCTAGATGCTCTCGGCGGCGAGTTAGTCTCCGAAGAGCTCTCGGCGCCATCGACGCCTCCTATCCCCGATCCATCCCCAGCGCCAACTAACACAAGAGGCAGCCTACCCTCTATCACAGCTGAAAGGTGAGTTCTCACCCTGCTCGATTTCAATCCTCACTAACCCTCGTCCAAAGCGTACATATCGTAATCAAGGAAAAAATCGATGTATCCCTTATGCGTGAAGGCGGTGTACAATCAATGGAGGTTAAGGGTGATATGAATCTCCAAGTCTCCGACCCCGCTTTAGCGCACATCAAGCTCGCACTCCCGTCCCCCACCACTGACTTTGGCTCCGACCTCCAATTCAAGCAGCACCCCAATGTCGCCAAGTTTGCCCCTGGTCAGAACCGTGTCGTCGCGCTCAAAGATCCTTCTCGTGCTTTTCCCGTGGGTCAAGCCCTTGGCGTACTCAAGTGGCGCTATGCAGGACGCGATGAGTCCTTGGTTCCATTGTCCAGTAAGCTCTCCGCTCGTATATATGATTTTCACGCCCACTAACTGACTCCCCAAGTCAACTGCTGGCCCTCTCCTTCAAATGACGGCACCTGTGAGGTCAACATCGAATACGAGCTCGAGAACGAAAATGTCACCCTGCATGACGTCGTCATCTCCATTCCCCTTCCGTAAGCTCTTCTTCATTCCCACTCCAATTTTTCGCCCGCTCACTGACATACCTCTAGCACCGGCTCCTACCCCAGCATCACCACACAATGCGACTATAGCATCAATCCCGCTACCCACTCGCTCGACTGGTCCATCCCACTTGTTTCTACCGCAGCGCCCGGCGGCACGCTCGAGTTCACTGTCGGTGGCGATGACACAAGCATGTTCTTCCCCGTGCGCGTGTCATTCGTGGGTCAGGGGAGTATCGCTGGCATTGGGGTAGATGCTGTCTCGAGAGTAGATGGTGGTGAGGACCCTGCTTTTTCTGTGGATTCTGTTGTCACGACGGGTGATTATCTTGTTATTTGATTGTCTTGTTGTGTACTGGGAAATGCATGATCATATGTCATGAATTTGCAAGACGGACCTGTGCTGCATAAGATATCTTACATGTCTGCAGATCTAGAAGGTCAAGCTACTATGAACCAGTGTTGTTACCAGCTCGTTAAAAGAGTTTAAACTAAACCTGAATCAAGAGGTTAGTTGAATGCATCTGCGATTAAGTCACCGTCAGGCTGAGGCAGAGCGTCATATTTAATTTGATACTGCACGCTAACACCAACGCGCAAATAAGATATATACTTGATTCACTGCTGTTTCCTGGAAGATGCTGTATTTCACTCTCAGCTTCGAGATCGAGAGCCTTACTTATGTGTGATGATTGATAACAGAATTATGCTGATGCTTGTGATTACACGCTATGTATTGTTAGATATGTCGTTCTAATTTCCCTACCACTGGCAGTTTATGTTCGAATCAGTTACAAGCAAAAACTCAACCTGTCACTTCCATAGGCTGCGTTTCGCCAAAGAAGCATTGTAGGCAACTCATCAGGCATGTTACTACTGGCCTGGCCTGCAATAGTACGGTCGAATGCTTCACCGATTTGCTTGGAATGAACTAAACAGTGAGCGCTGTGGACTGAGTACACGTGATGAAGACAACAGAAATGCAGAATCCTGATAACCATAACGCACAACCGACAGCTACAATACACAATCCGCAACCGTAACAACTTACAAAGTAATTTACTGCGGGTAATAATCCTAAAGGCATGGAGTGGATACAGATAGTGGTGTTTCGTTCCCTCTCTAATGGTGATCGGTCCCATACATTCTCACAGCTTCAGGATAATTCTGCATCATCTGCCTGAGCTCTGCTTCCGGGATTCTCGTCTTGAAGTCGATGGTGCACGGTCGGTATGTAAGTGGCCGGTGGGCTTTCTCTGTGTTCATGAATCCCATGTCATCCAGCGGCTGTGCAGGATCCAGGGTGAGCTGAAAGGCCCAAAGAATCAGGACCGCGCTTATGAACACTGTTCTGTACCAATCGAAGTGAACCCGAAAGACCATGTCCGTAGAATGATAGGTTTACCTGTTCGCGACATGTTGTCCGGGGCACACGCTGCTAGGAGTTTCATACAACGAACGGGTGATGGGAAAGAGGGTACTTACCGCCGACCAAACCCATAGAGAAAATTGGTTAGGTCGTCTTTCAGAAGACCTTGGTCGTCAATCCAGCGTTGAGGTTTGAACACTTCTGGGTCGGGAAAGACTTCTGGATCTCGACATATGGACCTAAGGCAGTAGTCATTAGGTCTTTCGTGCTTAAACTCGTAACTTGAAGCTTACCAAGAGTTACCGAATACCGTAGTCCCAGCTGGAATACAATGGTTTTCCTGATGCCAGGTCATCAGTCGCACACGTAAGCTGCTCAAACGGCACTTGCCCAAATTACGTCTTTGGTTGTTCGGTGGGGAAATCCTGCAGTGACTGTCAGAAGTTGTAGGTACAAACCCACAAGCATTATCCTAACCATTAGGAGCAACCGGTCTCCATCTGACAGCCTCAGAGATGAAGGCATGCAGACGAGTGAGGGATTGTTGGTCGGCGAATGTCGGTGCTTGAGTGCAGAAATTGTTGAATTTACAGAACTACAATAGGAATTCGAGCTACCTTGATGTCTGCCGACGACCGCATCGAGCTCGGCTTGAACTTTAACTTGCTCATCTGGGAAACATGCGGCTGCCATGAGCACCGTGCATATTACTGAGGTAGTCTAAACCCTAATTTCAGCGAAATGCCAGTCTTTGGATAATGAAAACACTTCACTGTGTTGGTTCCAGCTCTGAACAATGAACCACCAAGAAAAGCCGCCTCGTCTTCTGTCAGGCCATGGTCAGTCGCCGTTTTCTAGCATATACCTTATGAACGAAGGGCCGATGTCCACATCACTTTGCTGTGAATGGCTTTGACATTCCATGTGAAGACCGTTAAGGCGGAACATACCATTCGCTCTTTTACTCGGTTCAGCTGACCTATGTTAAGTCGCTTGCTCCTCTCAAACCCCTGTTTCAATTCTCGGCCATACCAAGGAATGTGTTTGAGCCACGGAATCGAGTCCACAAGGTAGAAAGCATCAGGGCGCAGGGCTCTGTCAATTAACTGCCTGAGCTGGCGCATCTCGATAACTCGGGGATCGGTCGCAGACGTGGGCGCAGTGTTACCGTAGGTAACTTTCGTAATTACCATCGCACCATAACTTCAAAATGCGTGTAAGCAGAGTACGGTCGTAACTACAAGGGCATACCTCATCACATGGTTCTGAAAGTTGTGTGGATCATCGAGGATATCAAAAATCAGATCCTTCACGTTCGACATCTGCAGGGGCTGATAAGCCCCAGCTGCTTTAGGCTGGAAATGCGTATGAAGGGCTCTGAAAAAAGTTGAAATGTAAATTAGCAGACACATTGCGAATTGCTAACCTACGCATCCGACGGAATCTGTCCCCAAATGGTGTGTAGGCGATATTCAATCCGCCGCCAAATAATTCTCCAGCAGCAATCATGCGAGGACGGTCAGCGAGAGTTCCGCCCTGATTCTCCATAATATCCATGGCGGCCTGCAACAAAATGGTGAGCTTGAATATGTCAACTCGGCATCGAGAGACTGACCTTGTAACGGCCAATAATCACGACTTTTCCGAGCCCAGACCGAAGACTGATCAAAGGACCATACTCATTAATCCAACTCGCTATGGTAAGAAATGACCTGATCAACGTGAGTACTCATAGACAACGTGTTCCATCCAAAAATTTACTTGCGAGGCGGAAGGAAGTGTCCCCAAGGTCTCAAAGTGAAAGGGGAGGGTGGAAGAGGAAGGCCATTCTTCGATTGAGGAAGAGCAATTACTCCTATTACTACGCCAAGGCAAGTCACAGCACCGACAATGAGCCGCGCGTTGTCCGAAATGGACAGGTCAGGCATATGTAACATGGCTGATGGGAGGAGCGCAAGGAAGGATTGGAGATAACTCATCCTAAGTAGCTTCTCAACTCGAGGGTTAGTAAGGTAATATCAACTATGCTGAGGGACAAACCAGATTTAAATCCGGTTAACCAGCATACTTCAAAATTCATATTCTGGTCCATTACTGCCACGTCTCCACGGACCGTTCGTCCTTCGTAGCGTCATCGAGCGAAATTCTGCTGGCAAAGAATTATCACCTCCGCAATTTGGCTCGAAGATGACCTTCCTCTCGTTTAGGAAGGTAAACACTTGACACCGCTGTCATACAAGACAACGTGCAGCACCAAAAAACCTTGTCAGAAATGCACAGGTCGGACAGTCGCAATACAGCTGATGGGAGGAGCGAAGGATTTGATGCCATACGAGTCGATGCTGGCCTGCGACTCGTAGTTCGCTCTCCTAGTACTTAACAATTGGCAATTGAAAGAGGCCAATGGAGAGCATGTATATATGCGACATATTCGTTCAAACTTCTCGTTCTGTCTGGTCGGTTTCATGTGTGGTGGAACTCTGTGACTTGGAGGCTGCAATTCTTCTAAAAAAAAAAACCGGCAGAAGTGGTTACGTGACCTATTCTGGATTCTGACGACCCTCAGGCCGCCCAGCACTCAGTAGCAAGAGGATATCATACGTCACTGCGCAGTTGTCGTGATTGATGAAGGAGAAGGTACGCCACCGCCACTCAAAACAGTCCACTACCCAGTCGAAATTTTCTGGCGAGCGGGATGGGCATTCCCACTAAGACCGATCCCACAACTAGGCAGGGCCACGAGATATTGCAGCAGAAGCGAACGTGAAGTCCAGTACATTTCGCAGATTCGGAGCTGCCCGCGAAACCGAGCACGTTGCAGAGGGGAAGGATCAACAGTGTGCAGCCTCAGGCTGTTTGCGCTAGGTCACGAAGTTTTGGACTCCTCAAATACAATGAAGTCTACTTCGAATTCATCATCGCTCGGATGTGTCCTTCTCTCGTTGTGTTCACACTCTCAAACGAGCAGTGGAATGGTTTAGGGCGACTTCAGCGGAGTCAGCTGCAGGTTCTTAAATATATGCATCACTTACATCGCCATGCCGGTGGTGAACTCCGGCTTCACCTCAATCCTGTTTCCGTTTGAGTCTTTGGCATGATCAATGCGCAAGACGGCGAGTATGGTAGCAGCTGCAGTCCACAGACCGTTCTCTGCGAACCAGCGACCTATCAAGAAAATTTGTCATCAACACTGCCAGATCAACCATGAATCAGCCTACCAGGACAAATACGCCTGCAATGGTCGATAAATAACTGAAATAATAGCAAGTGTGGAATATTCACCTGCCATGACCAAAGGCGAAATGGTTGACGAAAGAATCCTTCAACTTCCCGTCAACTGTGAGATGGCGACTAGGATCGAAGCATGATGCATCGGGAAAAATGTCCTCATCCCGAGACATCGCCCTGAACCATGCTCAGCTCAAGCCATTACATGCATTCCACTGTAACATACCACTGATTAACCATTACTATCATACCTGATTGAACTACATGAGTCAATGGCAACCTCGAGTCATACAACTTCGAACCTTTGGGTATAAAGTACCCGTCATAAACATCATCATTTGATGTCGCATGTGGAGCTCCTGTGCAAGGGGTCAGCCATGCAAACACAAAATTATATTACTGCTGACCAACCTAGGGGGGCGACGGGATACCATCTCAGGACCTCGCATAGAACGGCATCAAGGTAGGGCAATGACGCCCTATCATCAAGGCACGGCATTTTATCACGCCTCACAACTTGATCAATTTCAGCACGAGCCCGGGCTTGAACATCTGGATAGAGCACCATAGCCAACAAAAATATCTGCAATACAGATGTACTCTGCGGGACATCATCACATCAAAGTAAGAATCAGGATTGCTTAAGCAGCGACTCACGGTCTCTACAGCCGGCTAAGATACCGTATTCTTGTCAGTGAATGAATTCTGTCCTGGTAAAAATATCTTACCTACGTATCCCATCAACGAAACAGCCTTCATCGTATCTTCGTCAGCGTCATCGTGAGCTTGACTGAGAAAGTCAGCAACTAATGAGCGTGAGGCAGTACCATTTGCCTTCACGCAAACAAATCAGGCCTGAATTTCTATTCCCAACTCTGCATAAACGTACCACCTGCGCCTTCACTTCGTTAAAGGGCTCATTTAAAAGTTGTTGAGCTAACTCTCTAGAGCGTCCCATCAGGGAAAGTGCTCCACCGAAGCACCAAAACGGCAACTTTGTAACTGCAACCACCTTGCTGAATGTTCAAAATTTTGTCGTCGATAAAGGCACTCACGGAAAGGAAAAGATGTGAACATGGCAGCCCTCTCAGGAGAAAGGATATGTTTGCCGATATCAGCGAATTCGTACGCGCGGGTAAGAAATGGGTCTTCATGTCCACGAGCATGGTGTCCATATGTCACGGCCATGATTAAGGATCCCGTGTATCTGTCACAAAGATTGATCGTCAACTGAACCATACATCAAAACAACACCATTAGATTAGATACGAACGTTAGAGTGTGTTGCTGTAGTAGGTCACTAGCTGCATCTCCTAAGAGATTGATGACTAGTTCACTTGCGTAGCGAGAGTACATCTCGTGGTATGAGACCGAGACTTCCGCCCTGAGGGCTTGATGGAAGATCTTGCGATGTTGTCGCAAAGTTTCTCCATACGGAAGGAATACAGTATTGAAATCCAGTCCAGCCCTGCATCATGATCAGCTGTTGAACAAATCAAACGAAAACCGGCAATGCATACAATTTGTTGGTGGGAATGACGGGGCGAGTAGAGTAATTCGCAGAACGCTTCTCCAGCAACTCCCGCGCGATGGTTTCAGAGTTTATGATGATGAAGTCGATCCCAAGTATGCGGGAGCAAATGATTTTTCCTATCGTCAGGTATGAAGTTGAATCTAATAGCTTGGCAAAGAGGAAATCGATCTGTTACCAACCATATGTCTTTCCCCACGCAGTATATGTGAGCCAAGGTCGTTTAGTGTCCAATTGCAGCACATTACCCAGAAACGGTAACGGACGAGGGCCAGGGGGCAGAGGTAAAGGGTAGACGCGTCTGTGGGTCAGACCTGAAGCGACAACCAGGGCAACAATGCACAACGCCCCAAGAGCATAAGTGAAGAGCATCATGGTGATTTGAATTCATGTTGGTTCGCCTTATAAAAATGTCTTTGACGTGATATTTCTCAGCGGTATTAAAATTGTCGAGACCAATCAATTGCGCTTATTCATTTGAATTGGGAATCTGCGAGGACCGCACTTCGATTAGCAATCAGTGGCAACTTAAAGTTTCGGTGGACTTACTTGCCGTCACTGACAACTTATTACTGCAAGTAGGGATATCGCCAACCTGGAGCTTCTGGCTCAACATCTGATACGACTCTGAGTCAGACTCTTATAGTGGCCAGGGAGACAACTCTTTTGCTTCGTTGTCTGCAGCATCTGTCATGGAATCAATCCGCTTGTTCTAAGCCATGAGCATTGCTGGCAGAAACTATGATTTATAGCCACCAGACCTGACTAAGTTCAATGAACTAGAAATACGACCCTTGAGTCAATTAAAGCGGGCCGACTTAGTGTGAAACATCTGATACGCCACGCAACTGCATTGCCGTAATATTTGAACTTTTGAAGATACCTGGAATAGCTGAGGTCACTGTGCATGCCTGAACATACTGTTATCAATTGGTGGTCATGAACACAAGAGCGCGTCGAAATTGAAGGTCCCAACTGCGCTCAACTTTGCCGCAGTCCACATGGAGAGGGGGGATTTCAGATTAGAGCCTTCAAGTTGTGCAACTGATTCCTGAAAGTGCAAGGTAGTGCCAACACGTCACATCAACGAAGCACGTGCCACTGTTTGTTTGTCTCACCAGCGGCTGCAACATTCAAGTTGTTCCAAAATTACCAGCTTGAGACGAGACATAATTCAATTATGCTTGTCAAATGACTTCAGTCTTCGGTGCCATTACTACGTTTCGCGGTGCTGCGGCTTGTCTTGAGTAATTAATCGGGCTTACCTTTCTCCAGCCAACTTGGAGTACTCCAAACAGACGAGACGTGGCAGTAATGGCACGGATTTTCAGAATTTGAAGTACGTTGACCAACTGTGACGTCGAGGATTTGAAAAACCAGCTATAATTTGAATGCGTTTACGCTGAGTTCTCTCCGACCATTCCTTACGCTCTTTCTATCAGCCATGTTACAATTTCCCGACCTGCCCCTTCCTGACAGTGCGCGGCTCGTTGTTGGCGCCATAACTTGTCTTGGTGTGATAGGAGTGTTTTCTCTGGCTTATCTTCCTCAATCGATCAATGGCCTTCCTCTCCCACCTTCCCCTTCCACTTGGAAACTTCGGGGACACTTTCTGCCGCCTCGCAAGTAAAGTTTTGCATTCAACACGTAGTCCTTGATTCTCATGGTCTAGCGCTGTTAGATCATTTCTTACCATAGCGGGTTGGATTGATGAGCACGGTCCTCTGATCACTCTTCGGTCAGGACTCAAAAGATTTCGTGGTGATTGGCCGCTACAGAGTCAGTCCCTCGACCCCGACTTGTCATTTTCAAGCACATTTAATCTATTCCGTTGCAGGCCGCTATGGATATCATGGAGAATCAGGGTGCAGCGCTAGCTGACCGTCCTCGTATGATTGCTGCTGGAGAGATATTTAGCGGCGGACAGGGTCTCACCTCTACACCCTTTGGGGAGAAGTTCCGCCTAAAGCGTAGGTTCGCAGACTGTAACGCATCTCTCAAGTTATTTTTTCAACGTATCGCAGAGCACTTCACACGCACCTCCAGCCTAAAGCAGCCGAAGCTTATCAGCCCCTGCTGATGTCACATGCGAAGAACCTGGTCCTCGACATTCTTGATGATCCACATAACTTCCAGAACCATGTGATAACGTACGCACTTTCTGTTATGACCATACACTACTTACAGGTATATTCAAAAGTTTTTCTTCGACGACAATGATGAAAGTTGCATATGGGACCACTACGCCCACTTCTGCGACTGATCCCCTAGTCAGGGAGATGTACCAACTCATGAAGGTGGTCAGTAAACTCCTGCGCCCTGATGCCTACTACCTGGTGGACTCGATCCCATGGCTCAAACACATTCCTTGGTATGGCCAAGAATTGAAACAGGGGTTTGAGAGGAGCAAGAGGCTCCACACTGGTCAGCTGAACCGAGTAAAAGAGCAAATGGTATGTATTGCCTCACTGATCTTCGCATTAATTGTTCGAGCCATCCTGCAGCGAAGCAATGCGGACATTGGTCCTTCGTTCACGAGGTTTATGTTAGAGAATAGCGATCACTATGGTTTGACGGAGGTCGAGACGGCTTTTCTCAGTGCTGCCTTCTTTGGAGCTGGTTCCGATACAGTAAGGTGTTTTTGTTGTGTCCGAACACAAGTATGTGGCTGAGAACAAGGTTCAGACTACTTTGGCCATGTGCATAGTGCTCCTGGCAGCCGCATGTTTCCCCGAGGAGCAGGGTAAAGTTCAAGCTGAGCTTGATGCGGTCATCGGAAGCCACCGAGGTAGTTTGATTCCTCATCGCAGTTCTGTAGAATTCAATGATCTCTGCACTCAATCAAGCACCAACTTTTGCCGACCAACAATCCCTTGTTCGTCTGCGTGCCTTCATATCTGAGGCTTTGAGATGGAGACCTGTTGCTCCCAATGGTGAGTATCGTTCTCGTGGATTGTACCTACAGCTTTCAATGACTATGATGCAGGAGTTCCTCATCGAACAACCAAAGACGTGATTTGGGCAAGCGATCATGGAACAATTTACTTGTGCAATTGACGATCTAGCATCAGGAGAACTACTGCATTCCAGCTGGCACTACAGTATTCGGCAACACTTGGTAAATATCGAATTTCTGAATTTAAGCACAAAGACCTGATTGTATTGTTAGGTCCATCTGTCGAGATCCAGAAGTCTTTCCCGAGCCTGACGCGTTCAAGCCTCGACGCTGGATCAACGACCAAGGCTGCCTGAAAGATGATCTAACTAATTTTCTTTTTGGGTTTGGTCGGCGGTAAGTACCGTCTTTCCACCACCCGTTCATTGCATGAAACTCCTTGCAGCGTGTGCCCCGGACAACATGTCGCGAACAGGTTAAGCCACACTTCTACATACATGGTAATTCTTCCAAGCTTACTTCAATTGATGCAGATCGGTGTTTATAAGCACGGCCCTGATTCTTTGGGCCTTCCAGCTCACCCTCGATCCTACACAGCCGTTGGATGACACGGGCTTCATGAATTCGGAGAAAACACACCGACCGTGCTCTATTAAATTCAAGTTGAGGATTCCGGAAACAGAACTCAGGAGCATGATGAAGAGTTATCCTGAGACTGGTCATCTCTAGAAAAAGAACGAAGTACCTGTTCGAAATGAATCGGTGACCAATGTTGGAACCATGCCGCTAAGACATGTACTCGCAACAACTCGTGTCCATTGAGAACTATGTATGATAGCTGTCGATTATGCTTTGTCGTTATCAAGTTTCTCCCTCAGACAGTTCATTTTGACTGACTGGATGGAGTCCGGAGGACACGCCAGATGGCCTCTCTTAAATTTTGAGCTACCCAGGCTCACGAATTCTCTAGTCATTGTCAATAGTTTCCGCACAATCTGAAGTGGCCAGAACTGCACGTGAGGGATATTGTAGGACATTCATAATTGAACTCCAGGCCTTAAAGCTTGAGCTTGGGTCCCCGTGCAGCTGTGAAGTTTTAAGTTATGCAAGTTCGAAACTCAATCATGATGCATGATGAAGGATGCATACCGTCATTAAATGCTCCAACTACATATGTAAGACTGAACTTGATACTTCATGGACGTCTACTAGTAGACTCTCGAACGGTACCACCGAGCATTCACTTATAGGACGTGTCATGAGTACATACATACAATAGAGTCTCATACAAGTCCGAGACAAGAATTACTGTTTTACTTTACGTGCATGTAAGGTATGCAGATGAGTAGCAAAAAAGTCCCATGAGGAACAAAACGAAACAAAGGGAACATCATACTCAAAAAGAAATTAGGAGATAAACTATCGGGTATCAAGCTCAACTGTCCAACCAACACCAACCAACTAGTATCACTTCATCACCGACCTCATCCCCTTAGCAGACTTGACCCACCCCTCCTTCTCCCTGTCTCTGTCCTTGTCATCCTTCCAGCTCCCACCCGTCTCAGGCGGAGATGCACTCCCATACTTCGAAACCCTATGCATCATCCCCATCTCATCCATCCCACCATCCACCACCCCACGCTCCCTTACCCTAGGGGATCCCGACCCACCAGGCGACTTCCAATAACCCCTATCGTCCACCGTCAGATGCCCCATAAACACCACTGGCAGCGGCGCCGCCATAACCAACCCCGCCGACTTCGACTTCTTCCTTGCATCAGGATCAGGCATAGGCGTACTGGGCTCCATCATCTTCTGCAGCGCAAGCAAACACAAAAACGCGTCGTTGCCTGCATTATGCAGTGCGCATGGGGGGTCGATCCCTAGGGAGTGTAAAAGCCCGCCGAGGGAGAGCGTAGAACCTTGAGCGCGGAGTTTGCCTGTTTTGGGGTCGTACATCGTTCCTCGTTCGCCAGCATTAAAGAGCGCGCGTTCGAGAGAGGCAGTATCGATTATGAGGACGTTGTGTGGGATCTCTGGGGGTGCATTAGTTGGAATGCATGGGTTGGGTGGGGACGTACTGATTTTGGTCTCTTCAAGACGCTGGATGTCAGAGCTGACGCCATGGCCTACGAGGACTAAGCTATTGGCAGTGGTTTCTGCGTCAGGGCTTACTAGACTGCTGTATATGACGTGAGATACACCGGAGCTGTATGCACAAGACTAATTTACCTTATCACAGACTGTACGATCTGAGGTAACTTCGTCCTTGGTATGACTTGACTGTCGCCCCACTATGAGGTGCTCTATAAGGAGGGGATGAAATGCCCAAAGAAAGACGTACAGCATACTACTCCATATGTCAGTTTAGCATAAGATGGTGGTCAGAATAGGCGTACCTGCCAAGGGTACGTAGGACAATGCTTGTTGATGATCTTGTCCACGTAGTCACCAATGATATAATGGCCCTTCCTATGAACATGCACATCAATCAAAAGATTACATCTGCCAATTTACAACACACCGATAATTCGACTCGGGTACCGGAGGCCACGCGCCAACCCTGTAAATCAGATCCATCAATGACCCTTGCCCCACGCAAAAGAACAAATTACATACGCCTCGAGATGCCCACACCGAACAGCCGCATACCCCCATTCTAGAAACGTCGCCGGATTCCTTTCGCTCCACTCAAAGTCAATGGCTAAAAATGTCTTGTCGTGCTTGTCCCATAATTCTCGGATAGCTTTCGGCTCGCCAGCGCGTATCCGAGCCTTAAACGTTGCAAGCGCTACTGCTGGTAGTGTGGTGTATAATTTCTTGTACGTCGCCCAGTCTGCAACGTTCCGTAGATGTCGTTGGGACGTCTCAAAGTGCGTGACTTTGAGCATGTTGTCAGGTGTCGGAAGTGTTTCGCCAAAACTGCGGGTTCCTTCTTCATTTGTGGGTTAGTAAGTGAGAGGGAGATAGGACGCACCGAGTCTTAATCATCTTGATGAACGCGCCGACGGTCGTCAGTCGGGTGACAATGTGTGCACGGCCAGTCGATGAGTCTGTAACAGTAATGACAGGCCATGAAAATCCCAGAAACTGCTCAAACGTCTCGAAGAATTGTCCCCATGTCCGGTCGTACCTGCAGAACTCGATAAACGCGTTCTATACAAGAATTCAAGAGGGAGACGCACCACGGGATATTGTGCAACTGGAAGTAACCTATGTAAGCAGAGTACACCTATTGGATTATGAGCAACCTATTTGGCGAAACCACTGGCATAACGCACAGACTGAAGATCGTATTCCCAACCTTCGGGATTAACGAGGCGAAAATCTGCCATAGAATTCGAGATCAAATGACCTTGCAATGGCTCAGTCAGTACACAAACAGGTCGGTAGCGCTACGAGTAACGTTCTTCAAGGCAGCGATGCGGAACAAAACTCGGTTTAATACTGAATGGTCTAGACGCCGGAAAGTCGTGTTTATGGCATAAATTTACATACCTCCATTTGGCGTTCTTCGGGCACTGAGGGGTGTAACGGTACATGCCGGAATAGTGTGCGTTTATATGTAGTTCTTATTACTCAGATATCACGTAGATTAACTTAAAAATTATGGAGAAGAGGCAACGTCGTTTCATTCATGTACAAGAAGCAAGGGCAACCTAGCTACAGAAGTAGTGGAAAAAGAAGTTAGCAACGGTGAATAAGAAAATAAAACAAAGACAGGAATCAGAGACTTGAATGGGATCCCGCAAAGGATCAACGTCCAGTGTGCCAGCACGTCGCGTCGGAAGATGTTCTATCCTAAAAATCATGTCAGAAACATGAAAACTCACAAAGGTGTCTACAGGTTTAAATGTTCGTATAAAAAGGGCCTGAGGAGTGCCTGCAGAACAAGTCAGTATTGTTGCACAACACAGAATGAAAAGATCAGAAAATAATAGATCGTGTTCTTCTCAGAACCTGCTGGCAGGCATCGAAGTGAGCTGAGTTTACGAAGTTGTATCATCGTAAAAAAACTCAACATAAAACATTAACGAGCACTTACCTTTTGGTCATGACATGGAGACAAGAAGGCTTCGGAAATACCCGAAGTATTTGTATCACTCTTCCTCTTCCAGCCTACCCTAAACTCAGCCACCCAGTGAAACTATACAGATTTTATTGAATTTGCCCACGGTCTATCTGACACGCTGAGCTCATCCGGAGGACGCAACCGCAAGACACACAACCTCGCCATCTGAAGATGCAGATCTTCGTCAAGACCCTCACAGGGAAGACTATCACCCTCGAGGTGGAGTCTTCTGACACCATCGACAACGTCAAGGCAAAAATCCAGGATAAGGAGGGGTACGCTTTATAATATATCGGTACTATAGAGATTAATAGTGTGATCAGTATTCCCCCCGACCAACAGCGTCTCATCTTCGCCGGAAAGCAGCTAGAAGATGGTCGCACACTCAGTGACTACAACATCCAGAAGGAGTCTACCCTTCACCTTGTCCTTCGGTGCGTCGCGTAGTTATTCTAACATCGAACATCGTGTTTACCTATTCATAGTCTCCGTGGCGGAATCATCGAGCCCTCACTAAAGGTGCTCGCAGCCAAATACAACTGCGACAAGCAAATCTGCCGAAAATGCTACGCACGTCTGCCCCCTCGTGCAACCAACTGCCGTAAGCGCGGATGTGGACACTCGTCACAACTCCGCCCGTGCGTCTTTCATTCCTTTACATTACCTCACGTGAAACTAATTTACCATCACCGCGAACAGCAAAAAGAAGTTGAAGTAGTCGACTCGCTTTGGGCGTGCTTTGGGGACCATTATGGGACATCCATGTGTATTTCTCTTTCGCTCGCATATACAATATGCAACTCATGATCATTCCATGTCGTTTTGTGGAGCTTTCCGTGTGATTTCTCCGCATTCTGTGCGCGGTGTTCATAGTCACTACCACGGCTCTTTGTTGTAAGAACGACCTCGTATCATGACAACACTCCGTTTGCCATCAGACATGTCAGTAGGCGAACTCAAGGCTTCTCCTGACGACATCTCGGAAGAAGTTACCGTAAACAGCAAGATGGTGTCCATTACGGCAATTGTTCCAGTTACCCATCGCGAACGCTTTCGTATGACAACTATGGTATATACGCGCGAAAGAGGGGACAAGTCGATGTCAAATGACTTGGACTGACTCAAGAAACATCATGCCCTGACAAACTCGGTAAACCATGCGTTCGTATTGTCCCGATAATCTGCTGTCCATGAAAAAACGTCCAAGTGCAACTGCAACTACAAAATAAAGTAGTGTTCTTAAGGACCAAAAGGTAAAGCCAGGGTATGTGGAACACGTGACATCCCAAAAGTGAAAGTAAAATTAGATGTAAATTTCAGCTGACACGATTTTTTTTGGTTTAAGAAGGTCGGATCAAAACATGATAGCTGCACCAGCTACTGCAGAGAGTAGGACAACGGCAGCGGGGCCCATACCGATCTTGAGCGATGCAGCACCACTGCTGTTGATGGCCGAAGGTGTGGAAGACGCAGAGCTGGCCTGTGCTGTGGTAGCAGGGGCGGTGTTAGTTGTATGAGCACTCGACGCCGTGACTGAGGAACCCGTGCTCCTAGAAGATGCTTCAGATTGTCGTCTCAGTCATAGGTAAACATTGACTCACGAGCTCGTGGACATGGTAGATGTCGATGACGGCGATGTGGTAGTCGTCATTGCGGTAACAGAAAAGCTACCACTTTGTGCGTAGACGGTGTTGATGTTGCTGATGCTGGTGGCTTCGAGAGTGTAACCGTCACTGCGCACCACAAGTTCAGCCACTCTTATTCGTTCATTCAACGTAGATAATGCAGCGCGCTTACCCAAGAGGGACCTGGGGCAGCACGAGAGTCATGATACCCGCCGATGTTTGCACGTTGTTTGCGATGGCAAATGTGTTGTGGAAGATGGTGTTCACCATGTAAAGACCGAACGAACTGGGGTCGGCTGTGGTTGCCTCCCAAGTGACATTGACCAGGTCGCCAACCGAAGGACTACCGGTCGGTGTGTTGAGGGTCAGTGCAGACACGAGAGGGATAGCGAAGGAAGCAAGAGCACTAAAGGGTGGTGAACAACGCGTCGGAAACCTGCTCACCGACCGCGACAGTGAAGAAGAGACTTACGTGATTCTAGCGAACATGTTGAAGTCGTAAACGGGGTAGAAATAAACTAGACAAAGACGTAGAGGACGACGAGAGGAGAGAGGTGGGAGAGATGAAGAAAGGTTCAAGCAGGCTTTTATGCCAGAACTAAACCATAAGGCGTCTTCCCACGCGGCAAGCCAGTCTGCTTCCAAAGCATCCGATGCCGACGATTCACAAACACGCTGGATTCTCATCCTTGCCTCATCATTCCCGCGTTTCTTATTCCGTAGGTATGCCCAACTATGAATTATAGTCAGTAATAGTAGACATTATCCATTCGAAGTCCTCAATCCCCCAGCAACGGTGCTCAGGGAAAAAAATTCCTTGGTGATACTTGGTGAGATTATGAATCTAACCGAATGGCGGCGTACAATTTCCCGATTTCCTTTCAGGCTGCGATCGTACTAACAGCCTTTCCCTGGGTTCAAGAATAGATCACGGCCATGCATTCCCTTTCTACCCGCTAATAGATCTACGTGTGAAACATGGTGAACACCGACGTCAGAAAACATCAATAAATGTACGGCAATATCTTGTCGAGGGGCAACGAAGCAGGCACAACTCACCTCGTCAAACGGTCGCGTATCGCCAAAGCAGCTCTCCCAGACTTCATTCACCGCACGCTCTGCCGCTGCCTCGTCCGGACACATGGGATTCGCGCGGACGGAAAGTATAGCACGCCGTCTCACGCAGGCCTATTACAAGTCAGTAACCATTCAGGCTGATCAAGAGATAGATATAGGACTGCACAGCATGAGACAAAATCGTCGATATACCTGATGTTGTTTTGAAAATGACACGAATCCCCTTCCCAGCTCACGCATATACCGGCAGTCACCACTTAAACTATTGGCACGGATCTTGGATAGACGGGCGCCGCGGCATACGTCAATAAAAAGCTGCAACGTAATGTAGCACACTGATAACTCACTTCGCTGCACGCATGATGTCTTAAGTTTTTCCAGTCAACATTGAACTTGCAGTGATCATACATGTGTACCAGCTCGTGTGTGAGGGTATCCTCCATGTGCTTCTTGTCTCCGAAATGGCCCTGACAAAGGATAATCGCCCCAGCAGGATGAAAGCCTCCAGAACGCGTGAGATCGCATGGGGCACACACGATGTTCGAGGACGGTACCGGGCACCCGGACAACTTAAGATGCTTTAACATGAAAACAACTGAAGGGCCTATGGGAGCAACGAGTGCGTGGTGTTGGAATGAGTATGGATCAGACCATGCAGAAACAACGAGACAGACTGTAATTCAGGAGTTCGGTCTTCCATTGCTCACAGCGGCGACGTTGCACTTCAACCCGGTCTCGTTCTCGTTCGTCTGCGGTAAGCCCGATACCCGATACTTGAGCAGCTTTGTGCAGCCATCTTTGAAATGATCGTGACTCTGATGGATGGACAGGTGGTGCAGAAGAGGCCGAATCCATGAGCGCAAATATGTTTAATTAGTGCAAAGCGCAAGTTTGTAATACTATTCAGGATGAGTTCCCACGGACGAACACGATGCCTCGGCACAATACAAATTGGGATAGACTGAGGTCAACAGCAGAAAGCGATAATCGAGACTAGGGTCCAATAAATTATCCCTCGGAATGTCCAACAGAAAGACTGTAATCAACTTGAAGATTTGCACTTGAACAACTCTCGCACGGCTGGCAGATTATGGAGCTCAGTCAGGTATCTCGTCGCCAACGCTTGAAACAACAGCTCGTGATGCTCGTCGTGGTATGGGGTGAGCACATGGGCCATCTCGTGTGCCATGACATAATACCTACGGGAGATCAGTAAATGCTAAAGGACAAAATTTTGTGAGCGCTTGCCAGTCAATGTAAGCCTTTCCAGCAGGACTATCTTTGTCTAGATAGTAGGCATGAGCCTTAACAACGGAAGAACCAATCATGAATATCACGCACGGTTCTGAATATAGTGTTCCAGACCAAAAAATATCTGATCATTGCGGTTGAAACCCATCAGATTCGAGTCCTCGCCGTGAAAGAATATGTGACACCGTGTCTGATTGGTTGAAAAGACTTTTGCGAGGTCGCTAATGATATTCCCAAAGGCTTCGCGTTCCCTTGGGGGAACACCCAATAGTGTTCCCTCTGAAACAACGTTAGTCTGTTAGCGGAAATGAGAAAAATTCAACTCACTTCGCTTCCAGACTTTGACCTGCCCGACATGTTGGCCCTCTTTGTCGATTTAATCATATGTTGCCAGACTCCAAATTCGATAACGTACCACATTCTTCGAGATCCGTCTTTGCAACCTTCTTCTCATCGCAGTATGCGACGTTTTTCCGTTTCTTCCCTCCACCGACCTGCTCCCGATTGCTAATGTGCGGGTCGTTATCGCCGCCCTCTTCCTTCATGACGTTCATCACCTTTTCGATGGAGGATTCTGCACATTGAATGTCAGCACTAGCTTCGACATGAAAAATAGACTTAGCGCACCTATCTCACTGAGTTTGATCTGACCTAACTTGGGGTCTTTACGAAGCCGATGTAAAAACTTCGTGAATTTGCTGACGACCTCCGGCTTGTCACTGGTTGATTCACTTTCCGCGGATCCATCTTCTGGGGGAGCTTGCACAGGTACAGGTGGCGCCTCATTGTTAGAATTTTCCCCTGCTTTCGTTGAGCATCTCCCTTCGCAGGAAAGATAATGATATTGATCATGAGCTTACCATGTTCAGCCTTTTCAAGGTTCTCGCGATACTCCGAAAGAATTCTGTCGACTAAATATGCGATTAGCGCTGCTTCCTATATAACAGTGACAGCCTCACCATCGTAACCACGGCGTTTGAGGACATTAATTTCTGTATCCAAGATAGTCATAAGAGACAGGACATCATTCTTTTTATAGGTAGAGAACAGCAGACGACACAGAGCTGCCGCTATACTAATATTTTGAATGAGCACGCATCTCGAGCGATACAGAACGCCACGTACTCATAACTGTCGGCCTTTGGCTCCTTGATCCATAGCACATGCACGTCATTCTTGAATTGGGTCTCAGCAGAGAGTTCGGTAGGGTGCGCTTTTTGTCCCTGAGGTCCAGCAGTCGCATTCGGGAAGTCTAATCTCTTCGTGACGTCGAGCTTTCGACAAGCTCGCACGAAAAATTGATTCTCGTCATGCCAACGTAATAGACGCATCCCATCTCTGAAGCGTGGTTCATCGAATTCGTGCAGGAAAATAGGTATCTTGTCGATGATAGAGTTTCGAAGGGTATGGGCACTGTTGGCGTTCAGCAACTCCTTGCCTGGTTCCACAGTGTATTTGATGCAAGAGCTCAGCGACTTGACTTTCATTTCAGAGTAAAATTCTGCTTGCGATATGTCATACTGTAGCAGAAAGAATAAAGAATACAAGCACTCACTTTCTAACAATTCCTCCTGGGGAGCTATGAAAATGCAGTCGCCAAAGGTGCGACGACTTTCCATATCGTCTGCGACCAATACTTCTTCGGCCTTGCAAAGTTCAAATTCATCTGCTTCATGGCTGTATCCATCGCGGCCAATAATGCCTTTTCCTTGTCGGTATCCCAAGAAAATTGAGGCAGTGCGCATTTCTTCGTGAATCTTTCGAGGAAGAGACTTGTGACCAACCGCAATCAGGCGCAGCTCAGTTAAGTATCTACGACGAGTTAGTAATAGTATCACGAGTCAAGGTTCCGGCACTGATACGCACCTCTCGTGGTCGTTCCCAGCAAGTTTAAGAAACGTTTTTGGACATCTCAGGAGAACTCTGAGAACATCGACGCACTCAGGACGTTCCTTGACACCACAAGCTTTCAAGAAAGCATTGGCACTGGGCCCAAAGTCGACAAATTTAAACAGCCGCTGGTAGAAGTGGTCCTCGGGGTATGATTCTGACTTCAGGAAGCACTCGCGAGGTGACACCGGCTCATAAGATTTACTGGATTGTGGCTGATCGAAAGCTACCTCCACGGGAACAATCTTCAGGTCTGCGATTTTTTCGAATTCTCCTGCTGAGAAAACTGCACGTTTTATCAGCACACACAGCAAACGCCAGGTCATGAAACTGCTTGCCTCCTTTCTCAGCAAGAAACTTGAACCACTTCTGTGCAGTTTGCGGGTCTTTCGGTGGAGTCGATTCAAGAACCTGAAATAGTTTCTCGGCGGTAGGGCGATCTCGAATCTTCAGCTTTGCAATATTTTTCTTGTTGAACTGGTCGGGCAGATGACCAAAGCCCAACTCTTTCCAGTTTGGATCCGAGAACACCTTTTCAATCATGGCATCAGCTATACATGTCCAGAGTCCGTGAACGAACGGACCTCGCCATGGGGGATTTGACAGGCTCTCCCGTCTCTGATACCGGGAATGAAGGCGTACATAGAGAACTTTGACGGATCGAAGTGCTTTTCAAGGAGTTGTTCATACGCTGGTCCGCAAAGAGATGTGAATGCGGCAACCCTAGCCTTATGATCGTCCTTGGAGGATGCAATAGGGATGAGTTGTTCTATTGTAGGAGCTTCGTGTAACCCTTGTCCAATGAGGAATGACGCTTGTGAGGTTTGGTCAGTGGGGATGTAACGTTAAACTAGTTCACAACATACCTTCATGGGTGTTAAAATCCCAGTGCTCGCAATTGATTACGTGCAACTTGAGTGTTCGATTTATTTCTGTGGATGCGAATAGCTCGCTGATATGACGTCTTTCGCCATTATTGCAAGGAAAGATCTTCATCCCCATGACACGAGTCACATGTTCGTGAGCAGATGTAAAAAGATACTTCGCCAGATCCATGGCATTCCATCTATCACTGCTCATCGCCCTGAGGTATATTAATAAACACGGTAAGATCATATTTCTAGTGACTAACTTGGCAATGAATGTTTCGATGTCGCACCGTTTCTGCACCCCCAGATATTGCAATGGCGGCTCTATGCGGTAATCCAAGAGGAGCTCTTTTCTAACGACTGGAAGGTCGCGAAAAACGTCGGCTTCAGGAAAATATGCCTCCTTGGGACGCATCATGTAAGATCGATCTGAGATGGTTGTGGGTATGCAAGTCATATCCTCTAAGATCTCCCGAACTTCGGAACGACTTTTATCATCTAGCGAATGCCAAAGGATACCGAGGACATTGAGGACGTGGTGCGCGAAACCAGGCGTGCGAGTGATATCATACGCTAAATCTAACGGATTGTCCTTGAGGTGTCGAAGCCAGTGTATGATTGACATCTCTTCCCATCCAAAAACCTCCGGAATCCAGGAATTTAGGCTTTGTATAAGTGCTGGCGGTATCGTATCGTCTGGCAAAGGGTCATCGGGACGGCGAACGCTCAGCATTCGTCCATCGATAAATTTGCTGATGGAACTGAGTCTGACTTCCTTCCCTCCGGAGTGTGTCTTGGCTACTTTGAGCAGCTCATTCCGCCGCTTTTTATGTTGTTCATCCAAAGACTGGTTTCCAAATGAATTGCTCCACCAACGCAAGCAAGCAGCCATTTCCGACTCCTCCAGCCACCGCGAAGCCAGCTCTTTTATGACATCTTTGAATGTATGCGTTCCGATCCGGAGATTTTCAGGAAGTGCCATGGATGTTGATATGGGACGCAGTTCCGCTGGGAATACTGGGGTGCGCATGAAGTGAGCGAATTGATGATTGTACAGACGGATGTCCTTCGTGTACCGAATCCCTTGATCAGATATGAACGGGAATTTATCTGATGTCGAACAAGTGTAGAATGCATTCTTGATAATTTGGGACACCTTCGGATCGGGTGTGGAGGCATGGAAGACGAAAGACTTCATCACATACTGTGCTAGTTGTTCCGCATCTTGTTTCTGCAACTTCGGCCACGCATCCTTTACTTTGCTCATCTCGGAATCATAAACCATCCTTGCCAAAAAACCTCCGACGTAAAGGAGTTCCTCATTCCATTCTGCACGGCATGGTATTAATAGACAGATTACAGTCTAGTGTCAATCTCAATCCACCACTTACTGGAGACATGGCCATTGCTACAAGGTAAAAAATCAGATATATCTTCAAATAGGGTCGCGCGATACTCACGCAAGGTCAATGGAGCCTCGTTCCACGGTTGGAATAAAACGGCCAGACATGTGGCAAGCCATGCCTGTCGTTTGAGCCGTACTTTGCCCCTGTCGCGCACATAAGATAACATAAGATAACCCAGCACTATGAAATACAGACGATGAAGATTCGAGGGGGGTGTTCTCTGTCAAAGTAGAACGTTAGAAGAAAGGATGTCCTGAAAAAACGCCTTGACATACGCTTCCAATCGCGGACAAAGTCCTTGAGGACCACGGAAGACGCTTCCAAACATTGCTTCTTCTTGCGACTGCTTATCGTGCTCGTCCTTACTGAACTGTTGATAATGGATATAGGATCACGTCGAAATTTATAAGGTATCTGCTTACGAAAACCATTTCAAATGGGAAATCTTTGGGAGGCTTTTTCTTCGTTGCGGTTTCCAAACCCTTCTCCAAACTCGATTTCGCTGAAACGGTAACTTTCGCGGAATAAATGGAACATTTCGTTGAAAATCTGACGCTTCTAGATTTGGTGCTCGGGGCTTCAGAAGCAGCTGCTATAACTTTTGAGGCTGTTATTCTTCCATTCGATTTCGACGTTTTCTCTATTGAAAAGAAATTTTTGAATTTCATTGGATTTGCACCTTCTTCAGGTTCCGCACGTGCGACGAGCGTCTTTGGACCTCCAATGAGTGCATCTTCAAAGAATATAACATCAATTTCCTGGGCTGCCAAGAATATTAGAACCTATGTACTTGTAAGGGTGCAAGAAATACTGACAGATCAGTTCAACAGAATCAATAGTCATAGTTCCACTCCCGCTTGTTCTGAGCATATGGTCCGAAATGGCTATTGACTGACTAGCCTTATTCCGAGTTTTTGTCAAACAAGACAATCGAGTGCCATTCAGAAAGACCTCAACATGTTGAACATGAGCCAAGAACGTCATGGAGGTTGCTAGAAATCGCGTAAGTTCAAAGATCCGCGGGATAGTCGACTCCTGCTTCAACTCTATCTCGATCGCAGTCCACTTGTCACAGTCACATTTCTCTTTCTTCATATAGAGCTACATGCACATTAGAATCGATGGACTGAGATGCGAGTCTCAGCAACAACGTACCTGGTCTCCGGCATAAAAAATGGATACCATCTCTCCTGCAGCATCCAATGAACGAAATACAGGTTCCGTTGAAGGGTCACGTACCATTCGATTTGACAACGGGCTTGTCGGTGATGCTAAACACACTGAAGAAACCTGTACCGGGAAACTGCCCTTGAGTCTCGGGATGAACGGGGAATGCACGGATCGTACCGACTCCAAATGCACCGATCTTTCGTTCATCCGGGTTGCCTTCGGCTATGTAAAAGGTTCAGCACCCAGCAAGCTGTTAAAAATCTTCACAGACCAATTCTCGTCAGACGCCTCCAGTCAGTGGGTTCAAATTTGGCACCGTCATTCTTGACAAGCCATTTGAAGACCTCGTTAGACAAAAACGTCAGTGCTCCATAGCCAATGATTTGCCTGATAGCACACCTTAGCTGAATTGAGATCCGGCGTCGTCCCATTACTCACACACCGTCCGTGTGGACTTTCAAATACAATATCGAAGTTTTTGGCTCCAGCATCGTCCGCATTCTGCAACAGTTCTCGGAACACTTCATGACAATCAGTCGTCGTTTCTGGCCTGACGTAGCTCCAAACATACCTGTGAACTCCTCTGGATAACGTGCGAGAACTTTATCGACAAGGTCCCGCTGGTTGACTTCTACTGCCGTGACCTTCAAAACGGAAAGTGAGCCCCGAAAGAGTACAATTCTTGGGTACCGATAGAACTAGCTCACCTCAGGCTCACACAATGACATTGCAGGACAGACTCGAGAAGTGCGATAATAAGTATGGGTGGGTGCTGAGGACTCTAAAGCGGCAGGATAACAAGTTATAACGTTGCGTGGGCCGCGACAGCAGCTGGCCTCACGCTCAACACGCGTAGTAGGTAACAAAGGGACCCACAACTTAATATGATCTGCGAGCGCTTATTCTTGTATTATTATTGGATTGCTGTGCGTTTCAGCCCTGGCCCATGACAAGCAGTGTCACAGGATGTGGGATGCATGGCAATGTGTTAGCCTGCGAGCGGGACTAACTTGAGGCTCACCAACTATCCTGGAGTGGTAAGAATAAGTTACAACTTGAACCTTGCCCTTGGAGGTCTTGCACTGATATGGTTTTATGTAGCAGGATTCAATATTCAGAGACCCATGGTACAAGTGCATGACACTGCCACATTAGTCGCCCTAGCCAAGTTCTCTTTTCGAATTCCAAGAATGTTCGCGAGAAGATGATCTATGTAAATATAATCAACATGCCGCCAATATTGTGGGCATCCAATGGTTGTCCTTACTAACAACTTGAAAGAGTATTGCCTGACTTCCTTTGGAGCTTAGTCAGCCAATTACTACACGGCGCACAGTTCTTTTCATAAGCACGCACTGCAACTTGGCCAGGCACTTCGGTGCACCCCAACCCTGAAAGGCTTCATTCACACAAACTCACAAGTCGGAAGGTGCAAGTGTAGATTGAAATCGCATACATCAGGCTGCTATAATCGAAGCTTGACAGAGGGTTCGAGTTGTCACTGCGGTTGACCAGGAAGATTCAATGTCAATATTCAACTGCTGCAAGTCGACTCGTCGAGCCTCTCCAGACGGCCTTTTATAGACAGAGGAAGTGTCGTTTCTTCTAATAAAGCGGAGGCCTTGAAATCGAAATCCTAGGCTCAACTACCGAAAGCTCATCTAGTTAGCTCAGCAGGCAAAGCAAATTGTGAGTTGACGTGGTCAAAGCTGTACACTACGCATTTCTTCACCGTCACATCAGAAGGTTTAACGCATCACATTTCCGATACTGTTCTTCGCATGATGCATCACGGCCACCTTCTAACACACCTTCCAGTCCACTGAAACGACGCAAATTTGGCGCTGGGCCTTCATCAGATCTCAGATATGCCTTTCAAAGGAAAGAAACGGCTCACGCTCTAAAATCTTCCACGACTGATGGTAAATACGATGCTATTTTCGAACCGAAAGCTGTGCAACGATTGATCACAGCCATTCCATCAGAAACGACCGTCTGAATGTGCTGTAACTGATCATCACAATGTATAACAAAGTTCGCATAGTTTTTCTTAATCATAACTCCAGCTCGCCACTTTTCAAAGTTTTGTTGTAATATTAGCATAACGCTGATGAATAATCAATGATTTACATGAATTCCAGGCCTTGGCCCGAAAATGCGTCGATAGTACGTTGTGGAAATAGGTTGCTACTGGCGAAGCTAGTGAATAATACTGCTCAGAAATACACCTTATGTCCCTAGAGTCCTATACTTGGCAACCAAGCCAAATATCCACTATGAAATGTTTGCGCAATTGAGATACTGGCGGACCTCAGGCACGTCGTGCAGACGTGGCAGGAAACAGGCGCTTAGTCCCGAAACCAACAACTCGTGATGTTCGTCGTGGAAAGGCGTTTTGTTGTGGGCTATCTCGTGCAAAATGATATAGAACCTGTTGGAGCAAGGCTGTGTGAGCACATCGTGGCCGGCGATTCTCTACATCTGCGTACCAGTGAATGTATGCCTGACCAGGCATCATATCTAGATCTGTAATCATAACATATAAGGGTTTTTGGATAAACGGCATGAAGGGTCACCTACGTTTCGTGTAGTGTGCAAGGTTCAAGAAAACCAGCCGGTTGCGATTGAATCCCATCAAATCACGATCCTCTGGATGCCAGAAGATGTTGAATATGCCGGTTTCATTATTACTTAGGTTCAAAACTCCGTTGAGTCCATGGACTATGTTTGCAAAGTCCGTCAATTCGCCTGGAATTGCCTGACTTGCGGTGACTACGACTGTTATTAATGCCGACGCCAAAAACGAGCAGACTTACTTTGTCGCCAAACGGGTATTAAACCGGCAGCGCCACCCACATCTGGAGTTTCGTTCATATCAAGACATGATTATCAACAACGACCCACGTACCGACAGATACAAGAGCGGTGCTCTTTAGTTCAGTACAGTATTGAACGTCTTTTCGCTTCCTGCCTGCACCACTGTGTTCTTTATTTCGGATCTCTTTTTGTTCCTGTGGGGTAGCCTGTCCTTTGGCACACTGTTCCATCAATTCTTTGATCGCGTCGTCTGCACGAAATAAGTTTGCGGGTGTCCTTCAGGTATTATACGAGACATACCAATTTCTTCGACGTCAACTTGACTGGTGTTCTTAGATCCTGACTGCCACCTGAAGAAGTCAAGGAATCTGGACCGGAAGTGAATGTTGCCACCACTATGCCGCATTCCGCCGGACTCCTCTGAATGCTTATTGCGTGCTTCCCTTTCGCGTTCTGGAGAGTGATTGGTTAATAAGACCAAGTAGTTGACTCGAAGTTTAACGCATACTTTCTTCCTTTTCCTTGTCCTCAAGTTTAGCGGCTTCGTGAGCTTGCTCGATTCTGTCCACTGTTCCAAATGAGACCAAGACATGGTAAGAAAGTCATGAAAAGTTACCATCGTAGCCTCGTTTCCTCAAGACCTCCTTGTCCGTCTCCAATATGGTCATCAAACTGAGAACATCGTGCTTCTTATGAGTCTTGAAAAGCAGACGGCAAAGTGCGACAGCGACGCTAAAGAAATCCCATCAGTGATAAATGCATGTGGAGGAACATAAATCCACTCACTCATACATGTCAAGGTGTTCTGTTTTCTTGAGCCATAGCACAACACGACCGTTATCTTCTGTGGTAATCTCGGCAGACACATAGAATTCATTGCTTTCTCTCTGACCTTCATCAGAGATACAGTAATTAGATTCAAGTCTCTTGTCCACTGTGAGATCTTTGCATCCTTTCACGACAAAGCGTGATTTATCATCCCACTTCCGGTGCACCGCGCCTTGCTTGAGACGTTGCTCATCAAACTCATGCATAAAGATGGGCAACTTCTCCAAAATCGCTTTTCGGACTTCCTCGCAGGGAGGCCACTTATGTTGCTCGCTAGTTGGTTTCACGTTGTATTTGATATGGGCGCTCAAATAACCAGATCCCACTGATTCGTAGAGCTCTTCGACCTGATTAGCTGGGTCCACTTTCAAGGAAAAACTAGCTTAACTTACTTTCGAGCAGCTCATCCTGTGGAGCCAACCAGACAAACTCTCCAAAGATCCGGCGGTTTTCCATGTCATCAGCGAGCAGAATCTTAGATGCTGGAACAAGTTGGAATTCGTCCCTGACGACGGGAGTGGAGTTATCTGGATGTAAGGATCTTGAGGTGCGATAGCCGACGAATATGGGTGCATTCTTCATCCTTTTCTTATCCTCTTCGGAAAGCCCCTCATACCCGACCGCAATTCCACGAAGCTCAACAAGATATCTGCATTAATGATGAGCACAAGGATGATTCTGTAGGGTGTTCACACACTTATCAGGGTCTGCTCCAGCTTTTCTGAGGAACTCCTTAGGGTCCTTTATTAGTATGTGGACGATGTCAGAACAATCCGGCTTGGCTTTGACGCCGCAAGCTTTCAGAAACCGATTTGCACGTTCCTCAAAGTCGACGAAGGTAAACAGTCGCCGGTAAAGGTGATCATTTACATATTGACTACCACCGATGAAGCACTCCCGAGGTGGCACCAGGCGGGGCTTAACGGAATGGCCTTGTGAGGTAGGTTCTACGACAGGGACGATAGGAATCTCGGCGATTTGCTGAAGGTCTCCAGGAGAGAGGACTATAAGAAGAGGAACCATTTAGAGACTGAGAGTTAACCAAGTAGCATATCTAACCTTGCTTTGTTGCGAGAAAGGCGAACCATCTGACCGCTGTGTTTTCATCCTTGGGCGGACTGGTCTTAAAGACCTCGATCACTTGTCTTGCCGATGGTGCTTCCCGCAACCTCAGTCGGCCGACGATCTTCCTGTCGACAGAAGGATGGACTGTCTGGAACCCCATCAACGCCCATGTCGAATCAGAATAAACCTTGATGCGGGTTTCCTATATTAGTCTCATGAATCTCGACGAAATCACAAAAGATCTTACTTCCTCGTAAGCGCCTACACATTCTTGGCCGTCTCGCATAGCTGGTATAAACGGCATATCGTCATATTTCGAAGGATCATACTCTGTATCATAGAGTTCATCGAACTTGCTCGCAAGGTACCCGAAGGCAGCACGTTGAACTTTTGGATCGGGGTCTCCAGCAATCTCAATGAGTTTCTCCAAAGGCGGGTGTCGAAGGAATCCCATGTCAGTCAAAAGTTGCTCTGTAGGATAATCAGTTGAAAGTGAGAGAAAATATCAGGAAAGGGAATAAAGTACCATCCTCAGAATCTTTATCGATCCTGCGTGACCAATCGAGAATTGGTAGGCCTAGCGGACGTATCTCCGCATGTGGAAGGTACAAGTCAGTGATGCAGTATTTCCTGCCTTTATCACAAGGGAAGACGGGGTATTTCCTGATATCCTCCAGCCTCTCCATGGCGTCTGGATCAGTGTTGAGGTATCTGATCATCTCCATCGCAGACCACGTGCTCAATTTGTCTGCCCTAGAAAATGATCAACAATGCTGAATTAAGACCTTGAAAGTCGACGCACTTGGCAAATAACTCTTCAAAGTTAAGATGCCGCTTGACCCCGAGCTCGCCAAGTACAATGGGAACCTGTGGATCAAACAGGCCGACAGAGACAACAGGCAGATCATGGAAGACGTCTGCTTCTGGGAAATATGCTCCACCAGGGGGCCGGAATCCTAGATTCGTTGCGATCCATGGAACGTCCTGCATGAGATCCTTTGCCTGGGATTTCATGTCACTGGACATCATGGGCCAGATGTTCCCCAGAACCCCCAAGACACGGTTGGAATATGCAACGTTTTTGCGAATGTCATGGGCTGCGTCTATCTGAGGGCTTATCAAATGACTCAGCCAGTCCACAAGTGTCATTGGCTGCCATAAAAGAGATGAGGAGATGTATCGTCGGTCAAGACTCCGGGTAAACGAAAACGGGATGGTGTCTGGGGGAAGAGCATCGTCCGACTGAAGCCAAGGGAGCCAAATATTGGAATCGATAAACTTGGTGATATTGCGGAGTTCTATGATACGCATCGAATTCCCAATTCGCGACGTGGCATTATCTACCAGACTCGACAGGAATGTGAGGGTTCTTTCTCTCTCTTCATCGTCCTCAAGCGAACTTATGAAGTTGACCCACCATCGCAGACAACCGATCATTTCTTCTTCTTGCAAAGTCCTTCCCTGTAGTTCTCTCACAACATCCGAAAACGTGTACGCCCGTACATTATACTTCTCAGGGAGAGTGTCGACTAAATTAGGAGGGTCGCCAGGTGACGTCGGAAGTTGTGTAGGCACCATTTTCATGAAGGAGGTGAAGTCGGGGTGAGTCTCCCGAACTTCCTTGGTGTACCGAATACCAGAATTTGTCAAGATGGGGAAATGATCGTTGGAGGAATAGTCGAAACAGTCGAAAAAAGCATCTTGCAAGATTTTCGACACTTTA